TTGGTGGAAATGTGGTTAACAATCTTGATTGGTTTAATGCCACCCGATATGTGACCATGTAAAACCCATCCAAGTTTGGTGAGCGATGCTACAGGTAGGTTCTTACCTCCTGAAATTAATTCACGAGTAACTATGAGATGCCAATTGTCCTGGCCAATTAATATGGTAGGTCTGGACCTCTCATACATCAACTCGTCCTTAATCGGTGTCAAATGAGAACACCGTTGCAATAATTCTCGGCTTACTGACTGCGGAGAAAGGTTAAGTGACTTAATTGTTTGTACACTTATCTCTTCTAAGTCGTTCGAGTAAATGCGTTTTATCTTAACGTTTAAGCGATACGAACTGTCGTCGTTAATTCGCTTACCTCCCACGGCTTCAATACGTAATTCTTCTTTACGTCCGCGAGGCGCTAACTTCTGAGCCATCCACTCCTCTATGAGTGTCATGGTCGATCCTTCATCCAGAAGAGCTGTTGTCTTGACCTTTCCTCTTGGTCCATACAACTCGACCGGTATAATCTTTAAGTATGCACATGCCAGTGCATTCACTGTGCTAACAGTTGTAATTTGAGCCTCTTTACCCCCCCTCGTCCCCTTGCGGCGAGGTATTTTCATTGGGGTATCGGTGTAGCATCCGATGATGTGACATTCTACATCCCTCTACACCACATTTTTCGCTCTGCACTTTAACCTCCTATGGTTAGGTGACAAACATTGGAAACATACTTTCGCTTTTTTGACCGCGTCCCATTTCTCGCGAATATTCATGTCCTTAAACTTGTAACAACTCACTATAGAGTGCTCCTTGTTGCATATAACACACTTATGTGTTACCCGACTTACAGGCTTGTCCTGGGTTGTCACAACCACTTGTCGGTTGTGCCCTTTATTATTTCGGCGTTCTAGACGCTCGCTCGTATTACTTCGGCGCACATAGCGCTCGCTCTTGGCACGACTGCGTACACATCCCTTTGCAGTGTGTACAGTTTGCTTCCTGAATTCAGGACGCTTCCGTTTTTCAGGCGCATTTTCATTGCTTAAGGACGTTCCAAATTGTTCACTCAATAAATTTAAAAACTTGGCCATCTTCTGTAACTCTGGCTCCAAAGGATACTGAGCTCGATATTCAAACCATTTAAATTTAATCATAGTTCCAAGTTTCTCCACTATGCGGCTCACTAACTCCGGTGAGTATAAATACTGTGGTTGATTCAACGCTTGTATTGTGGCAACCACGTTCGTAATACGACTTGCAAAAGATCCTATATTCCGGCAATCTTCTGCCAATCTTGGCATACGTTTTACATTCTCGATTTCGGCTAGAATGAGCATATCAACCCTACCGAATCTTCTTTCGAGAGCGTTCATTATTTCTTCAGGTTCACACAAAGTAAACAACAACGACTTAACCGCTTCCTTAGCGGTGCCCTTTAATGCCCACCTAAGGCGTGCGATATTCTACACCCCTGAAAATTGGCTTCTTGTGTCTTCAAACACCGTTTTGAAAATTATCCATTCACCCGGGTCTCCATCGAACACCGGTAATTCCTGGAGGAAATGAAGCTGGGAAGACTTATCTTTACCCGCTATCTTTATTGCACTCACAATCGCTTCGGTCAATTCTGACACCTCACTCGCGTGTGTTTTCTGTGCATTTCCTTGGTTGCGCTCGATCTCCGCCCCTTTGCGGCGTGATCCTTTACACGCTTCCTTATCAGTAATATCGGGTTGCGTTACACTAACCGGCGCGCTCATTATGGTCTGCTGAACCCAACTCCTTACGAAAGGTTCCGCCTGAGCATTCCGCTCTTCATCATCCTCACTCGAGTCGATCTCCTCTTCTCGGTTGAGTCGTGCCAACTCCAATTGAGACTTGGCTAAGGCAGCAGCTGCCTGTGCTCGTTCGAGCTCTGAGCGTTCGAAATTAATCCGCGCCTCTAATTCGGCTTTCAGCCTCGCCGATCGCGTGACCTACTACCTCTCTGTGACCCTTTGTCACTAGTGTGCCCGATTACTGTCCTTGACGATGCCGCTTCTTCGGTCCTTTGGCCTACTTTTTCGACCACCGTTTCACTCCTGGATATAACGGATTGTTGTGCGGTGCTGGCCTGCGTACCACTGGTGTCCGTCCTGTTGCTTGTCGTTGCCATGGACGTCCCTGAGTCCCACGTGCATGTGGACGTGTCGGTGGTGGCTCCACTTGAAGGAGTTGCCAGTTGCGCCGGTTCTCTTTAGCTTTTCTTGAGCCCTGTCCTTGTCCTGCTCCCTTCGCTCCTCCCTGTCTGGTCTTGTGCCTTCTTCATCTTGCAGGAAGGTGATTGTTGGCCTACGGTCCCTAACTGTCCCTACGGTCCCTACAACCCCTTACCTACAACCCTTCTACACCCCAACCTAACCCCACTACCCCTCCCCCCCCTTATCTCCCAACCCTACAACTCTACTACCACCCTAACAGCCCTATCAGCCCTATCAATCCTGAACGGGGCCTACCGAGGTGAGCCGTCCAGGGATGGAGTCGTGCAGGAATGGAATGGAGGAAAGGTTTAGGAACTGTCCCGCCAAGGAATATGACGAAACAGTCGAGCGGTAGTGCAAGCGCAGTCTCGCTCGAGAGAACTGCTCCACCCGAAGGTGTTGTGCCAGAGCCCGACCGTTTGGCACCGTTAGGTGGTCGGGATGTATGCTGTGCTCGCCGCCCAGTCGCCGGTGACGCCTCGTCCAAGGCGCCCTCCTCCGGCCGCGATGCAGTCAGTGCCCACGCGCACCCTCGCCTGGCAGCAGCAGCGGTGGATGCTTCTTCTTGCACCCTATGATGACCCGACAGGAAATGCCGGACACGGTCGTCCGAAGGAAATGCCGGACACGGTCGTCCGACAGGAAATGCCAGACACGGTCGTCCGACAGGAAATGCCGAGCACGCTTGCCCGACAGGAAAAATTGCCAAGCCCTGCTTGGCCATGATGAGCGCCTTCACAAGGCACTTGCGCCTGGCTGCGATACGTGCCCCATGCAAGCACACGCCCCAAGCCGCAATCCCGGTTTTCTTTCTTCCGGTAGTTCCAGGTCCAGTCCTTCTGCGCTGACGACCTGGTCTTCTGGCCTTTGGTCCTATTGCTTCAGCTCAAACCTCCGGCTTCCTTCGGTTGCTGATCTTCACTCGGCTCCGAAGGTCTTCTTTTTCCACAACCAGCAGTCCACTTCGGTGGTCCTCTTAATCCGGCTCGAAGGACCAATTGAAAAGGAACCAGGTTCGGGGGTCCTCTTGATCCGGCCGCGAAGGACCGATTGAAAAGGAACCAAATGGTGTGTAAACGTTCAACTAAGAAACAGAAGGGGGAATCGAGGCTTCTCTCGATCCGGCCTCCTATAACGCCTACGTTGGGTTCGGGAACAACGTATGTGATCTCCGCAACGGAGTAACACACAAGGGCGATAACCTCTTCCTTTTCAGAAAATAGGTTCGGGCGGGGATTACGGGTCTTCCGAAGTCGTCCCGGTCCCAACGCCTTAATTCTTCGATGTGGACTGTATAATTTTGAGGGATGAATTTCTTGGGAATAAAACAGCAATTATCTTCAAACCGTTCCGTGAGAGAGTAATTACTTTTCCCTATCACTTCCCTACACTTTTTCTTTCTTCTTCTTATTGACTGCTGGTCTTGCACTTTTCCCGAAGTTTCTCCGAACTTTCCCGAAACTTTCCGAAGGATTCCCGAACTTCCCCGAACTTTTTTCCCGAAGGATTCCCGAACGAATTGCAATAAAACTCATTTACTGAGCTACCCCAGAGCTATACGCGAAAGTGAGCCGCGCCATTCGCGCGCTTGCGCAACTCAATTACATGAATTTGTTCTATTACTCTCTCACGTTTTACTTAATTACTTTATTTGCATAAGTCATACATCAACATAATTTACCTGTATAGATAGCACAAAACAATATCTACACTACGATATACATTACATTTTCATATCACAAAAAACCTATTATTTATTTAACAAAATATGCCTATTTTACTCACAAGTTCAAAGTCGAAATTTCTTAAATATTTAACATAGAAAGTTAAAACAATGTTTTCCACTTGAAATTATACATAAGTTAACCAATACAACAGTTTAATTTACATTTTCCCTATTCATTTCACTATTAAAACATTTTTAAATTTCTTATACAAAACTATCATTATTTCACTTATACAAGGAATTTTCACATAAAAATAACACAGAATTCACCTCTTTTGCACGTACAATCAATCTGAAATGTTTCACAAGTAATTTTTACATAAATTGCTGAAATTACAAATATTTAAATTTTTACATATTTGGCCTCCTAAGGGCGTGGCTTAGCGCGTCCGTGAACTCACACTATTTGAACAACTAACTTTGCACGGCTCTCGACTATCAGAAAAAATGAAAAGTCTAATATACACCAATATCGACAGTATTAGGTGAATAAATGCTTCTACACAATTTTCAAACTGTAGGAAACTATTTCTAATCAGATTCTTATCAGTTATCATGTTTCTTATCAGATAACAATATAAGTGAATGTTCTCATAAATCAATCATAGCAAATAGGCATTTATTTTCATACAAAACATATCAAACTCATATAAGGCAATACTTATGCAATTAATTTCCGTTAATTCTACTTATGCACAGAGTGATCATCTCGACCGGGGAACAAATCCGATCTCTAACTTCACTTTAATATTCCTTTGAATTTATTAAGAGATATTACTTAAGAAAACAATAAACTAGTCCGGCCTGGGAGTCGAACCCAAGACCTTCATATCATTAATTCGACATTCTTTAAAATTTAACTAAGCATTTTCTTATTAGAACATTGCTATTGGACAATTTGCCTTTTAGAAGCTATTCGTCATCGGTTGACTTAATAAACTGAAATATTCTTATAGGCGCGTCGCCAACAAATGGTAAATTTAAAAGATAAATAGTAAACTGATCTCCCCTTTATTTCTAAATTGATTTTTCAACAGACCCCGGATTCACCAGTTAGCGAGACAGACATACAAATACCAGATACGGAACAACTGTCGAAAGATTTAACCGAGAAATTGCAAGAAATAGAAGAAACTGATCACTGTGAAGATGATAACAATTTATCACATGAAAGTGGTTTTAAGGTAATTGAATTACTTAATATGAGTCTCTAAGGGGTCATTGCATATTTGAACTATTTGCCATTCCTAAAGAAATTGTATCTTTACAATCAGCTCTCAAGTGTGAGAATCCTTTGTTGCAAGTTGTAAGGGGTCTTTGTCCAGTTGCTATAGCATAACATTCGTCTTGTAAGGATTGGATATTCAGTGTATATTATTATATTCGTCTCAGTTTTCCTTATGATCAGATACGCTATATTTAGATGTGAATTACTTTCGTTAATTGGAAGCATGTGTCTGTCTGTCTTTTGAAGTTCTTTGGCTTACGACCACAATGTAGACAAATTAAGGCTTGATATCGCAATAACGACAGGAAATTTTTGTTTTTACACCTTATAAAATAATCATCGCCGTATTTCTGCCATTTCCTCCTACCTTATCTTTGCTTAAAACCGTAACATTAGGCACAGAAGGCTACGACGAACGAGTAAGTTTCCGTTAGTGAGTACTCACTAACGGAAACTTACCGACACATCCATCCATCCATTACAGCCTTTAAAAGTCCACTGTTGAACATAGGCCTCTTCAATAGATTGCTTTTAATGAGGGATTATGTCATAGTTACCACGATTCTCTGTTGGGTTGGCAGTCGCATGTTTTTTTAAATTTTAAATTGTTAGCAGGAAGATGCTGCTGCCATCTCCTGTTTGTTTCCCTCTGTCGCCTCTTGCAACACTCACGGGATGATTTGGGGTCATAAGTATTATTACACCGCCACTACTTGCTTCATGTCATATATTTCCTGCGCAGTTGATAGATAGCTTTTAACTTTACGACCATGCTTGAAATTCAGAAGAACACTCAAGGTACAGCGATGGAAACACTATCTATTCTCGATTAAGAATTAAAATGTATATGCGTTGTCACCCTTAAGAACTGAGTTAGAATGCCTCGTTACCAGTAAAAAGGTTCCCTGGATCTCATCACTTATCGTATGAAACCGCTATTGTGCTTGCGTGGTATTTACCGGTTCGAGTCGACCCATTCCTTCTGCAGCCATAAATGGCTACAATGTGGCTCTACCACGTCAAGAAATGTCTGACAATGATTGTAAGATGTCCTTAATTTTATAGATCAACATCGGATCGTCTACCGACGATGATGTAGTATTGAAGTACTGCGTTCGGTTGCTTGCTTCCAAGTTTCTGTTGACTGGAAATAAAGGAGGAATTATCCCAGATAGGTGAGCTACTAAAACTGTATTGTTGTTACATGAGGCGTCTAATTGGTAAGGATCATTTTCTACCTAGAAGTCTGTCTTGGTGGGTAATACTGTCTTACCTATTTTTTTTATAAAACAAATACAAACGAACTTGCAGTCTATCTAATTTTAAGTGCAGTACCCCTACATACCCGGGATTAACTTCAAAAAAAGAAGGCTATAGATGTATTGTCACCTCTGAGGACGAAGATGTAATGCATCGATATATATGTACTACGCACTAGATATGGCATTCCGAACACTCACTATGTTCAACTGATCTGTACTGAAATCCGTATTATACCTGTTATTGTGGCTTCGGTATTCATGCAGTGCGGAGCGTCGTTATTAATAATTTTATTTTAAATTAGCACATATACAAAATAACCCAAAAATTTAAAAAAAATGTACTCGATTAACAATACAATCTAAATAAACAATTATTTATTATGACAATTTTCGCGCGTTTATATCAACTGCGCATGCGCGACTCTACTGTTTCCCGCGCATACGCGGATACAGAGTAGGGCACATTTTTGTGTGGAATAGCTTCTCTGGTACGTAGTACATACAACTCAATGATGTAATGTCTCGCAGCTTGTATTTATACTAACTGTATATACCGTTCACACTAGAACACAGTAGCACTGCTCACACCCAGACAGACTCTTACACTAAAATGAGTACAACCACTTAGTGAAACCTATAGCTGTACCATTCATTGGTGCTCAGTTATATTTGTCTACTGCTGGACATGGGCTTCAAGTTGTAGAATGGATTTGCCTTAATGAACCCTTGATAAGTGAATTAGCAATCGCAGTGACAGCTACTCGCAAATCGGAATCTATTAGATTTTATTAGTTTTTCCCATAGTCGTCTCTTACGACACTCACGTGAAGAAATGGGTTACGCCACCACCACAGTACTTATATTTCTTTACGCGAATACTGCACATTGAATAAAACTTATTTGAACGGCCTCACTACCCCGCAATTATGTGTGCTCCAAAGCACACAAAACGTTGAGAATTAAAAATAAGTCAAATTGAAATAATGTAATAAGATCCTTAAAATTATTTTGTTCAATTCGGTGGAACGTTAGTTTGTTCGCTATTTGAAAGTCGCATTTTACGTTTGGAGTTAATAGAGACCAGAATTGACTGTTTTAAAAAGTTGTTTAGTGTTTGTATGTTTGTAAACACACATTTTATATTGCATATTTCGAGAAGAAATTATGACATTTTCTTTTAATCTTTTCTTCTTCGTTCTTTAAAAGGATTCCCTCTATGCTAGTTATTACCCGATATGATATTTTTTATTTATTTATTAGAATGAAAATTATATTGACTAGTTGTAACGATTTGCCAATTAAGGCGTTTTATACCATACAGCCTAGTCTGATGTGTATTTTGTTTAAACTGGAATATGTTTAATTCCTGACTTTTTGCAGTAGCATGACTAAAGAAAAAATGTTCAGGATTTTGGAATTCTATATTTTTATATATTTTGCTATTGTAGACGCAAGAAAAAAAGTAACATAAAATTTGTTTGGGAATTCGCAATTGACCTTTCATTTGACGCTTCATTGCGTAATTTTAATTTTTTGTGTTTTGAGCACAATGAAAATAGCATTTTCATTAAAATCAATTTAAACAAAAAATTGAATTAAGACACCGAACGAAAATTTGATAGACGTATCCCTTTTTCATTTTTAAATTATAGGTCAGTCAGAGTATCGGTTAAGGCATCAAGCCTGACCTGCCTCTCAGAAATACTTCGCATCTACCCTCAAGCGATGACTATGTACTTAGATAAAGATGCTGACTTCAAGTTTCAGAATTATTCAGGTAAGTGCACTTTTCACCCTTATTGGGTTTACTCAATGCACAATTCTATTGTTATTACTTAAAAATTATTTCCATAAACATTTATGGCTTTCATATGTCCGAACTATCAAGAGTACACAAGTGGGTCAATTTGCTGTATTAGAGCCAAAGGGTAAGACGTAATATATTGGGTATGTTCCGAAATACAACGCAGTGTACTGTCCAATGCAAATGACGTCATGAATCGACGCTATACTGGTGATTCGTTCCAAAACATTGGACAGTATATGACGTCATACTTTTGCGTCATTTGGAAAAGTGTTGGCGATTATTTTGTCATTTTGTGCTCCAAAAATCATTATATCATTCTATATGAATATACCATCAATTATTGTATAATTTTTTGTATTTGAATAAATAGAAACAAATTCTGGCATGCTTCATTCGGCAAACACACAATTAAAAATTGTTTTATTATGGCCGGATATCCGACACAATATGGCGGCGGCACGCTAGTACAATAAAGTGTCAAATGATACGTCATTTGCATTGGACAGTACACTGCGTTGTATTTCGGAACATACCCGTTATATACAATTACTTAAATTTCAGGAATACAATTCTTACATCACATCAAAGTCTACTGCTGAATATAGGCCTCCGTATAGATTAATTCATAGCAGGACTACTTGACATAACTGCCGCACTGGGCAAATGTGTTGTTGACCATAGATTTTTATTATTTGAGCTCTTACCACACAGAGATGCTGCTACCCATCTCCTGTTTTACTTTCCCTGTGTCTCTTTCGACACTCACGGGGTGATATAGGGTAGGAGATTCTCTAACGCCGCCACTACACGGCGACACCTGAAATATTTAAACTTATTTACCAATAATGATGATGAGCTCGTGATCTTCGATAGATGGCGAATAATTATCTTGTTTTAATGCCATCTATAAAATACCGAACCTAATATATATATATTTTATATATATATATATATATATATATATATATATATATATATATATATATATATATATATATATAATTAGGTTCGGCTCCTACATAGGACAAACTAAAAGATCAATAAAAACCCGCGTTGAAGAACATATAGCTGATGTGAAGAATCGACGCTCCGGGAAGTCTGCAGTCTGTGAACACGTACAGGATCGCCCCCGTCACTACATCAGATTTGATAGACCGCAGATCCTCGCTAAAGAACACCGATTCCTTCCAAGGATGATTCGCGAGGCTATTGAAATCAAAAAACATCCTAATTTCAATAGAGAAGATGGCTGGGTGCTACCATCTGCTTGGGATCCTATAATAAATAAAATTAAATCCCAACCCAAGCATACAACTGCAAGACTTCAAGATACCATAAGTTCATACTGCATAGATCGGGACAAAAGTTAAATTTTAATCTATGGTAACCGCGGTTAACTATGACATATGGACGTTAAACATCTCAGTCCAGCCCGTGACCATGAGTGCTGTAAAGCGTTCGAAATGTCGGGTAATTAAAAAGTTAAATACACGCGATAAATTCCGTAAAAACTAGTATTATTTCAATTATTAATCTTTGGTAGATTAGTATTTTCTGCTTTTATGAATTAGTCTTATATGATGCCTTTTCAATAAAATTCGGAATAAAACTCAATAGTCGTAATGATAACTTGAAAAATGTCGAAAAAACATAGCACATTAGCTAGTTCTCTTAATCAGTGACACAGTACACTAATACCCTTAGGCGGGATCAGTGACGTCACGACTAATATCTATCTATCTAATATGGCGGACAGCGTTTCGCAGATTTGAGGCAGAGACAAAAAATATTCTTAAAATTGAAATATAAAATTTATAATGCAATTTTTAAATAGAAGTCAATATTTCTCGTTTACTTTTGACAAAATCTATCATAAATATGTATTTTTTTTTGTTTTTTTATACATGGTGTAAAATACCTATTTTGTAGTATATAATATAATTTAAGCATTTTGATTCTTAATCGAGGATAAATGTTGTTACTGTAGGCCACAGCACTCACTTAACATTAGGTGGATAGTGTGCTCGTTTTTGAAGTATTTCCATTTGGTGGAGTTATGCTTATAATAAAAGTATACACGTATTTGTACATACATTTTGTTCGTGGCTAAGGTAATAATGATTCGACAATGCCCGAACCTCCTCGAAACGATCTCTTAAAAAATTGTCTCTTCTAGGTTCATCGGAGGGCGTTGATTGCGTTCACGAAAACATAAACGATTTCATACTCGAAAGGAATGTTTGTTACCAAGATTCAATAACAGAGTCTACTAGTCAAGAGCTATCGAACAAAAGCACAGATAGTCAGGCAAATACCCAGTCACAACAACAGACTTCGAAAAAGTCTGCCGAGAGGTCCTCCGAGAAGTCCACCGAGAAGTCATCTGAGAAGTCCACCGAGAAGTCCTCCGACAAATCCACCGAGAAGTCCTCTGAGAAGTCCACCGAGAAATCTTCCGAAAGCCCTGAACGTAAGAGCTCGAAGGATGCCGTGTCGAATGTATTGGATAGCAGGGTTTTAGGAAAAACGGACCTTATTGCTAGTGGAATAAGTGCCGACAGCACCAACCCTAACATGACTAACAGTAATTTTACTTCAAACTCCAATATGACGGGCAGTAACGATCCAATATCGTCTGGCTATCCCATGTCAAGTAGTTGTGATGTTGTGTCATCTAGCATCGACTTGGATATGAAGTTCGATCACTTTGGCGAATCGACGACGAACTTGGACCATTTGGATGCTTTGAAAGATTTGGAAAGGAAGGACGAAAGAAAGAAGCCGCTCAAACGGACCGACGAAGTTCAAACAAAAGATGACAGCAGTCTTGACAAATGTCAAAAAATCGAATCAGATGAGAAAGATAGTGAAAAAGATTTCGAACTTCAGCACATGTCCGACGTTTTTATTCTCTTAGAGGGTCACAGTGACCCTCAGATTAGGGGGTTGGTTAGGGTTTGTATAGGGAATTATTTGAACGCAGCGTTAGATATATCCCACGGTGATTATAATAGGTGGAGGAATTATGTGGTACTGCCGCGGGAAGTCACTGGAAATCTCAGTGTAGATAAGTTAATGGATATTGTTTTGAAGGTAAGAATAATAATCATGTTACCGTAAAGTTTAACCCAAATTGTGTGTGAAAAATGTTAGGCAGACCTCCTCTGATTGATGAGTGTATTATCAGTATCATCAAAGCGACAAACTAAATCGATCGAACAATGCTTTTTAAACACACATGTATATTGAACCCATGCAAAGATTGCTAGTTATGAATATGAAATTTTGTTTGTTCCGCTTCCACGTCAAAACTGCTGTTCGGATATTTGGATGAAATTTTGCACACGGATAGAGCCCGACCTGGGTAGGACATAGGATACTTTCAACTTGACTGCCTCGTTGGTCTGGTGGTTGTAGTAGTGAGACTGCTGATCATGAGGTCCTGGGTTCGAATCCCCTGGGTCGTGCCAAAAAATTAATTATTGAGTTTTTCCGTCAAGAAATTCTCAGTAGTTGCCCGGAGTCAGGAAGTAGGCGGTGTCTCACCCCTAGGTGTCTCGTCCTGGTCTCTCTCTGGTCGTGTTGGTGTACCATCGCATCGGATTATGAGAGTGAGGTAATAGAAAGTGCACCTGTGCTTGCGCATACACTTGGACACTATAATCCTGTCCTGCGCCGATGGCTAATCTCCGTTGAGACAGGCCGCCGTGGCCGAAATCGTTCTGGAGGACATTACTCTCAATCCGGTAAATGAATCCCATGGGATAATTTTTAATGGTGGTCCATATCTGGCAAACGAAGTCTCGGGCGGAAGCTGGTAAAAATAAACAATAACGATGTAAATTACAGTTAATAATATAAGTACTTATCAGTGGCAGTTAAAGAACAGTCTGCCACTCAAATTCTGTTCCTTTTTAATAGAATAAGGACGACAAACTTAAGCCACGCTGCAGCTATATTATGGTTGTAATACGAATGGGTCGGCTCGATCGGAGAAGGACCACGGTCTCATACAATACCATATTATGTTGCTGTATTTGGTATGGTGAGTGTAGAGAACCGGAGACCTTTACTGGAAAGGAAGCATCCTACTAGGGGTAACGTGAAAAAAAAAACATTACACAAAAATTTATTAAATTTGCGTGTGTTCACGTTTCAGGGTTTATCCGATGAAATTCACTCGGCGGTTAACCACACACTCTCCTCTCTTACTAACTTATCGACGGCGCTGTTTAACAGTGCCCATTGGACCTTAGTTATAAACGAGCTGAATTCACTGGTCAATGTGGAGAATAACAACTATTGGTTGTGTCGGGTCAACTTATGCAAGTTGTATGAAAAACTTCCTTATCAGAAGTAAGTATATATTATATAGTTTTACCTTTTTAGCCGCCTTCAAAAAGAAGGAGGTTTAGAAGCCTTTGTCAATGAGGGTATCCATAACTTTTTCTACAACCAGGTCGACACCACTTGGAAATGAGGTTTTGACAGGTTTCTGAAATATAATGTATATTTTATAATAATACAATTAAAATGATCATAGCAATTAGCAACCTACGTTCTTATTGGTAAATAAAAATTAAACATACAAAAAATGTGCTAAAAATCAAGGAGCGAGCGCTGAGGTTTTGTGTATACGGGGTTATTTTGCAATAACCGGCCAAATTTGCAGAGAAGGTTCAGAATAAGTACGCATCTGTAATTCTCCTGGTGTTGCAGTTGTTCATGGACGGTAGTAACTTACCATCAGGTGAGCCGCATGTTTGTTTGCCTCATCTCCTATATAAAAAAGTAATATAGGCAAATGATCAAGAAAAAATTAATTAAAAATATCTCACATTCTGTTCTTTTTATCTTTTAAAGTCAAAATTGCGTGGTAATACATTATTTTAACTGATTTTACTGCCGACGCTCACATTCTGAAGATTCGAGCCGTTGGGAAAAACGTTGTTGCCCATGAATCACATTCTATTTGGAATCACATTTTATGTTCAAAAACTGCAAGAACGGTATTTCATTATTTACATACTTGAATAAATATGCGCGATAAAATCCGTAAAAGCTAGTATTATTTCAATGTGTAGTGTTCGCGTAAATATAAGAAATCATTATACTGGAATTTAAGTTTAAAATTTGGCTACTCCTTAAAAAATATCTCTATATATATATTAGTAAATAAAAATTAAAAATACAAAAATGTGCAAAAAGTTAAGGAGCAACCACTGAGGTATTGTTTTGTGTATATGTACAAACACAAGAAAACAAAGACTTTTATTAGGAACGCAACTTTACCTTTACGGTGACACTGTGTAACAAATAACTTAGTCTACTTTGTAACAAATAACTTAGTCTACTTTGTAACAAATAACTTTATATACTCAGTCCCAACCAGCGACATTTTGTGAGCGGAAAATTATTGGCCCTCATTGTGAACCGATTCCGATGATTCTTTTTGGAGAAAACATTCCAACCCTAATGGTGGCAAAATAAGGGATAAACTTTTTAATGTGCTATACATATGAGAATTCAGATTGTGATGTTTCTTTTATCACTCCAAAGGGTAAAAAAATAAAGAGAGAAATAATATAGAGCAAATATAATATTATGCTTATAATTTTCATGCTTACTAGACCATATTGCAGACCGTGACATTATTTCGCTAATAAACGTCTCCGTATTTATGTACTGCATCGCGGAAAAATCAACATTTTCGTAATATGATTTACACGCTGGACGCGCGAACGCGTACTATGTCCTTCGCTAGTCGCGGTCACCGGACGCGCACGCCGGGGGGCGCCTGCGTGGCATCTCCGTTCGTATCGTATTGTTATTTTCCCGCTCATCACGACTTGGTATACCGTGAAACCTGGCAACTTTTCCATTTGTGGAAAGACTTAAAAGTCTAGGACCAATTTTCCAACATAAAAGGTACTTTCAGACTGGACCTCAATGTTAAATGCGGCACTATATTCTTTTTAGATTTAGTATTTATTGTTTATTATTTTTATAGTGGTTTAAAAATACTTAATATTAAGTAGACACAATAATCAAAATTAAAAATGGGAAAGTTAACCTCATTTTGTGGAAAAATTGGTGCAATAATGAGCTTAAATTAACAGTATAGATCAATAGTAAAGCTTGTCACAATTATTTTTATCAACTATTCGTGTTTTTTATTAGTTATTATTTTCGTTTTATTACAATCATGAAAAAAAAATAATTTTAATCAACCTAAATATTGTTTTCCCGCAATAGGAAAACATTCATAATCATTACAAATGACAATGTTTTTTGGATGGTAATTAATGTCAAACGCTAAGTAGAAAATATGAGAAATACTGAGTAGTAATAATATTATTGATACCCGGCTACGTATTAAAAAACATAGATTTATCTTTTCTTTTTCTTCACTTTTGGAAAAGATGAATCGATTGACAACTCATTTAGTAAAATCGGTCTAATAGGCTGCTACGGTGAAACCTCTGTACAAACATACATACATAGAATGTCAAGTACAGAACTCTTTCATTGAATTGTCGTAATTGATTAAAAATATAGGTTAAAAATTATAACCCTTGGTGGCAAAGCGATTGTCACATTGTGGCATCACTAGTATAGTAGCTTTGCTGAGTCAGTTTTGTAGATAATGTTAAGACCACCATGTTGAAAATGAAATATTACATTGTCTCACTATTAATATTACGTTACTACAAAGATATAGATACCTACATTCAGTATTTCAAACAAAATCAACAGAAGTTCTGTAGCACCGAACGGAGGTTACGTCGCCAGCAGAATTCCGCGTTAAAATAAAATGCCAAAATTAACTCTCGTGTTGCCATATCGATAACAATGCTTTTTAATTATTTATTAAATTTTCATCCAAAAAATGGCATTTATACAAAAACGTTACGTTTTCCGTGTTAATCGTAATTTTGAACCTGTAAACCGCTGTGACAAAACTCCATCTTCCAATCCAACCTTCCATTGTTAAAGTTGCCAAACTTGACTGAATTGTAAAAGTTGACTTCAACTAACTAACAAATAAAATTAAAAATTTTGTACAACCAACTTCAATACGACTGAATCAATATATTCGAAGTCAATTAAATAAGCATTATGAAAGAGAACTTAAAAGCTACTGGTCAGATCTTGATTAAATTTATATGGGACCACACGAGAAGCACCTTTCTTTCAGATAAAAAAGGAATCATCGAAATCGGTTCACCCAGAGAAAAGTTATGAGGTAACATACAGTCAAATTGAATAACTCCTACTTTTTGAAGTCGGTAAAAATGGAATGTATACAAAACATTACGTTGTCCGTGTTAATCTTAATTTTGCGAAAAAAACTCACCTGATGGTGACTACCGCCGCCCATGAACAACTGCAACACCAGGGGAATTGCAGGTGCGTTGCCGGCCTTTTAGAAAGGAGTTAGCTCTTTTCTTGAAGGTCCCTAAGTCGTATCCCTAGTCGTAGGTAAACGATTCCTACGATACAGAGAGGTCGTACGCGGAAGAAAACTCAATGAAACGTACAGTGGTGGACCGCCAAGCATCCAGATAGTGTGGATAGTATCGAGAGTTTTGCCACGATGTGCGTTCGTGAAATTTGGCGGCTGGGATTAATCCGAACAGTTACTACCCGTGATAGATACGAAGGAAAATGCAAAGGGATGCAACGTCTCTTCGCAGCGCCAGTGAATCGAGCCGATCGGAAACACTCTGTCGTCGACGATTCGAGCCGCTCTGTGCTGGATGCGGTCAAGTGGAAGTAGCTGCCACTGGGGAGCCTCAGCCCAGAGATGGGAACAGTATTTTTTTTATAGAAGAGGGGGCAAACGAGCATGCGGCTCACCTGATGATAAGTGACTACCGCCGCACATGATCAACCGCAACACCAGAGGAATTGCAGGTGCGTTGCCGGCCCTTTAGAAAGGAGTAAGCTCTTTTCTTGAAGGTCCCCAGGTCGTATCGGTCCGTAAAAATCGCCGGTGGTAAACTATTCCACAGAGAGGTCGTACGCGGAAAAAAACTCCTTGTGAAACGTACAGTGGTGGACCGCCAGGCATCCAGATGATGTGGATGGTATCGGGACGTTTGCCGCGTAGTGCGTTCACGAAATTTGGCGGCTGGGATTAATTCGAACAATTCCTCAGATCACTCCCCATGAGTGAAAGAAAATGTAAAGAGATGCAACATCTCTTCGCAGCTCGGATCGAAAAGCACTCGGTCGTCGACGATTCGAGTCGCTCTGCGCTGGATGCGGTCAATGCATGTCGACGCCGAGGATTCCGATACTGGTTGAGGCAACAAGTGGAGTGCCTTGAAACTGAGGAGGTACGACAAAGGGGTTCTTTTTAGCGGTTAACGCGCAAACTTGTGTCTGCTGAGGGTTAAACTAGACTAGATTTAGTCGCCCCCAATCCAAAACTCTGTTCAGTAAAGACTCTACTTCAGTCACAAGTTTGTCCCGGTACTCGAAGACGTTTTCCCGAGAAATATTGGCACGGTCGGTGTACAGAGCATGACTAGTGCTGGTCATCTGCATAGCAATGAATGTTACGGGTTTGCAACATATCATTGATATGCAGAAGAAACAGCGTTGGCGATAGCATAAGCATTAATAGGCTTGTAATAGGAGCTTGCATCGTCTACAACTACCTTGATGCTCCGATCTGCAAGAAAGCTGGTGATCCAATTACACAATTTCTCGGGAAGCCCGTAGGAAGGGAACTTCGAAAAAAGCGCTTTGTGCCAAATCCGATCGAAGGCCTTCGCAATGTCCAAGCTAACGGCCAATGCCCCCCCTTTGGACTCTACTGCCTCCGCCCATCTGAGTTAGGTAGACCAGAAGATCACCAGCTGATTGACCACGGCGGAAACCGTATTGGTGATCACTAATCAGCTGGTGATCCTCAAGGTACCTCATGAGCTGGCAGTTTACAATGGACTCCATTGTTTTGTAGAACAAGGAGGTGATGGCGATAGGCCAGTAGTTGGACGGGTTTCTGTGCGGTCGCCTTTTTTAGGGATCGGGTGGACGAAAGCCGTCTTCCATGATTTTGTGACTACGCCTAGGGAGTAGGAGTACCGGATAAGACGCGTTAAAACTGGTGCCAACTCTGGAGCACACGTCCTCAGCACAATTGGTGGGATTCCGTCAGGCCCACTTGACTTGTGGATGTCCAGGGAGAGGAGTGCTTTACGAATCGGGCGCTGTGTGAACTGCACTTCCGGCATGGAGCACTCACACCGCGGGATGGTCGGCGGCGTACTCCACTCGTCATCGAGAGTCTAGTTGGACGCAAAGAAAGAGCCTAGCAGATCGGCTTTCTCCTTTGCGGTATGGGCCTGTGAGTCGTCCTCCCTGTGCAGAGATGGAAGAGTTGGCTGACAGAAATTCCCCCGGACAGCCTTGGCGAGAGACCAGAATGCTCGGGTTCCAGAAGTAAGGCGAACTAGTTTCTCGCCAATTCTGCCTATGTGCTCTGACTTTGCCTTGGCAATGATTCTTTTGAAGGACCTGGAGGCGGAATTATACTTCTTTTTTAAAGCGCTGGTGTTTACATCCCGGGACGTTGATGCGCCAGCCCATGCTTGGTAGCACTCCTGTTTATAGCATGATGCTATTTTGGGGCCCAACATGACTGAGATTTGCCTCCGATGGGCACCACAGAGGAAGGAATAAAAAGTTCCATACCCTGAAGTACCACATCAGCGACAGAATCCGCAACAACGTTGGGATCGTCCGGCGAGAAGCAAACCCGCCCCCCAAGGGTAGGATGCAAAAAAAGACCGCATCCTATCCCAATCGGCTAACCTATAGTGCCAAACACGGCGGCAGCCTGCAGAATGCAACTGCGATTTCAGCGTGAGTAGCATCACACTCCGGACGAGACAATGGTCCGAAGAGCCTAAAGGGGCGTCGACGGAAATTTGATATCTGTCCGGGTGAGAGGTCAGCAGTAATATATTCCATGTGAGGCCGAACCTGCGTCTTGTAAAGATGGAGGCGGTGTGCCGGCATGAAATACTGTTCCGCTCTGCTGAGCACGCCAAGCCTTTTAGAGGCCAATTTGACCTTATCTTCCAAGTGACCACGAAACTGCACGTCACTCGATTAATTTGATTTGAATTGTCGACGTCGAGGATTCCGATATTCGCTGAAGAAACGAGGGGAAGGAGGTAAGACAAAGGGGTCCTTTTTAGCGGTAAACGTGCAAACTTTTCTTCTGAGGATTAAAGTGGACTAGATTTAGTCGCCCCCAATCCGTGACTTTGTTCAGCAAAGACTAAACTTTAGACACAAGTTTGTTCCGGTACGCGGCGACGTTTCCCCGAGAAATATAGGCATGCCCGGTGTATAGAGCATCACCAGTACTGTCATCTGCATAGCAAACTTGACTGTAATCTAAAAATTGATTTCGTATAACTAAAAATAGCTTTAATTCTTCTTTAATTTAATTTTATCTATAGTAAATTTTAGAAGTATTCAATGTTAACAAGCCTTTACAATTTCAAAACAAGAACACACCTTACAATGACTCAGTACTCGTTTGTTAAAACAACAAACTACGTATAGTTGCCGACACGAAACGTGAGCACAGATGAACTATGGTGGGGGTTGAGCCAGCGTAGGTACACTGTCGGCCAAAATTATTACCTAGGTACTTTTGTTATTTCAATTCATAATTGACTCCTAACTGTACGCCGTACAGTAGCTACGTAGACATTAGTCGCCTTAGCAGTCTGTTTATAAACGTCTATCATGTTTTTCGCAATACCTAATTATGTCATGTAACAAAACACTGAAGATTTGTTGATTGTCTATTTAACACCGAATTCTTTCTTTTCTGCATATTTAGACCAAAATCCGAATGCTCAAATTATAACAAAAAAATAAAATAATTAACAGCAATAAATATCAAAAACAGTTAAAAATAAGAAATACACAAACAACAATTAACAACGAGGTAACACTACAAGCAAAAATAAACTAATTAAAAAGTTATCACTAAAATTGCTCTCAAGTGTACGGTAGTCGAATGATACGTGCGAACCAATAGACGAAGAGAATCGGCTGAAGAACCAATCACGTTGAGCGTCAGCGTGGTCAACGTCATATCGACCAATAAAAAGTGTGCTCACGACTTGTGCCGGCAATTATATATACACTGTCATAGAATGTGAAATTATTTTACTATATTTTTAGTTCTTTGAAGTCGGCTTGTACATTTTATTAAAAGTTAATTTTTATGTGTTTAATTTCTAACTACCTCTTATAAGCCCAAGAATGGTCTACTGCAGAATTTGGATCTCAAATAATAATAACGGAGTAGACGATAATTATTTTAGGCATTTCCCATAGCCGCCTCGTACGTCACTTGGGGATGAAGTAGGGATCATGAGTTCTCTTACTCTGCCATGGCTTTTTAACAGACTTCAAAAGGAAGTCGGTTCTCTATTCGTTTGTATATTTCTTTTGTATGTATATTACGTGATTTCTTCGCAGATTATGAATCGATTTTAATATTAATCGTTTCATAATCTGCGAAGACATCGATGTGAAGATCGATTTTAATAATTCTGTTTTTATTAAATAGGCTTTACCTCAAGGGTGGTTCCATTAAATTTTGAAGAAAAAAATCCGCCCCCAAGGGTGGAAAATAGGGGAAAAGTTTCATATTGGACTATTGTTTAAGGAATTTCATACAGTATTTTCCTCCAATATAAATTTGGAGAAAAAATTCCACCCCTAAATTTGAAGTCGGTTTTTACTTTTTGTTTAGAGTTATAACTATTGATTAAAAAAATGTATTTCAGATTGTTCATGCTGTGTCCTGAGTATAATGCCAGAAGCAAGCATATCATGAATACTCTATTTCGTCTTCTAGCAGATCAAGATCAGAAAGTCAGAAGTGCAGCTGCTCAGGCGATTGCAAAGTATGGAAATATTAAAAATTACTCCTAATTAGTTTTAAAAACGATAATTTTTTCTATTACATTGATAAGAGGAGGGGGGATTACATATTTATTTTATGAAATATGTATAAATTGTACAGTAACTTCTAAATGCTGCAACTGTATAATCACCTTTTTTTATGGAATAAGGAATAACACAGTCCACCTGATGGTAAGTAGTGTTGTGATACACATCTATATCTATCCTCGATTGAGAAGTATAATGGTTATACGGTCTCTACACTTACCATTGCAAGCACTAAACATAGCAGCATGAAGCTGCTATTTCACGGTGGTAATCTGTGAGAGCATGGTCCTTCCCGGTCGAGCAGACTTATTCGTGCGACAATCATAATAAAGCTGCAGCATGGCTCTACCACGTATGAACAGCATCACAACTGGGTCTGTTCAATCAAAGAAGATCACGCTCGAATAGAATACGCAAAATAGCAGCATAATGCGGCTGTGTTTTATGTTGTAAGTGACTAGAAAATTTTCATGTTCCATAATTTTGTAATTTTTGACAAAAAGAAACATTAAAAAATGGAAAAATATTTTATTGTGCGTGGATGTGCAAGTGGTTTAGCATGTGATCGGAAAAATAGACGGAAAATGACTTTTATTGAGCGAACTTAGCGATCGCAGTGCCTCACTTATGGTGTCCATATTTCTGAACACTACTTTTTACGGCGATCGTTCTTCCGTTCTCTAACCTTCATGGTATGAACATAAACGACAAACTTATATATGACTAGTAGTATGAACGTAAACAATGAATATTTTATTTTATCTAATTTAATGTATTTGTAAAAAATATTATATAAATTTTAGCTTTCTACACTCCTCCATATAAATTTACCAATGCCAAATCTCATACTCCTCCACGCGCGTAATATGCTAAAATGGGGTACAAAGTTTTCCTTGACGTATAATATATATACGATAGTGAACTTTCTCTTCAGCATAATACCAAAAATATATCCAAGGAGAAGGGAAACGCCAACTACAATGATGGCGGAGATGGCCAAAGAGCAGAGCCAAGCATTCAACTTCGACCATCACAGCTGTTCCTTGAACTTGGTCAGGAATATATACTTCTACAACGACTTACCGAAGCAAGTGAGGGTTGGAGAAATTTTAAAAAACATTGACGCCGTTACAATGCTCGTTGGTGATTTGATGCAGCGCTTATTTTCCTCCAGTTGCAAGTTTTATTCTGTAAGTATTTGAGTTTTTCTCACTTAGAGCGGAAAACATTGTGTACTAAATCGAAAGCTCTAGGTTTATTTCTTACTAATATTTTTATACAAATAATATTTTTTCGCTTTTGAGAAAACGCTTTGAACTGGTGACTCAAGTGAATCTACATCATATCTACATCATCCCTATATGATCTCGTGGATGTCGTAAGAGGCGACACTGGAATTTGAAACACGAAATAGGTAGCATCTAACACAACTGAAAAAAAAAACAATACAACTTTATACATGGTAGAGCCATGCTGCAGTTATATTAGTAGTATAGTTGTAGCACGAATGGGTCGATTCGACCGGGGAAGGACCACGCTCTCACAGAATACCAGCGTGAAATAGTAGCTTAATGCTGCTGTATTTCGTATGGTGAGTGTAGAGAACCGGTGACCCTTTTTACTGGAAACGAGGCATCCCATCTTAGCCCACACGGGGGACAACGCATTTGCATTTTGATTCGTAATCGAGTATAGATGTAGATGTCTATGGGCAGCAGCAACCACTTACCATCAGGTGGACTGTGTGCTCGTTTGTTACTCTATCCTATATAAAAAAAACAACTGCAGTGGCGACTGACCGTGTAGTGACGGTGTTAGAATGTCCACTACCCCATATCGTTTTGTGAGTGTCTTAAGAGCCGACAGAGGGAAGCTAATCAGGTGATTGGCAGCGTCTTCTTACTAACAAATAGAAAAAAAACTGCGGTTGCCAAACCTTCTGACAAGCATGGTAACTTTGGCAATTATATGCCTTATGCGGAAATCTATGTTCAGCTGTGGACTTTTGATAGGCTGAAACGGTAACGGCCTTTGCTACCCGCCTGCTACTATGGCTAATCCTACCTACGTATTGAGGTGGAGGTGGATTTTTATTGGTTGACAAAAAAAAGAAAAAGATGTATTTACTGGTAGCCAAAATGGTAGAGGTATGCATTACCACAAGCCCACCACTTTACACCCTTTATAATCATCATTACAGCCTGTTAAAGTTCGATGTCGAACATAAGCCTCTTCCGTAAAATGCCTCATAGAGGGATACTTTTTGAGCATTTATCAAAGTAAATTTTCATTACAGCAAGGACTTTTAGAGGCCCTTCAAGCGATATGTAAGTCCTGGTCACCATGGATGCACAAAGACGCATATACGGATCAAGGAATCTTGTCTTACTGTTTAGATAATCTGGATTATTGCAATGGGTCTGTAGCTGCAAGGACAGTATTACTAGATTTGTGCTGCATGATCTATCCAGGTAGGAACTATATTAAAGTATTTAAATAAATAACAAATAAAAAGTTACTATATAATAAATAAAATTACGTGGTAGAGCCATGCTGCTTTTATTTAGTACTATAGTATAGTATGCTAGTTATATTAGTACTATAGTTGTAGCACGAATGGGTCGGCTCGAACGTGGAAGATAATAATTATTAGAAGGGTGGACCACGCTCTCACAGAATACCAGCGTAAAATAGTAGCTTAATGCTGCTGTGTTACGTATGGTGAGTGTAGAGAACCGGAGACCCTTATTACTGGAAACGAGGCATTCCATCTTAGTCCTCACGGGTGACAACGCATCTGCATTTTGATTCGTGATCGAGGATAGATGTAGATGTCTATGGGCCGCCGCAACCACTTACCATCAGGTGGCCTGTGTGCTCGTTTGTCACCTTATCCTATAAAAAAGTATTTATTTGCTATAGAAAAATGCAATGATAAAATTTAAATAGACAGCTTAATAAATAGTTTGACAAAACTGTCTATGGGTCAGTTCTAATGGGAAACCCATTACTCTTGCTATTATGTCACAGCCTTTGCGAATTAGCCGTACAGAGTCTTAGACAAGTGATGAAATACATGTATGTCAAATTAAAAGTAACAATAAATAAAAACTAAAATAATGAAATAAACAAACAAAACTAAAAATACAAAAAATATCACTAATTTGAGCAGTATACTGAGCCATTTCGTGTTTCAGTTTTTAATATTTTTATTGTGTCGAACAATGTTAGCAAAATCGAACACTGCTATTTGTTGCGTGTGACTGTTTGTAACAGATGTGTTTGATATCATGGAAATTTTGAGGATATCCCATTATATTTTTATATTTATACGTAGTAGAACGATGCTGCAGCTATATTTATATAGTTGTAGCACGAATAGCTCGGTTCGACCAGGGAAGGACAACGCTCTCACAGAATACCAGCGTCAAATAGAAATTCAATGCTGCTGTTGTTCGTATGGTGATTACAGAGAACCGGATACCCTTTTTACTGAAAACGAAGCATTCCATCTTAGTCCTCAGAGATAGCAACGCATCTGCATTTTGATTTTTAATAAGGATAGCTGTAGATTTATAAGCCACAGCATCCACTTACCATCAGGTGGACTGCGTGCTCGTTTGCCATAAGGTATTAAATAAAAAAGTCAAAGAGTACTAGCTATATATACACTACTGTTATTCCATTCACAATTATTGCCATGTAGTGGAGGTTTCACTAATTACATCTCAAAAATAATAGTTAAAAACAGCAGTTGATAGATATGAAATGATATTAACATAATTTATTCTGTTTGTCTAAAGTCTAAACCACTATTTAACTAATAAATAATTATATTTAATTCCCAGTGGAAATTCACAATATTATGCGGCACAAAACATCAAACCGCGATATATTCGAAAGAGATTACCAGAACATTACCCATAAATGGCAACACTTGGAGAGCGAAAAGGTTGCCAGTCTGGCGGAAAAATTTCTTCAGGTGACTTTGAAAATGTTGAATGTCCTTGTGCATCTAATAGAAGAAGTTAATCCTAATGTCCATTTGAATAAGAGCGGTATTGCGTTGCCGGGGAGTCCTGTAAGAAGAAAAACACAGGGTAAGGTATTTTCAAATATGATATGTTGTTCATCATCCCATCTTAATCATAGATATTGTGAGAGTGGTAGAGCCACGCGGCAGCTGTTATATTATGATTCTAGCATGAATGGGTCGACTTAACTGGAGAAGGGCCACACTCTCACAGAATACAAATGTAAATTTGTAGCTTTATCCGCTGTGTTTCACATGTTGAGTGTAGAGAACTGGGGAACGTTTTTACTGGTAACGAAGCATTTTATCTGTCTTCAGGGGTTACAATGCCTTCCTTTGTCCATGGTAATAAATATAGCGAAATTGCAGAAAAAAAAACGAAACCTAAAGGAACGAAATTGATTTCAACCATAATATGCACAACTTATAGGCCGTTCACATATTGACCGACGGTAGTACGGACCGTCGCAACGACAGTTCGATTGGCACATATGCATTACGACTGGGTCAAACAGAAGATGCTGCGTAAATCATTAAATCTATACAAATGAATGAATTTTTTTGTTTGTCATACTATAAAACTATAATACATACATAATAGAACGGGGGAGTGGGCGGAGCCCGTGTAGCCACTAACATGTCACTAACACGTCAATTCACACGTATAAATGTCAACACAATCAATCGTTTCCAATTTTCGTGTCAAGCGTCGCTGCATGCAAATTATTTAAAAAATGGCAAATTGTGCAATAATTACGTGTCGAAAGAACAGCGGGAAATGGAATTTAAATAAAGGAGACATATTCCACAACCAGTAAGTCGAAACTATTTATATTTTGTGAATATTAGAAACAAAAACAAAGAAACATGTATGTGTCAAAAACATTAATCAAAATTCTAAAATGTGTTTGTAGTAGTGATAACTGATAATACGACGTAATTGCTTGTATGTGTGCTCCCGGCGACGCCAATCCTCCTACAAAGTTAGGTTGACAGCCATTCTATTGTGTATTATAGTATCCTATGCTGTTAGTAATGTCAAAATCACAGCTTTTTACTAATTGCATATGAAAGTATATACGGTACTTATAACTTTTTGATTTTGACGGGACTTTCACTGGCAGATAGCTGATATTATAAGGAGTAGTTTAGTTAGTTACTTTTATTTTAGATAAAAATATGGTTTCGCGCAAAACCATTAAAAGTCATGAAACCCAATCGTAGTAAATTACAGCTAGCTAACAGCTAGTTGTGAATAAAATAAAATAAAAGCTGCATTGTTATTGCAATGTGTGACTTGAAGGAAAGTAAATATTTTGTATTTTCCTACACACCGCAGCTCTAAAATTTTTCATTATGTAGTTGCATATTTTTGTTTGCCACAGAGAAATCCTATTTGGAATTTTATTATTAGTTTTTATCGCTGCTGTATGATAAATTTACTGTTTCATACAACGATATGATCTCGGTCATCTTTAAATTTTTTACCCAACGGCGCAAAAGGAGGGTAATGTTTTTTTGAGTGTATGTATGTATTTTTTTATAGGGTAGGGTGACAAACGAGCACACAGTCCACCTGACGGTAAGTGGTTGCGGCGGCACATAGACATCTACATCTATCTTCGATTACGAATCAAAATGCAGATGCGTTGTCACCCGTGAGGACTAAGATGGAATGCCTCGTTTCCAGTAAAAAGGGTCTCCGGTTCTCTACACTTACCATACGAAACACAGCAGTGTTAAGCTACTATTTTACGCTGGTATTCTGTGAGAGCATGGTTCTTCCCCGGTCGAGCGGACTCATTCGTGCTACAACTATACTACTAATATAACTGCAGCATGGCTCTACCACTTATTATGTATGTCTATTTTTATGGCACACTATATCCTAAACGGCTTGACGAATGGGGTGTTGTTAGATTCATCTTAGTTGCGGAAGTGACATAGGGTGTAAAATGTTTTTTTCAGTTTTCAGTAAACTTTTTTGTACGCAGTCGGGTTCTTTAATTACTGTTTTAACCTATAAACTGGTTTTCCATTTACATATATTAATTGACACACTGACGCTCCTTTCATGACATATTGTCTAATAGACTTTGTTGTTCGGACCATCGCAAATACCAATATTTACGCTACAACAGATGCGGTCGTGTCGTTATGTTCTATGGAGTTTACATCGAACCTTAGACGTGACCTTGGTGGTGCGGACCTCTGTGACTAACCAATTCACGATGGAACCTATCGCATAGGATTGAAGCTAGTGAGATGATCCATAAAACCGTCACTACGTGAATGCTCTAATTAAATATAAAATTTATTTGAATTTGGGATTCCTTGTCAAACCATAGCTAGTACAGTTAAAAATATCTAAGTAATGTAATAGGTTAGATATGTGTGGCAACTCCTAGACAGGACAGGATTCTATCACTTCAATAATAAATTCTTATTACGTTTTAACTTCCAACAGATCCTATACCAAGAAAAGGCAGTAGCACTCCACAAGATGTAGACGAGAAAGGCTCTCTAAGGAAGAAAGTGCCCGTCCCTCCTACAAGCTTGAAGGCTAACTTTGTAGGGCATTTCTTTAACGAGCCCTTTTATATGAAGCTGTATGAGAACTTGAGGGCTATGTACTCTAATCATAAGGTGGGTTGTAATTTTTTTTGTAGATTTATAGTTGTTGCATTAGTATTAAGGGGAAATAATAAAAAATACTACCTCAAATGGCTTAGAAAATCCTCCGTTATGCCGAAAATATTGCAGCATTAATTTTGAAATAAATATATGGTAAAGTTGAGGATTGATGTTAAGTTAGGCGAAAACACAATTCCGCAAAATTTTCTCGATAGAAAAATCCAAAGTTACCTCCAAACTAAAATATAAACCGCTGGTATTCATAAAATACTTTAAATGAATCATGAAACTTTGCATACTAACTGAACTAACTATAAAGCAGGGCTTATGTTTCTTTTTTTTTAAATTACCATTATTTTCACTGTAAAAAGAAATTACCTAAACTATCGGCGTCTTGAAGCTTGTTTCCTGCCGCCCGATCAGTCTCCATCAGTCTTGTTTCGGCTTTCAAAGGGGGAAGTTGTGTCGCTTACAATCATAATACACACGCAACAGGATGGCGTAAAATTTAAATGGGAAATAACCGTAATAAAAATAAGAAGCGACTGGGCTGGCGTAAAGAAACAGGCATAAATATGATAAACCTAATGAAATAAGTATCTACTGACCTATCTACTTATCGTACTAGTGATTACAAACATGTCGGTACATAGCATAGGCAGCGCGGGGAAGTAGGGTACGAAATTAGAATTTGAGCAGACTTTCTATATCCCCTTAATAGTTTTAAACCTCAATAGGTAATGTAAAATTAGAAGAAAGGTTTTTGAGAGAAGAAAGGTTCTCCAGAGGCAGCCTCGTACGGGTAGACGAAGTGTAGGGCGGCCCGCCACTAGATGGAGTGACCACCTGACAAACCTTGCAGTAAGTCGATGGATGCAGGTGGCTCAGGACCGTGTTTTGTGACCTTACTTATGGAAGGCCCTTGTTCAGTAGTGGACCTGTGAAGGGCAGTAATGACGATGAATAAAGTTACAGCCTATATACGTCCCACTGCTGGGCACAGGCCTCATTTCTTAGAGGGTTTTAGGGCGGGGAAGTGTCCGCCGCGCTGCCCCAATGCATGTCGGCGAACTTCACATGTCTTCGAAATATTTTTTCCTTATTCCTCAGACATGCAGGTTTCTCACGATGTTTTCCTTCACCACCGAGCACGTGGTAAATCGGCACTTAAAATTGCAAGTAACAATTTCATTGGTGCCGGCGGGGATCGAACCCGGATTATTCGCGTTCTGTTATATTTACAGCGAGCGTTAACCAACTGAACTACCACGGCTCTTCTGTCAATGATGATGAATGTGAAAGTATAAACGATATTCGATTTCGAATAATGATGGGATGTGATATCAAAGTTGCGAGAAATCTATAACAGCAATTCCCACTATATATGCTAAGCATGCCGATAATAGCTAATATTTCTTATGGGGATGAGAAGGAATTAATTAAATAATTATTTTGCTACCTGCCACATGCCACATTGTTGGACCGTGTAGTGGCTGTACAAGAATATTCACCACTACATATTGTCCTGTTGGTGTCGTAAGAGGTGACAGAGGAAAACATGTCGGGAGATAATAAAGATATTGATTAATTTGCAACCTTCCGCTAACTAAATAAAATGATGTGTCTTACCTGGATTGAAGAGCACCTCCCGCCCTCCCTCAATTGCGTGCACTAATTCCGTCACCACTAGTCCCAGCACCACTACTCCCAACACCACTACTCCCGGCACCACTACTTCCTACACCACTATTCCAGGAAAGACACACCATCGACGATAATACGACACGTGTTTCGCCTTTACACGAGGCATCCTCAGGTGATGTAGACTCTACGGCGGCTGACCGCTAACTACATCACCTGCTACTACATCACCTGAGGATGCCTCGTGTAGAGGCGAAACACGTGTCGTATTATCGTCGATGGTGTGTCTTTCCTTGAATAGTGGTGCCGGGAGTAGTGGTGCTGGGATTAGTGGTGAAGGGATTAGTGCACGCAATTGAGGGAGGGCGGAAGGTGCTCTTCAATCCGGGTAAGACACATCATTGTATTTAGTTAGCGGAAGGTTGCAAATTAATCAATATGTTTATTATAATGGATTTCCGCAAAGTAACGCCTGATTCTATCAATTATATCGGGAGATGGGGAGCAGCGTCATTCTTATAACAACTGCGGTAGCCAAACCACCTGCGAAGTATGGCAACTATGGTAATTAGGCAACCTATGGGGTAGGCCTAAGTCAACTACTTTTGATAGGAGTAACATGCCACATTTTTTTGAAGTGAAATCATTAGGCACTTTTGGCACTTATTGCATGGGATAGAGCAATGAACTCGCGTGAACGTTACGCTCAGATACGTATATATTATATACTGGTGTGTATTCATAAATTTTATTTGTATTATTTAAGTAAAAATCATTATTTTTCATGTAAAACTGCACTATAAATGAAAATTCTATTTTGTTGATAAAAATAATTTCTACTAAAAAATACTTCCTAAAAAATATTTATTAACAACCCAAAAATTATGTTTTCAAGTTTGTGAAGCTAAGAAGTTTTAATTTCTGACATGCAGTCCTGACACTTTTTATTTTGCTTTTTTCGTAAGGCTCATCAAGCAAGGCGGCACTTTGAATACTCTTTTATAAACAATACTGTTTTATAAACACATTTAAAGATCACTATGGGAAATGGACACTTCTGCGCAGTCGATAGCTTTCATGGAGTTGTACATGGTAGAGCATCGCTGAAGCTATAATATAGTTGTAGCACGAATGATACATGCCGCCCTTTCTTGGGTCGGCTCGACTGGGTATGAACTACGTTTTCACAGAATACCTGCGTAAAATAGCAGCTTAAAATAGTTGCAGTGTTTCGTGTGATGAGTGTAGAGAACCGGAGACCCTTTTTACTGGAAACGAGTTACTACATCTTAGTCCTTTGGGGTGACAAATATTCGAAAAGATTCTTCATTGAGGATAAATGTAGATGTATATGGGCTACAGCATTCACTTATCATCAGGTGGACTGTGTCCAAAAAAAGTGTCACCACTGGACATGGGCTTCTTTCTTATGGACAGCAGGGTGACTTCGTACAGTGAATAGCTTCCTTAGTGTTTTTGCTTTGATCAAAACCAGCTAAGCGAATATCGACATTATTATTTATCTTAACCTTCCAATTTTATAACAAAAAGTTGTAATTTAAATAAAATATAAAGGTTTAGCCATAGAATATTTTAATACACAATATAATGGCTGTCAACCTTACTTTGTATTGGAGGATTGGCGTCGCCGTGAGCACACATACAAGCAATTACGTCGTATTATCAGTTATCACTACTACAAACACATTTTAGACTTTTGATTAATGTTTTGACACATAAATGATTTTGTTTTTGTTTCTAATATTCACAAAATATAAATAGTTTCGACTTACTGGTTGTACATGTACAATATGTCTCCTTTATTTAAATTCCATTTCCCGCTGTTCTTTCGACACGTAGTTATTGCACAAATTCAACTTTTTAAATAATTTGCATGCAGCGACGCTTAACACGAAAATTGAAAACGATTGAGTGTGTTGACATTTATACGTGTGAATTGTCGTGTTAGTGACATGTTAGTGGCTACACGGGCTCCGCCCACTCCCCCTTTCTATTATGTATTATGTATTATGTATTTTATGGGTTTAGCATTAAGTTGCGGCACTGAGTGCCGCGACTTAATGCTAAATGGATCAAGAAATTGTCCACTCACAATAAATTTTTCTGAATTTGGATGTTTGTCCTTGTGCAATTTATGTATTTAGTCTGTCTCCACGATATGGGAAAAAATCCCAGTAAATAAATAACTAGCAGGTAAATCCCTTTTTAATTGTCTTACAGATAAATCTAGATCCAAAAGGCAGTATATTCTACGAATTCCTATCGACGGTACTGAACTGCCTCGCGATACAACTTGAGCTGGCAACAGAGAAAGAGTTCGGCCACGTCACAGAGGAGATTCTCTACTATCTTAAAGTCATGATGCCGTTATGTCCGAACACAACAGTCTACTGCATCACACAGCTACTAAAATGCCTCTTCGGTACGAATATGATAAACCAATACAACGACTTTATGAGTATATCCGACACTGCGGATGTTTTGACGAAAACCAGCTTTTACAACGATGTTATGTTGGTGAATCCTATTAAAGATATGACTGAAGATTCTAGAAGGAGTAGCGTTTGCTCGAACGCGAGCCAGAAACTATCTCTGGACAGCAAGAACCCGCGGATGCTGGTCGAGAGACAGCTTCTGATGGCTATGGAGAACTTTTCGAGGAACAAGACCGATAGGAAATGGAGCACTAATAAGAAGGAGCTGGAGAGATATATAAGGCTGTTTGAGCCAGTTGTTATACAGGCTTTGAAGGTAGGATTTGTATTTTTACTATAGTGAATTGGTATGTCATGTAATCGCGGCGTAAGAGAATCCACTACTATATTATCCGTAACTCAAAATAGTAGAAAACTGGTTGATAACCCACCTAGCAAGCGAGGCAGTTATGGCGAAATTCCCCTTATATGGCTATTTATGGGTGCTGTGACAAATAGTGCACTTTTTCGGCCGTAAGGGGGCGTCCATTAATTATGTGAGGTGCTTAGTCCAGCAGAATCTCTGAAAATTCTCACATGAGTGAGGGAGTTGAGACATATCTCACGACAACTTGGGGGATAGGAGGGTATAAAATTGCCAAAATTGCCTTGCGTAATTAATGGACGTCTGCTAATGGATGGTTGGTAAAGCGTCTGGCAAGAGTGGCAACTATAGCAAATATCGCTCCTATGAGGCAATCAATGAGGGGATACCTAGGCTTAGCAGTAAACTTTTGATAGGCTGTAATCATGTGATGATGAACCTATAAGAACCTACCTTCTGAGATATTTGAACACCGAATTGGGTATCCATTGGTTATTGCTTCAATTTGCTAGTATTCTTTTTATAGGATAAGGTGACGAACTAGCACACAGTCCACCGGATGGTAAGTGGTTGCTGCGGCACACAGACATCTACATCTATCCTCGATCACAAATCAAAATGCAGATACGTTGTCACCCGTGAGGACTAAGATGAAATCCCTCATTTCCATTGAAAAGTGTCTCCGGTTCTCTAAACTCACCATACGAAACATAGCAGCTTTAAGCTACTATTTCACGCTGGTATTCTATGAGAGCGTGGTCTTTCCCCGGTCGAGCCGACCCATTCGTGCTACAACTATACTACTAATATAACTGCAGCATGGCTCTACCGCGTATAAAATGTTGCTTATCGATTGTGATTCGCTCAAATCCATTTTACACACAGCAATTGTACAATTACGACGTCTAAAATCTTCGCAGAGGTCCTCCAACTCGCAGGCGTCGTAGGTCGTGGTGGTTTTCCAAATAATTCTTTATCGCGTTACCGACAGAATAAATTTTTCGATGGCGGGATAATACTTTTTTATGCAATAAGAGAAGGGTAAACTCAATATATCAATCCGGTTTATTTAAAATGTTTACAATTCTTGCGCACACAAATTTTATTTTATTTATTTTTTATATCATAAAATGGGCGTGACAAACGTGTGTGCTCGACACAGTCCACCTGATGGTAAGTGGATGGTGTGGCCTATAGACATCTATGTTTATTTTCGATTAAGAATCAAAATACCGGTGTATTGTCACCCGTGAGGACTGATGGATGGATGAAATGCCTCGTTTCCAGTAAAAAGGGTCTTCGTTTCTATACACTCACCATACGATACACAGCAGCATTAAGCTGCTATTTTACGCTGGTATTCTGTGAGAGCGTGGTCCTACCCCATCAAGCCGTGCCATTCAATCTACAACCATAATATAGTTACAGCATGTATCTACCACGTAAGAGTCACACTGCAGGTTTATTGTGGTTGCGTCAATTTTAACTTGACGGGGGATATTGTTCATTATCATATAAATATTAAAACTGATTTCCCGAATATCGTGGTTATTGTTTTTTGGACATTAATTTGTTGAAACGTTCTGCAAATGTGATGCAACATGTAGCTGACTGTAATTACAATATAAGTATTTTCTTTTGAGGACTATAGATATAGATATTGAATTTCTTTGAAATTAATATGCTTATTTCCGCTTATTTATTAAAATGATGTGTCCTGTCCAGTTTGAAGAGCTAGCTCTTACTGGTCAGCTACCACTCCGAGAGTCTACTTGATCTGGGAATGCCTCGTGTAGAGGCAAAACACGTGTCGTATTATCAAGGGTGGTGTGTAATTCCTGGTGTAGTGGTGTAGGGTATGGTGGTGCTGGGATTAGTGGTGACGGGGATAGGGCACGCAGTTGAGGGAGGGTGGCAGGTGCTTTTCAAACAGACTGTGCAGGACGCATTTTATTTTATTACGCGGAAATAAAAACATTAAGTTCTAACAATTTTAATATAATGGGTTTCTGCAAAGTTACACCTGATTCTATTATATAATCCCTGTTCCAGAGTTACACAATGCAGAACGACATTCCTCTTCAGTGTGAGGTGCTGTCCCTGCTGAATCAACTCCTGGCGTTAAGAGTCAACTACTGTATGTTGGACAGTGATCAAATCTTCATTGGATTTCTAATGAAGCAACTTGACTTAGTGGAGCAGCATGAGATACCGTAAGTTGTTTTTCCAAAGAGTACGCACGTCCGTCATAATTTAGAACTTTCCTAAAATTAATAGCTACATTTATTCCCTGTGTGGTAAAGTTCCTTTCTGCTCACAAGTTAATCCAGGTAGGTATCAACTATCAACCCTGTGCTGTGTTCCAGTCTGTCGAAGGTTCAGGTCTTATAAAGATCCAATATAATAACAGACTGAGAAATAATCCATCTTAGTCTTTAGATGTGTCATGGCATTTGACATTCAGTAACAAATTCAGCAGTGGCGATAAGCAAATCTATATGCCTCTCCCATTGATTACCTAATATGGGGATATTTGCCATAGGTGCCACGTGTAGCAGAGATGTTGGCAACCGCAGCAGGGAAAAATGCCCAAAACCCAAACCCAAATTTTATAAATAAGCGATATAGGTGATGGGAAATAAAAATATATTCTATACAATGAATGACAAAATTGATCTATATTTAACTACTAGAATTGTATTTATTATTTTACTATATGTATTCGGTACGCGGCGAAATTGAATCAATATACCGCGGAACGAGATTTTTACTAAACAGTGCTTGTATCTTCGTAGTAGGTGGAAAAAATGGTTTATATACAGGTAGCATAACTTTTGTTGTTTATTTAAATGTGTCTCTGTATATATATATATATATATATATATATATATATATATATATATATATATATATAAACACACGCCTGTCACCTGGAGGGGTAGGCAGAGACTCTACGGACTTCCATTTGGCACGATCCTGACGTACCTCTTTCGCCTCCTTTACATCGATATATCTACCATACATGCTCGTCGGTTAAGGGTACTTCTAATGTGGCCTATTTTCACAATATCGCCAATTTGGTCGATAAACTTTCTTCTAGGGCGTCCTTTCCCGACTCTGCCGTTCACATCTGCCATATAAATTTGCTTTGTCACTCTTTCCTCATTCATTCTTTCTACATGACCAAACCACCGAAGCATTCCTTTCTTAATCCTGGTCACAACATCATCTTGCATACCACATTTATCAATAATATTCACACACACACAAAACTATTTATTTTATGAATAAATACAAATTGAAACCAGATTTCAAGGAGTGTGACGAAATATTCATTAAATATAATATTCGACCGATTTAAATCTTTTTAAATTTATTAATTAGATTTTTTTAGTATTAATAGTATTTAAAGTTTAATATTGTCATTTATTTAGTTAATGGTTAAGTGTATGTAGACAGTTATTCTTAAGTTATTATTCAAGTAGGTCTAATAAAATAAAGGAGTTGGTTAAATTATAGAATTATAACATTTTCTTTTGACCATTTTTTATCTTAATAACACATCCAGAATCGATGGGCTGCGAGAGTGTAGATACAAAGATGAATGCTGAAAGAGTATGAAAGGAAAGTGCCATGTACGCCACTGACCCCAATCAAGTTAGGACAAGCACAGGAGAATGATGACACCCAATAAGAAATATTTAAAATGTCTATAAATGTAAAGACTGATTTATTAATTGATAGATCAATTCCACCAAAACATAACAATCAAAAAATGCAAGCCTCGCAATGGAATCCTTCTACTACAAAAAGTTGCTAGATCTAACAAACATTGTAATCTAGTAAAAAAACTTGTTCACATCACGTTACCTTAATTTTTTAGTAGTAATTTTCTTAGTCCAACTAAGCAACAAATGAAACATTTAGTAAAATTTTATACATTAGTATTAGTCTATATAACTAAAAATACTTAATATTTAACAACTGATTGAGCAATTACACACGCTATAATGTTGTTGTTGTTAATAAATATAGATATTGTTTGTGTAAATCATTACAAAGCCGCCGAAAGGTGCTCTTTCAAACGGAAATATGTACAACAAACAGTAACTCACGCATATCTTCCACTCTTTCCATTTTTTGCCGGTAATTGTTTCATTTTTGTCGCCTTAAGACGAACACATCGAAAATAAACGCTTAAAATGGCTCCGCCTATTCCACCCCGCGCCCCTCGTCTCGACACTCGTCTCTGGATTCCTAAAATTTCAAATTCGCGCCCAATACTCAATCGGAGGTCAACGTGCGGTAAACAGAAAGGAACATGCAAGCGTCGGAGTCGCGACACACTATTTTTTTAATGTTTTTAATATTTTGCATTATTTATTGTCTTGTTGTATAATAAAATGTAGCTGTATATGTCATTGTTGTTGTCGATATGTTAGTTTATCAAAAGAGAAATCAACAACTTTTATATTTTTTTATTTATTGAAATAATAACTAAGTCATATTTTTAAAACTGATTATATTGTATACTTAACAGAATTTGTAACGCTATTTTATTCCTCTTCTTTTTTAGGGCCATTGTACACATTTTCTTTATTTTTCTTTTTTGTTACATAATTTGGATCCTGATTTTGTTTATTACGAGTAAGTCGCGGTTCTACCAATTCCGGTAGCAAGCAGAGAAAATGAAACGAAAATAATTTTGGCTCCATTTTATCCTTCCAAAATTGGATATCCTTTACTATTGTTTCCACTTTTATTTTATTACGTCTATACCATACTGCCAATAAGCATTTAGATATTTCGGACATATGCAACTGTCTTTGAACTTGCATGTACCATCAATCAGAATTTTTGTTCACCTGGATCATAACACTTTTTTTATTTACCCGCCAGAAATGCATTTTTTCTTGTATTATGACTTCGTCAATACAGACCTTGTATGCAATTATGGGACATGTGATTTCAAACAGGATGTTACTTCCTATAATACCGCAGGCGTTGCTCCTAAAAATGGATGATTTTTGTGTATGAATAAACTACAAGGGTCTATCTTTTAAGTCTAGTAAATTTGATATTTTTTACTGTACTAGCGCAACTGTTGGTTTAAATTTTTTGGCAATCTTTAATTTTTTTGCACTTAGAGGTTGCAATAATAGAAAAAAAAACTCGTTAATCTCCCTAAGAATAATATAGAGCACAGTCACAGCGTCTCCATCGGATTACTGTCTTAAGAGTGCGTATTGCGTTGTATAACGACCAACGGAATGTGACAACTTTTTTCTTAGTATTTCCCATTACCACTCAAACAAATTATTTAAGTACCTACTTATACTAATAATAATTTCCTATTATAATAATAAACCTATTCTATAAGAATAGAGAGTACAAGCGAACGACTTGCGCAGGTCCACCGTCCACCGTTGAAGCGGCCTGTCGCCGGACTGGCCCGCGTGAGTATATAATTTCTATAAAACTATACCGCCGTTATAAGGTCTAAAATTGCGTAGTGTCCGCGACGATTAAGACCGCTTAGAAATTGTCAGAATCTTAAAATATTTTTTAAAAATTATTGAATTAAGTAATCAAAATAATGCGCAACTAAATTACAGATATTGGCGTTATGTATATTTGAGTGATTCTCAAGCATATAGATTAAGTAATTTTCTTGTAAAATCAACTATAGTGATTTTTAGAGGTGTTTTCGCAAATAATTATGATCGAGTCAAAATTATACAATCGTGTTTTTTAACAATCAAATTCAAGACTAAGACATGAATTTACCTATATCAAAATTTCAGTTTCGTTAGTCGTGTCATAGTCCCACTATTCGATGAAAGGAGGTGCATTTTTTCAAGGTGTCGCCTTAACCACACATTCTCATTATGTGTAGCCCTTAGTAAATGCAGTGTACGCATTTTTATCGAAAAACCACGAGAAACGAGCACGAATTGATGAAAATAATACCAACAGCTGACAATCAGCCATGTTGTTATGCTTTTCTAAAGGGTTCAAGCTATGGAGTACTATACTCCATAGCTCAAGCGTTCGCTAAGTTGTCGAATAAATGGTTTGACTTCTCAGCGATTTCGAATATCAAAAGTGCCACTTATCTACGCATTGCTAAGATAATATCGTTCGTGTTATTAGTTTTCTTTATCGTTTCGTTATGCGGTTTCATATTGTCTAGCAATTAGCGATCGAAAACGATCGATCACGTGATATTTCGAAAGCTTATTAGTTTACTTAAGTTTCATACATTTCGGAGTTATCTAATTTCGTTATCGTTATTGAAAATGTGACTTTGTCTAGGGCCTCAGGAGAACGATCGCTACGTGCTATCGCATAGCCCGCCTATCCCTGAAAATTTGTATAATTTATAGCCGCGCTGCCGTCGGTAAGTAGTGTCGGCGAAGTAATTTTTTAATTTTTGATTAAAACTACTTTTACGGATTTTATCGCGTTTATTTTACTAATATTTTTAATTCTTAATTCCCGACGTTTCGGGCGCTTTCCAGCACCCATGGTCACGGGGGACTGAGATGACTGACGTCCAGATGTCATTGTTAAACCCGGAGTACCTTCAGCTTTTTTAATTATTGTTTATGGTCCGATCTATGCAAAATGAACTGACTATGTCCTGAGGTCTTGCAGTGGATGCTTGGGTTTGGTTTTAATTTTATTGATTATAGGATCCCAAGCAGGTGGTAGTACCCAGCCTCCTTCACTATTGAAATTAGGATGTTTTTTAATTTCAATAGCCTCACGTATCATCTTTGGTAGGAATCGGTGTTCTTTCGCGAGGATTTGTGGTCTATCAAATGATGTAATGGATGTAATGGTTGGGGCCGTCTAGGATATGATCGCAAACTGCAGACTTCCCGGAACGTTGATGCTTCACATCAGCTATATGTTCTTTTACGCGGGTTCTAATTGATCTTTTTGTTTGTCATATATAAGAGATCATAAACAATAATTAAAAAGCTGAAGGTACTCCGGGTTTAACAATGACATCGGGACGTCAGTCATCTCAGTCCCCCGTGACCATGGGTGCTGGAAAGCGCCCGAAACGTCGGGAATTAAGAATTAAAAATAATAGTAAAATAAACGCGATAAAATCCGTAAAAGTAGTTTTAATCAATGTGTAGTTTCGTTCAAAGTGTTCGCGTAAATGTAAGAAATCATTTTTTAATTTTTGTCAAAAAAAAACCAATAAAAATTGTGAAATATTGTAAATAATAATAATAAATAATAATTAATAATTTATATTTAAAATTATTGAGACAACTTAGCGATCGCAGCGTAAGTGAGGCGCTGTGATCACTAAATTCGGTCAATAAAAGTCATTTTTAGTCTATTTTTCCGATCAGATGCCAAACCACTTGCACATCCACGCACAATAAAATATTTCTCCATTTTTTTAAGTTTCTTTTTGTCAAAAATTACAATATTACGGAGCATGAAAATTTGTACATTATTCAACTAACTATCTACTTGTATTCATAAACAGCTAACTTCGCAGTCACTACTCAAGGACGTCAGCGCCGCTATATATTCTACAATTTTCAAGGACAGACGGGCTATGCTTTAGTACGTAGTGATCGTTCTCCTGTTCTCTGACATCCATGGTAAAGGGCGTTTAACGGTAATTTGTATGTCACACTAATAGGTGGCGCTTGTAGTATCTTATAACGCAGTATCATTTGCTACACAGGGTTGTGTAATAGATGCAGGCACTTGCGTTTATTGTTATTTTTTGCTCATGAACATTAAAACTAATTTTTGGCAACGGTGATCTTTTATCACCGTTTAATTTTAAACCATCCTCAGATTGGATTCTGTATACTGAGTTGTATAAGCGGAGTCCAATGCGGAACGGACGTTTTGAGACTATCTATACCTATAAATATGACACGTACATGATATACCCATGTTATTAGTACAAATTTTGTAAAAAATTATATACAAGTACATACATACAAGTATAGTACCTGGTTGACCGAGCTTTGCTCGGTATTTTTCGTTCGATTTTTTTTAATTCGTGTGTTTTGGAAATTATATTTGGATACAAATTCCATACTGATGAAATATAAATAATATTTTTTGATCTTAGCGACATAACAGAAAAAAACGGAACTGGTTATTTGAATAAAAAATCATGAGTGCAATTATTTTAATTTAAATTTTCGTGTTTTTAAAAAATACTAAAAAAAGGGCTCGATAAAATAGATTTTCTCAAAAAAGAAAGGAACTTGAAAAAAATTAAAAAAAGTCGGTCGGTCGATCTGGGCTCTAACCGTGGTTTAACTATTCTGTGACCGCCTATTATACCATTAAGATTATTAATCATTAACAATCTGTCAAAATTTACCTTCTTATTCTAACGATATTGTAGCAGTTTTTCATTGCCTAAAAACACGGACAAAAAGACATTTTCTAAAAATAAATCCTAGCTAGATCGATTTTTTATCCCCGAAACTCCCTGGACACTAAATTTTATGAAAATCGTTGGAGCCGTTTCCGAGATCCCGATTATATATATATATATATATATATATATATATATATATATATATATATATATATATATATATATACAAGAATTGCTCGTTTAATAGTATAGGATAATCAAAGTCCGGGAGGTATGTGTTATTAAGTTTTTAACAAAAGGTTGATTTTAGGATTAAATACCACCTATTGACGAATGTGAACATTACTGCGCTGGAACTCGAGAGCAAATTGTTTTGCGATCCCGATGGATGTCGCAACCAGTAACAAAAAATAATTGATAGAGTATTTTCATATCAAGCATGATTTTATACATAGAGATTGTCACATTATTTTACTATCTGAGACCAACAGTATAGTCTTAATTTAGGTAAATAAACAAGAGGTGGTTAAGACTGGACTAGAGATGGCGTAGAGACAAAACAAAGTAACTATAATAACGGTATACTTACTGAAAATTTTCCATAGCAAATGTGTTTCATCTAAACTTATCTCGGTTATAGGTTTCCTGTTTTCTTAGGAATAGACTGGGTTGGTTTCATTACTGCTGTGTTTCCCTTTGAAGTATAATTAAGAGCCATGAGGCATTCGGTCTTTGACCTTAGGGTGATTAATTATTAATGAAACTAATTTTATGGTTTTTATTTATATATAACCCAGGTAACCCGGGCTCACAATGACATTGGGCGCCAAACACCTTGTGACCCGTGACCATGGGTGCTAAAGCACCCAAAGCGTCGGGAATTAAAATATGTTAAATTAAACGCAATAATAATTAATTAACCGACATAGAAAGCTGAAGTGGCAATGAGCCGGTCATGTAGCTCGAAGAACCGACAACCGTAAGAAAGGTTCTCGAGTGGCAAACTCGTACCGGTAGTTCAGGTGTAAGGCGTCCCCCCACTAGATGGAGTGATGACCTGGTAAGGAGACATGAAGGGAGTCGATGGAACCTGCTTCCATCAGCTCAGGACCATGATTTGTGCCATTGCTTGGGGGAGGTCTATGTTCAACAGTGGACTTTTGAGAAGGGCTGTAATGTTGATGATGAAACTGAATAAAAACCGCAAAATTAGTTTAATTCAATGTCTAGTACTCGTGTAAATATAAGAAATCATTATGAAATATTTATTTTATGCAGAAATTGTTGCAAGCTGGTCAACAGCATCCTCCTGTTCTTGGTCCAGCTGTCTTCATCGAAACACCACACTAAGCAATTAATAGAGATACCTAAGGTAAGATATGGAACTTCTAACTAGCAAAATAAGTAATTTAGAATTGTAACTAGGGATGGGCCGACTATGGATTTCACCGAATACGAATATTCGGCAGAATGTTCGATAAAAATTTTACCGAACCGAATAGTTGACCGAACATTATTCGGCAGGATAATTTCGGGACCCAACCAATTTATGTTGAAACTTGTTACCGTAAAGCGCGTGGGATTAGCGCCGGACCCTACCTCTCGCTCCCCGCCACACCCGACAGTTATTGCATCATCTAGTACTGAGCAAATTGCCGGCACATGCTTATGTTTTGACTATTCTTGTGATAAAAAAGTATTTCGGTGTTTTATTCTTAGTGAAAATTGACAATTATTTCATAAAAATGAGCGGCAGGAGATTTACTATTTGGACTTATTTTAGAGAAACTGACGACCAAAGTAAAGGGAAGTGTACTAATGTAATGTTTCTTTGTTTGATTCCAAAAGCATTATATCAATTTTCTATTTGTTATAATCTGAAACAAATCTACAGTGCCTCAAAAACATAAATGCATAGATTTATGCATTTGAGGCACTCTAGAGTAAGTCGATTTAAATCATAAATAAAATATACTTTCAACAGTAAAAGACATCGCATTACTCAATTCGTACATTTCAATACATTGGACACTATTCGGTGATTTAGCCGAATATTCGGCTGAATACGAATATTCCGTAAAGCTGCCGAATATGACGAATACCGAATATAAAACGAATATTCGGCTATCTCTAATTGTAACTGAACAGGCGTCACAAAAGATTGCCTTATGAGGGGGGTACTTGCCATAGTTGCACACGCTTGGCAGGCGGGTTGGCAACCGCAGTTTTTATTTTTTTTACAGTAAGGGTGACAAACGAGCACACAGTCCTCCTGTTGGTAAGTGGATGCTGTAGTCCATAGACATTTACATTTAACCTCAATTAAGAATCAAAATGCTGATGCGTTGTCACCCCCGAAAACTAAGATGGAATGCTTCGATTCCAGTAAAATGGGTCTCCGGTTCTCTACACTCACCATACGAAACACAGCAGCATTAAGCTGCTATTGTAAGCAGGTATTCTGTGAGAGCGTGGTCCTTCCCCGGTCGAGCCGACCCATTCGTGCTACAACCGTAATATAGCGGCAGCGTGGCTCTACCACGTAGATATTGTTTTTTCTGTCGCCTCTTATCGACGCGCACGGTTCATACCGACATGCAAGCACACAGTCCACCTAATGGTAAGTGGGTGCTGTGATCCATAGACATCCACATTTGTCCTCCGTTAAGAATTAAAATGCAAATGCATTGTCACCCTTGAGGACTGAGATGGAATGCCTCGATTCCAGTAAAAAGGGTCTCTGGTTCTTTACACTCACCATACGAAACAGCAGTATTAAGCTGCTATTTTATTGCTTTATATTAGCTGATATTCTGTAAAAGCGTGGTCCTACTCCGGTCGAGCCGACCCATTCGTGCTACAACCATAATATAGCTGCAGCGTGGCTCTACCACGTTGACTCATCATTTTTATATCACAGGAGAGATCAAGTCTACGCTTTACAATATTTATGACATACATAATTATATAATACCATGAATTAAATTTCACAAACAACAAATTGAAAACCTATATGATGTAATAAGTGTGTATAAGTGTAAGCTGTTTTACTGCTCTTTTATATATACGTTAAAATCTTTATTTATCATTTTCACCGCGCGAAAAAGTCGTAGTGGTAGCCTACCTTAATGTTACGAGTAATTTATTTTTGCAGTTGATACAACTATGCGACGGTTTGATGGCGTCAGGGGCCCATTTGGAATGTATAGCGGGCTTGGAGCCGGTGGCTGTACGGGTGTTCAGTAATATGGGAGGTGAGGAATATACAGAATGGGTACTACATATAAGCAATAAATGAAACCACATACCTTTATCGTCTTTGCTGACGATAATCAAAAAATGAACGAAATCGGTCCAGTAATTAGGTCAAAAAGTAACGTTTTAAATTTGAGCTAATTTGAACTCTCTGTAGAATTAGGTCACTAGGTCAATGTTTCAATGAACTTGAATACTTGAACATTAAAAAGCGACGTTGCCACGCAGTGTCAGTATCACGATGTGAGACTATGTTCGTCGACAGCGGTGTCTTTGGCGGCGTCCTTCAAAGGCGAATATGTCGTATAGTATTATTATTTTCCCCATTTTGGAAATTTCGCTTTCAGTTCACCGCGAATCTTCCGGGATAGTGTGTGTGCGCATTGCTTCAATTGATTTATTTTAAGTAAGATAAATACAAATAGTTAAACAATTTTCTTACGGTGAAATGGACACTTACGAGTATTAGCTAATTGACTTTGTGTGTAATGAGTTTTTAAGTTTATTTTTATTATTTTTTGTGTGCTATTGACACTACTTAACTCTTGTGTTTACGCGTGTGTTTTTTTAACAAAATGCCAAGACAACAGCATTTTTAACGTGCGGTAGAGTATATAGATATGATTTTATTGTATGGCGAATGCAGCCATAACGAACGAAATATATTATTGTTGTACACGAATGGGTCGGCATGACCGGGGCACGACCACGTTGTCACAGAATACCCGCGTAAAATAGCAGCGTAATGCTGCTGTGTTTCGTATGGGTTGGTGTAGAGAACCGGAGACTTTTTACTGGAAAGAGGCATTCCAACTTAGTCCTAACGGGTGACAACGCATCGGCATTTTGATTCTTAATCGAGGATAAATGTAGATGTCTATCGGCCGCAGCATCCAATTACCATCACGTGGACTGTAAGCTCATTTGTCATTCTATTCTATAAAAAAGAACACTCATGGTCAAGAAAATTAATCATAATCGCAACACTTGACAGGCGAATTGCCATTCCCTGTGCCAGATAAAGTTTGTTGTTTTATTTACAATGTCCTTCAGACCGACTTGGTATAAGTGGTAATACTTTTATGCTGCCTAGAACTCTGACTCTGTAGGTATTTCTTATCTATTTTCGTCCATCAAATGGCTGATGTGTTCTACTCTAAAAGTTATGTGATTACTGTAAATTCGATCGTTACTTAATTTAAAAACTATTTCTGTACAGGTGGAAGCACTCTGGGTCGAGCACAGCAACAAGAAGCACAGGCTACGAGAGAAGTTCTCTTCTATATGCTACAGAAGACGATGCATCAGCACAAAGTAAGTATTGAGTCTTATTTCTATATCAACTTTTTTAGTTTGGTTATCTTTATATATAAAATTCCGGTGTGCGTGCGTTCGTTATTCCTCTTCTAAAATACTTGATCGATTTTGATGAAATATGTTTTGGGTAGTTATGTGATCACCAGGATGGTTCTTAGCAATGTTTGGACCCGGTAGGTGACGCTGTTATCTAGTAAAGAAGTTAATTAATTTGCAACCTTCCGCTAACTAAATACAATGATGTGTCCTACCTGGATTGAAGAGCACCTCCCGCCCTCCCTCAATTGCGTGCACCAATCCCGTCACCACTAATCCCAGCACCACTAATCCCAACACCACTACTCCCGGCACCACTACTCCCAACACTAATATTCGAGCAAAGACACACCATCGACGATAATACGACACGTGTTTCGCCTCTACGCGAGGTATCCTCAGGTGATGTAGACTCTACGGCTGACCGCTAAGTGATGTGAAGTGATGAGTGAGCTGTTATCTAGATCCAGATCACCCGCGCGAAGTTGGGTCTCTAACTTCTAGGGTCTGGGTGTGATGAATTTTTTTAGTTGGCTTTTCTTGGATGGAAAGCTAACATCATGTCGTACAATTTTTCAAAGTCGATCAAACTTTTTAATTATTATATTCCAGCCGGTGAATAATAAAATTTAATGATTTATAGACAAAAATCTGTTCAGTTAAGAGGAGTATTATTGATTAAAACTACTTTTAAAGATTTTACTGCTTTTTATTTTTTTATTTTTAATACGCGACATTTCGGGTACTTTTCAGCACCCATGGTCACGGGGGACTGAGGTGACTGACGTCCCGATGTCAAAGTTGACACGGAGTACCTTCAGATTTTGTAATTATTGTCTTTGGTCCAATCTACGCAGAATGAACTAACTGTGTTTTGAAGTCTTGCAGTGGTATGCTTGAATTTAATTTTAATTTTATTAATTATAGAGTCCCAAGCAGGTGGTAGTATCCAGCCTCCTTCTCTATTGAAATTACGATGTTTTATAATTTCAATAGTCTCACGTATCACCCTTGGTAGGAATCGATGTTCTTTCGCGAGGATTTGTGGTCTATCAAATCTGATGTAATGGTTGGGGCCATCTAGAATATGATCGCAAACTGCAGACTTCCTGGAACGTTGATGCTTCACGTCAGCTATGTGTTCTTTTACGCGGGTTCTAATTGATCTCTTTGTTTGCCCTATATATGAGAGACCACAATCACAATCAAGCTTGTACACTCCTGCATCTTGTAGATGAATATGACACTTGACGGATGGTAAGAACTGACTAATCTTCTTCGGCGGCTTGTAGAATGTTCTAATAGAAGCTCGCTTCAAGATGTAGCTAATCTTGTCTGTGACACTTCTGACATATGGTAGTACAGCAGGCACACGCTCGACTGTGGCCGGCTTCACTCGGTCACTGTGACGGAGGCGCGGGACCCGAAACTTGTTGTCGTGCAGAAAGAACCTGCTTGACGTGCTGAAGCTCGGCGGCCAGGTATTTGCTGTCACAGATCCCTCGTGCTCTCTGTAACAAAGATTTGCCCACGGTAGCTAACTGTGAAGGATGATGGTGAGATTCACCATTTAAATATCGGTTTGAATGGGTCTTTTTTCTATACACAGTGTGACCTATGGTGTTGTTAGGATTTCGAATGACTAACACATCTAGGAATGGTAAGGAATTATTTGCCTCTATCTCCATAGTAAATTGAATTTTAGAGTTTATGTAATTAAGATGTTCTAAAAATGCAGTTACTTTGTCTGGTGGTAAAATTGTGAAAGTATCGTCTACGTACCGCTTGTAGAAACCTTAGGGTAACAGGTGCAGTAAGGAGCGCTTTGTCCTCAAAGTCTTCCATGAATATATCGGCGACAATGGGAGATACAGGTGAGCCCATCGCAACACCATCTACTTGCTTGTGAAACTCTTCCTTCCACAATAGATAGCCTTCCACAATAGATGTAAGGCAATTTATAATAAAAAATATGGTAATTGACTGTAAGTACCGATTAAAAAATATTAGTTGCAGTTGGTTATTTTATTTATTAAAACAGGTCGCAACCGTATTATTTATTTATTTATACCATTACGCTACCGTTAGTAGACATAATTGATTATTACCCAACATCTGTTAACAATTGATTACTGTGAAACGATTAAAATATCTATGGGTACTTATTTCAACATTAAAGTTCATAAATAATAAAAAATATATCAAATAGATTAATAACATAAAAACGACACACCAAAAATGTTCCATCCACTAATCTCCATCCTAAGATAATTATAATGGAAGATCAAGATCGTTTAGTCGCTATACTCACAGTATCATAGTGCGAGCGAGTGAATAGATATTATGAAATAAAGTATCCCTCGCGTAGGTCGTCGCCCGCTCGGAGCGTAAAATACCTAAATTTGCGTAACGCCTAAATTTAAGAAGGCTCTTAAATGTGGTAAACAAAGAACTAGCTCTAGGCAGAGACTACGGACTTCCGTTTGGCACGGTCCTGACAGAGCTCTCTCGCCTCCTTTACGTCAATATACCAACGCATACATACACGTCGGTTAAGGGTACTCTTAGTCTGACCCATCTTCAATATATCGCCATTTTGGTTGATAAACTTTCGCCTAGAGCGTCCTTTGCCGACTCTGCCACTCACTTACTGGTTGAGCATGTTTTAATTTTTTTCCTTAGGTTCTAGACCTCGTCTCGTGTGTGCTCTCCCTATCACAAGAACACCCAGAGAGCTACTACCGTTGGTCCGAACTGGCCAGTGACACTCTTCTCAACCTCCTCACACAGAGGACTATAGAGATAGACTCTGATGACGCCATAAAGTCTTTGGAAAGGCTCTTGGACTCAGTGTACAAGGATGTTTTGCTGGAGCAGAGTAGAGTAGAAATATTGTTGAAGATTCTATTTAAACCGCCTCCAGATCAGGTTAGTTTTTTTATTGAACTGTGTGTGATCTCTAAGGGTTTTACAATGTGTTAAATTTTTTATACGTTGCTATTAAAGCCTATCAAAATTCCACTGCTGAACATAGGCCTTCCTCACAGCTTGGTTTGCAGGGGCGTTATTTGCCATAGTTACCACGCTTGGTAAGCGGGTTCGCGTCACGGGTTGGGAAACGCTGCTCCCCATCTCTTGGCTCGTTTCCCTCGGTCGCCTCTTACTTCACCAACGGGGCAATATGTAGAGGATGTTCTTACTTTAATGTCCCACATTACACTAAGAATATCCCCTACACGGTGTGCTCTACTACACGGTTTTAATTATTTCCTTTTTGTCGACAAAGGGACAAAGGACACCAAATATGTGTATGTGTAATTTCTGTAACCAAATAGCAACGCTTGCAGTGCTGAGTTCCAGTCTGTAGGGTATACAGAGCCAGTATAATCACAGACTGTGAATTAAATTACTCTTACTCGCCACAAAGACATTAAAATTTTATAGTTTGAGGGTCGGACGCGAATACGTTGTGTCCTGTCTACATATGCACTGAACTAAACTAACGAGTTTAGTTGCGGGTGGCGTGCGACACGCCGGAGGGCAACACTTTTTGAACTTGATTCGCTAAATAATAGACCGGTCGTCTATCCCGTTCACCTTAATTGTTAACTTGCTACTTAACTCTCTAATTGCCGTTCGAACGAGATTTTCTATTTAACTCGCCAGATTCGCATGTTAACTCGCTACTGTACATGTCGAAGTGTAAATCGGTCTTAAAGGATAAAGATAAGCTTAACTTCAACTAAACTAATATGCTACTTAACTCTAATTGCCGTTCGAACGAGATTTTCTATTTAACTCGCCAGATTCGCATGTTAACTCGCTACTATACATGTCGATGTGTAAATCGGTCTTAAAGGATAAAGCTAAGCTTAACTTCAACTAAACTAATATGCTTTACCATCTAGAGTTATATCACCACTTACCGCCATTTGTGATTGAACTCCCAAGCAACGGCCTGTTTTTCTTAATTATAATATGCCAGTGCACTACTACAATCCCTGGTGAAAAACTGGTGGTAACTAGTGACAGATGCGAAGATGTTAGATGACTGTCTTAGCTTAAAAAAAACCTATTCACTGTTGTCTTGAAAACGGAAAGACAGACGCTGGCAAATATTTCCACTCTGATGTACGTAATACGAAATATGAAACAAATCGTTTATTTCGAATGCGTGGAATGTTGACAACAAAAGAGGACTTACCAAATGTCTGGTTGTTCGATGGTGGTAAGGGGAGGGAGGAATTAAATCTCTACGTACACTTCGGCTATGACAGTACATGAATATACTCGTAAGAGTAGAGGGAGGCCTAAGAAAATATAAATGGACTTTATTAGGGATGATATGCGTAAGAAAGGAGTGAGAGAAGAGATAACGGCTAAAAGACTGCACTGAAAAAGTAGAACATGTGGTAGCGGTGTAAGATTGTCCACTACTCCGTATCATCCCGTGGTTATCGTAAGAGGCGACAGAGCGATGCATATCAGGAGATGGGTTGCAGCGTCTCTGTAATACCGACTTAAAATATTAAAAAAACTGCGGTTGCCAATCCGATTGCCAAGTGTGCCAACTATGGCAATATCCCCCTATTAGGAAACCTCATGGGAGAGACTTATATTCAACAGCCTAACGTGGTAGAGCCATGCTGCAGCTATATTAATAGTACTAGTTGTAGTACGAATGGGTTGGCTCGACCGGGGAAGGACCACGCTCTCAGAGAATTCCAGCGTAAAATAGCGTCTCCACCCTGCTGTGTTTCGTATGGTGTGTGTAGAGAACTGGAGACCCATTTTACTGGAAACGAGGCATTCCATCTTAGTTCTCACGGGTGACAACGCATCTGCGTTTTGATTCGTAGTTGAGGATAGATGTAGACTTCTATGGGCCACAGCAACTTTTTATCATCAGGTCGACTGTGTGCACGGTTGTCACCTTTTACCTATAAAAAAGAGGAGAATGGAATAAGAAGACAAATTAAATCAAATCAAAAATACTTATTGCATGACTACAGATTACATTTTAATAAGATTTTAAAAATATTAAGCTATTGCATAGCTTCTATCGCGGGCCTTGAGCGCGGGGACCGAATCCAGAAATTCCGTAACGAAAAAACCTCACGCTCCCCACTCCGACGGGCACGGAGGTGTGGCGTTGAAAGCCGTGCATCGTCTAACGTCGTTTCAGTTCGGCAGACTTCGGCACTCGGCAGAGTTCGGCACGGTGTTTGTGTGCGTGCGACTAGACGTATGCGTGTACACTAGCTGCTAATTCAATGATAAAAATTCCTGAATAACCTACATGTATTGTAAGATATTAAAAATATTTTAAACAATATTAACTTCTCATTTATTCAATAAGAGAAAAAAAAATTGTTTTCTTATCGGTCACCACGCTCAAAAAGTGTAACTTGATTTAATATCAAAGACTTAACTGCATAAATAAAATAAATAAATAGTTATAATTGCATAAGTTGATAAAAAATGCTATGCAATAGCTTTACCGCGGCAGTCACCGAGTGCCACACGTATTTTTTATATAAATTTGTGTTCCATAGTCTACCTAAGGTCTTGTATCTATTCAATAATCAATATCTTTAACTAGTATATAGATTGAATCAATAATATCATCATAATCATCTTATTAAACAATATTATACTAATAATAACTGCTGACAAGCTATGCCGACCCCTAATAACTTGAGATTTAGGCAAGAAGAAGAAAAACATTTGCCAGAATGTATCATAACAATATGTCTAACAATAAAAGACGCTGTTAAAACTTTTACAATTATCTCTTACAGATAACCACACCACGAAAATTAAAGCTGAGATATCTCTCAATAATAATGATCCTGCTACGTAAAGTATTGGTAATGATACCAGAGAGCGAGATCTTGCTATCGATAAACTATTTAAAGTCGACTTGCGTATCTCCACAATCGATATTCTTCAACGTGAAACCAAATGTGGATCCTTTGAACGTTCAAAACGTGAACGAAAACTGCGCCAACTTGTCGCCCGATGTCATTCTCGTCAGGTTTCTATTCAAGACTTTGACGTATGCGATAATAGAGATGGATGACTGCCGGGCGAATTCGGATCATAATTTGAACGAAAATATGGACAATTTGCTTTACGCTGTCTGCGTCAATATAGTCGTCCATGTTAAACATATGCTGCATTTGACGAGTGAGTGTATTGATGTTATAATTATAGAACCTGGTTTAGTATTTTTTATTAGTTTTATACACGCTTTAAGCTATATTATAGTTGTATTGACCGGGGATGTACCACCCTCTCACGGAATAGCAGCTCAATGCTGCTGTGTTCTGCATGGTAAGTGTGCCGAGCACCTTTTTTTTGGAAACGAGGCATTCCATGTTAGTCCTGAGGGGGTACAACGCATTTTAAATCGAGATAAGATGAAAATGTCTATGGGCCACAACATTCAAATTACCTTTATCCTATAGGAAACAGTAGTAAAAGTATTTAATTGTTTAGTCACTGATTCGAATCTCAATTCCCAGCTTTAGACCTTGAAGTTGTGTTAAGATTGTCTATCCAGCTTCGGCTAGGCTGACCAAGCTGCCTTTTTAAATTTTGCCTCTGTAGAAAAAAATGATTAATGTGTCCGACTCCAGTCCAATTTGAGTATAGCAGCTTATTGCGTCACATCTGTCGTCTTGGTCTTAGAACGCAGTATTGGTATGGGATGCGTTCTGTTGTTTTTATTTCCAAAATGCTGCGTTCGGTCACTCTCTAGAAAATCTCCGTGTGAAAAATTTGTGTAAAGACGGGGAGAATTCGACTTCTATCCCACCAATAGCGGTATTTCTACTGCCAGTAGTGGGATTTGGCAGTATTTCTACTGCCAAATAGTAGTGCGTGTAACACTATGTTCCGGTCCGAAGGTTATAGAGAGCCAGTATAATTACAGGCTATGAGGCTTTTCATCATAGCCCTCAGAGGTGATATCGCATCTGTAGTCTTCTTTGTTTGAAGTTGACTGATAGTGTCCATGGACTGATGTAGCCACTTACTATCAGGCGAACTGTAATTTCGTTTATTACTTCAATTTTATTTAAAAAGAATGGGCTGGCGCGGTGGATTTTATTTTAGTTCTGGACCCTCTCAGGATTGAGAAAAACCTGTGTATTTGTGGGACTTATAATTGCTGTTTATACTTTAAGGACCTTTTTGAACGGATATATTAATGGCTTCTTGAGCAGTCATTGAATTTAAACATTAATAAACAGAACTCGTCTCTTACAGATGGCTGCCTGTTTCCGTTGACTGCGAAAACTGCTCAGAATATCATCCACAACGAACAGAGCGGCTTGAACACGGGCCTCTACAGTCCCGAAGAAAACATACCGCTTGATCAGCTTAATATGATCTGTTTGAAGTCCGCGCATCGGATTCCGCTGCTGACTGTACACTGGTCCCATTTGTTGATAAGGTAATTAATTTTTTTACTTGGTAGAGCCAAAATGAAGCAAGGCTGTATTATGTGAACTACTAGGGGATCTGCAACGAACAGAGTGGTTTGAACACGGGCCTCTACAATCTTGAGGATAACATGCCCTTGGTCAGTTCAGTATATTTTGTTTGGGAGTCCGCGCATCGGATACTGCTGCTGACTATACACTGGTTCCATTTGTTGATAAGATAATAAAGAGGTTTCCTACGTGGTGAAGCCACGTTGAAGCTGTAAAATATAATGTGACTTTAGTACGAATGAGTTGGCTCGACCGAGGAACAAACAGCAATACCAGCATATAATAAGCAGCATATTGCTGCTGTGTTTCAAATGGTGAGTGACCTGATTGGAAACTTTTTTACTGGTAATGAGACAATTTATATCTTGTTACGTCAATAATTCCAAAACTAAATACTGAAATCACTAGTTAAGTCCTGCATATAGCTTTATTTATTTACAATCTTTCAAAATAATTACCAGTGCAGATTATATACACTTATTCATTCGTGTAAACCAATCATTAGAAATTTGCTTCCATTTTTTTCTGGAAGATCGGAGTTAGCCTGGTCCCAAGCAACTAACAACTGCGTGTCGCTGGCAAACCTTTCATCGGGCTGGTCTTCAATGACTGGAAACGGACTGAAGTCACAGGGCGCAAGATCAGAACTAACTGTACGGAGAAAGTTCAAGCAGTCCAATTACATCTTGCAAAATTTTATGAATGCATGAATGATTTCTTCGATCTGCCTATAAGTTATTCGACGGTCCTCTCTTATCAATTATCAACTTTTTTTACACTCTCTTCAGTGCAAACGTCCGTGGGACGTTCTGACCTTGGTGCGTTTCTACACCAAAATTCCCAAGACTGAATTCCCGATACCACCGAAAAGTATTTGTAAGATGAGGGCAGTTCTCTTTAAGTACAGAACTCATTTCTTCCATACACTCATCAGAGACCGCGCGCGAAGTTGCACCGCATAATAACCCGTAATTCGTCCTTTGACCACTCTGATATTTTTATAAAATCAAAATTTTTTTGTGAGTGAGTAGACTATTCAAACGATATGTATATGTCGCAGCCAACTAGCCACAGAGTACATTATATGTACCTGGAATAGAGTTGCTAGTCGATTCCATGGTACGGAGTCATCTATAGTGGAGTTGTCGAACTAAACGGATGATATAGATTCTATAGATTCTATATATAGTACAGCCCCATCCCTGGTGTACCGATTATTTTTAACGAATTTTACAAGACCACATAATTCTGGAACTATATGCACGAAACTAGTTAGTTGCAGAATTATGTGATCAAATGTAAATCATAAAAAATAAAACTCAATTTAAAAATAATAGTCATCTTTAATCAGGAAATTTACATCCATAATCAGTAAAATCAATGAATTAAAAATTAAGCAATCTACACAATTCTTATATAAAATAAATAAATAAATGTCGATCAATCAATAAATTTCATCAAAGTATCATCTAAGCACAGAAGGTTTCCGCCAACTGCTTGAACCCATGTACAAAAGCATGTTGGATCTTTTGTAGGATTCGGAAATTTGTGAAGTATAAAGCCATCTTCACCTACGAAAAAAAAAAATATTTTAGAAGTGTTTTTGAAAAGTGTAATGACAGTAATATAAGTAGTAGTGTTATAAGTGTACATAGCAAAGTATTGGCTCTAAGGGTGGAAAAGTGATGCAGAACTCTTGGGCTACCTGCGTCTGCGCTAGGTATCACATTGTTGCCCAAGGTGACACTGACATATATATAAAATAGAAAGAGAAATAATATATTGACTGGTAGAACCTGTAAATAATTAGATTCACTCACGGCTTTTAGTACATCCTAAAACACAGCAAATTTTATCCGCGGCCATCACTAAACTATACGAACTCAATCGAAGTCCCTTTCACGTGCGTGGTTCACTGTATTAAGCAAAGATAATCGGAGTCCAAAAATAGCCAAGTCGTAAGAAAATAAAGGAAAAATATCAAAAATCCAAAACATTCAAAGCACAGGCCCCTACGCCAGCAAAACAAAACGCCAATGTCAAATTCAAAAACAAACGAAATGGTGGTAGTGGGTGGTCACGTTTAGAAATTAAAACACCAATATACCATCTTCCAATTAAACGAATAAACTAGACTTAAAGCAGCTAAATCTTAATAAAATTAGTTGTTTAACTCATTTTCTGGTGAAAATATCTAAATTCACATTATTAAAACGTCGATTTAGTCAATATAATATGTGATACGATCATTTAATTTGATATAATTAATTAAAACAACGCACTTGCTTTGGGGAGTTGTGGAACTAAATATGTAATGCCAGTTTCTATAGAACAGAAAAATGTTCTAACTACAAAGGCCCTGCAACTAGCTTAATTAGCCGGTCAATCAACAGCTTTACCCCTTTACTAAACAGCGCCGTTCAACTAGCGGCCTGAATGACAGTTATCCCATGCGTTTCAGCCGATTCCGTAGCCGACTGCAGACAGCAGCAGCAAGTGACGTGTCGTCACGACACAACTGGTTTCTATGTAGTTCTATGAAATAAGTTCCGTGGCTAGCGACACGTATGGCATATGTCTAACGGCAGACGACGCTATAGCCCGACCGCAGATCAGTAGTGCCGCCAACGCCCAAGCGACAACACGTTGAATTTTTCTTAAAAAATGATTTTCACAGATTCCGAGTAAGATTCACTCACTTCCTCTGCATTTCAACATAATACGTGTGTCTTTTAGTCTTTTCTCTTTATACTTGTATAATAAAAGCAAGTCATCATTATTTTCTTCCTCTTCTAACAAAAGAACAAAAAGATACAAAAATTAGTCACGGTCGCTAATTTCAAGCACGTCAGACATCATGTCCCATTGAACACTCGGAACAGACTGCACACGGGCTACTGTACTGCCGTCTGCAGCCGGGTTCGGAATCATGACTGCAGCGACATGACGCCACCACGACATGTCGTGGCACCCTGCTGCTGTTGTCTGCAGTTGGCTACGGAATCGCACTCTAATACAACATTTCATGCCTAATTATGTACTATGCGCGATTTTATATAAATATATGCGTCTCAGCCGCATCCTAACCTACTGTCGCAGATATTACAAGATAGTTGCAATGTTGTATTAGACACAGCGGCTGAATATCATTCGGACGCCTAGTTAAACATGAAAAAGCTAAGCTGTTAATTGAACGGCTAATTAAGCTAGTTGGCTGCGACAGCTTGTACAATTTTTCATTAAACATTGGAAAACATCGTCAAATTTGTTGTCAAAGTGCCATGCTGCAATTATATTAGTAGTATAGTTGTAGCACGAATGGGTCGTCTCGACCGGGGAAGGACCACGCTCTCAGAGAATTCCAGCGTAAAATATCGTCTCCACCCTGCTGTGTTACGTATGGTGAGTGTAGAGAACCGGAGACCCATTTTATTGGAAACGAGGCATTCCATCTTAGTTCTCACGGGTGACAACGCATCTGCATTTTGATTCGTAGTCAAGAATAGATGTAGATGTCTAGTGCCACAGCAACCACTTACCATCAGGTGGACTGTGGGCTCGTTTGTCTTCCTATCCTATAAAAAAATTGTTTGAAGAAGCCATATTGACAGTTTGGAGAGTTTTGGCGCTAGGTGGCAGAAAGTGGAACTTAATTTAAATTAACGGGCTAGGCAAGTAAATCACGCAAAGAAACGTCATCGATGCAAACCTAGCTGTGTGATCAAATGGTTGAATATCGTTCAGGCCACTGTTTGAACGGCGCTATTTAGTAAAGAGGCTAGGCTGTTGGTTGAACGGCTAATTAAGCTAGTTGGCTGCGACATATACACCGTCATTAAGTGTAACTTTCTATTAAGAATATACTCATCTACCCACAATTAAAGATATTGCTGTATTGCAAAATGTATCTAGTGACCTACGTAATAAATAGTATTTCATTTCATCATCATAATTATTTCTTTTCCACTACCCTATATCGTCCCGTGGTTGATAAGAGGCGACAGAGGGAATCTGAAAAAGAATATTGGCAACAGCGTCTTTCTGATATAACCTTGATTAGGTACCTTGAGGATCTCCAGCTGATTAGTGACCGTCAGGTCGGTTTCCATCGGGGTCGCTCAGCTAATGATCTTCTGGCTTATCTAACTCATAGATGAGCGGAGGCAGTAGAGTCCAAGGGGAAAGCATTGGCCTTTAGTTTCAACATAGCGAAGGCGTTCGATCGGATTTGGCACAAAGCGCTTCTTTCGATACTTCCTTCTTATGGGCTTCCCGAGAAATTGTACAATTGGATCACCAGTTTTCTTGCAGATGGGAGTATCAATGTCCTAGCAGATAGCGCACGCTCCTATTACAAACTGCATATAAATGACATGTTGCAAACCGATAACATTCATTGATATGCGGACGACAGCACTAGTGATGCTTTATACACTAGCCGTGCCAATGTTTCTCGGGAAAACATCGCCGAGTACCGTGACAAACTTGTGTCTGAAGTCGAGACTTTGTTGAACAAAGTCTGGGGGCGACTAAATATATTCCAGTTCAATGCCCTGTTTACCGCTATAAATAAACCCTTTATCGTATCTCCTCAGTTTCATGGCACTCTACGGTGTTTTAGCCCTAATCGAAATCCTCGGCGTCGACATATCGACTGACGTGCAGTTTCGTGGTTATTTGGAAGAGAAGGCCAAATTGGCCTTTAAAAAGCTTGGCTTGCTCAGGAGAGCGGGACAGTATTTCATGCCGATACACCGCCTGAAACTTTACAAGGTGTACGTTCAGCCTCACATGAAATACTATTCCCATCTTTGGGCTGGGGCTCCCCAATGCGAGCTCCATCACTTTGTTCGCATCCAGCGCAGGACGGATCGAATCGTCGGCGACCGACCTCTTTCTGATCGGCTTGACTCACTGGCATTGCGGATAGATGTTTCATCTCTGCGTATTTTATCGTATCTGCAACGGGGAGTGATTTGAGAAATTGTTGGGATTAATTCCAGCCGCTCAACTTCACCATCGCACATCGCGTCAAAACTCGCGATACCATCCATACCATCTAGGTACACTGTCGTACCACTGTGCACAAGTTTTCTTCCTTGCACAACTTCCTTGTGGAATCGATTATCACCAGCGATTTTTCCGTATAGCTATGACTTAGGGACCTTCAAGAAAAGAGCTTATTCTTTTTAACGCCGTCAACGCATCTGCAATTCCCCTGGTGTTGCAGTTGTTAATGGGTAGCGGTAGTACATTATCATCCTATAAAAAAACCTCTAAATAAGAAAAATCTGCAGTTGCCAACCCGTAGCGTGGCAGCTATGCATTGGACTCTGATAGCTGTGATTATGATCACCATCGTCATAATACCCCGATAATCAGACTGTTTACTGCTGGACATATGCCATAATTATGACCATTGACTGTTCATAATGTTGTATAGGTCGCGCCACCAAAGATGAAATTAAATAGAGTCCACTGCGCATGTACAATCAAGCAGAAAAATGAAAATTTTATTATGGCATTTTAATATGTAAAAAGTCAAAGGTCAACATTATAACTACACATCAGTCTCCACGAAAACTGAACGATATATTCATATATCATCGTTAGGTTATAAAAAAAGTTAAAGAAATAAAATATTTTGTATTTGTATTTTTGTATTTGTAATTGCTGTTTAAACTATACTATGCGATAGCCTTCGACTATAAGGATATTTTACATGCAATAATTTGCAAATAAAAAATCATCTTGTAGAAAATAACAAAATATTTACAACTTTATACAATATACTACGAATTACGCTATTTTAAATAGTCCAATAATAATTTATAAAGTAATAAATATTTGCACACTATTTGAAAATATTCTAGAACAATATTTTTAAAAGTACAAAAATAATCGCAAAAATTAAAAATTTTATAACAGGTGGTCGGTAACACTTTCGATATTGATAGTACACAAGACGACACAAGAAGGTGCGCGGGCGACGGGACGCAGGAAGAAACTACTTGGGAGTAGCGCGTTGCCGGTTGCTATGTCCCCTACTAAGGCGAATTTTCTGCGCACTTCCATTTAATTTCATCTTTCGTGGCGCGACCTATATCTTTGTTGCTGCTCCCGATTTGGATGCTTTAAAACTGGCATTTTCTTTCGTTATTTCTATCATTACAACCTATGAAAGTACACAGCTGAACATAGGTCTACTTCACAGATTGAATCATGAGGGGATTGGGGGGATTTTACCATAGGTGTCATGTTTGGCAGACGGTTTGGCAACCGCAGTTTTTAATAATCTTGAGTTGTTTCCAGAAAGATGCTGCTGCTCTGTTTACTGTTTGAGTTTCCCCTGTAGCCTCTTATAAAACCCCACAGGACAATATGGGGTAGTAGATATTCTCACACCGCCACTACACTGTATTTGGGATGTTTATTCGCAATATACACTAAATATTTTTATACGTGGGAGAGCCACGCTGCAGCTATATTATAGTTGAAGCAGTATGTGTTGACTCGACCGGGGTAAGCCCAAGCTCTCACAGAATACCAGCATAAAATAGACGCTCAACTACTGCCATGTTTTGTATGGTGCGTGTAGGGAACAGGAGACCTTTTTTACTGGTAACGAGGCTAATTTCCTGGGAGGTGACAACGTATTTGCATTTTGAGTCTGAATCGAGTATAAATGTAGATGTCTATGTCCATCCACTTACCGTCAAGTGGACTGTGTGCTCGTTCGACACACTGATTGTATAAAAAAATGTACTGTAAATAGAAATACTTCCATTTTTTACTATATGAACGTGGTGTTTCAGGTTGAATTTCCTCTCACAGAAATACTGGCACAAGCTTATGATCGGGTTCGCTCGCAACCTACCGCTAAGTGCCGATAGCGGCGACACTCGGTTGTTGCGAGTCGACATACTGCAGACTGCCTGCGTTGTCGCATACTGCGAATATTTTGTAAGTATTAGATACAATTTTAGCTACATAGGCCAAAGAACAATGGCTATTTTGGACGAGGAAAAAATATAAATTGTTACAAACATGAGACTGTCACCAAAGTTTAGGACATTGTCAATTTACGAGTAATTAATGGATATCATAAGTTTATTTTTACAAGATGGGAAAATATGAATAATAATCTTAAAAAATATAACTTTGCTTATCAGAACCATTCAGAACGCTTTTTTAAATATCTTACTTACTATTGAACGCTAAAGAAGTCCATAGGTACCAAAGAGTATATAATGTAATAAAAAGTACTCTGTGATTTAATCTTTCTCGCTTTATATTATATTTCCGATGTTTCAAAGTGGAACCCCTTAGTCCCCCTTGATGATGGGATGCCACAAACAACATCCTGAGCAACTTTTAGTCGCTTTAAAAAAATTATTTATTTATTTTTCATAAGGTGGAAAATGGCTTAACCCAAGCGGTGCATTTAACATGGCTACTCGTGAACAGAATTCACATACTAATCAGCCAATATGACGAGGAAATCGTGCAGAACCTTATAGCGAAAGTGCAGCAGAACTGCGTAGCGTCGGGACTGTTGTTACAGGCGATTGCCGCTAGATGTCAGTGTTGTCTTAAGGTATGTTTTTCACGTAACCATAATTTAGCTTAAGCGATGCTCTATGCATCGCTTCAGCTAAATTATATTTATGGCACAAATGTACATAACACAATACAGGAGAAAATCCTAGTGTAGGGATAACGTTTTTTTTTTAAATAGGTCGGCTGGACTGGGGAAGTAAAGTATGACAGTATTTTTGGTTTCAATTTCGATCACCGCAACACTTTTATCTTTGCGACCTATGTCAATTAATCATTTCCAATTATTTTAGACAAATTGTTGGAAGGAATTTCTTTCAAAACGTAAGTGAAAAACTTACAGTGCACATGGTTGTAAGTGGTACTGCAGTTCATGGACACCTGTAACCAATTCAAAACAAAGAGAGCTACATATGCGTTCTGAGGATTAAGATAGAATGCCTTACAGCCAATAATTATATGTGCGCTGTCTGTACGTATACCCTTTAGACTGAACCACAGCAGCAGGCATGGCTATTTGGTGACAGAAATAGGTAAAGAGGATGTTTCCTACCTGTATAGACTTCTAGGCAGGAAACGAGACCCACCATTCAGTAAATTTCAAAAAAGAATATGCCTAATTCGATTACAAAACCAGATATCACGCACATGTGAAACTGCTCTTTGTCACCGATCTAAGCAGAATCTTCCAGGCTTAATTATAGCTATGGCGGCTAGTCTTAACGAAGATTAGCCATCGGCGCAGGACAGGATTATAGTGTGTATATATACGGAGTGTATGGACGAACACAGGTGCCTTCTATTTACTCTCTCACAGTCCGATGGGACGGCAATCCGACATGACAGGAGAGAGATCAGGTGCAGGACCAACGTCTTACTGTGCTTTGTGAAACATCCCTAATTCCTGACTCCAGGCTGCAACTGAAAATTTCATTAACAAATCAACCCAATAATCGATTTTGGTTGAACCCGGGACCTCATGATTAGCAATCGCGGTAACGACCATAAGACCACCGAGGAAGTCGTATACCAGTCTTAGTAATCTAATCTACATTTGTCATGTACAAAATGGTATACCGCCATCTGTAGAAAGTCACAAGGTTTTTCTGGCTTTTCCTCTTATGACACACAACGGGATGAGGTGACTGACTCTACTATACCGCTACCAATCGACTGATGGTTTGTATATAACTGGATAATGGTGATATATATAGTTCTCAATGTGGTAGAGCCACGATGCAGCTATATTATAGTTGTAGCACGAATGGGTCGGCTCAACCGGGGAAGGACCACGCTTTCACAGAATAACCCGTGTGAAATAGCAGCTTATTGCTGGTGTGTTTCGTATGGTGAGTGTAGAGAACCAGAGACCCTTTTTACTAGTACCGAGACATCAAATCTTTTCCCTCAGAAGTGACAACGCATCTGCATTTTGATTCTTAATTGGGGATAAATGTAGATGTCTATAAGCCTCATCATCAACTTACCATCAGTTGAACTGTGTACTCGTTTGTCACCCTTATTGTATAAAAGAATATAATATTCCTCATGTGTTATTTTTTTGTTTAGGACGAGTTCGCTCTCAATACATACAAGGTGCTGTCACTGTGCCACGAAAGTCAATCCGGTGCTTTGCTATTTCTCATTTGTCGAATTATCGGCAAACTCGAGCCGGCGATTGCGGTCAGGTGAAATATGTTTTTAATTATATACTTTTGAATAATAATAATTAAGTAAAGTTGCCGTGTAGTGGCGGTGTAAGAATATGCACTACCCCATGTCGTCTCGAAGGTGTCGTAAGCGACGGCAGAGGGTAACAAATCAAGAGATAGGCGGTAGTGTCTTCCTCATAACAACTAAAAAATTAAAAAAGAAACTGTGGTTGCCAATCCGCCTGCCAAGCGTCGCAACTTGGCAATTATTCCCCATATGAAGGAGGCCTATGTTCAGCAGTGGAATTTAATACGAACATATACATAACATAACATAAACACTCACGCCTGTCACCCAGAGGGGTAGGCAGAGACTACGGACTTCCATTTGGCACGATACTGACATACCTCTTTCGCCTCCTTTACATCCATATATCTACGCATACATGCTCGTCGGTTAAGGGTACTTCTAACGTAGCCCATTTTCAAAATATCGCCAATTTGGTCGATAAACTTTTTTCTAGGGCGTCCCTTCCCGACTCGGCCGTTCACATCTGCCATATAAATTTGCTTTGTCACTCTTTCCTCATTCATTCTTTCTACGTGACCAAACCACCGAAGCATTCCTTTCTTAATCCTGGTCACATCATCTTGCATACCACATTTATCTCTTATCACGCAATTTCTCACCCTGTCATTCAGATTCAACCCTAGCATATTCATTAAAGACCGCATTTCTACTGCATTTATTCTACTTTCGTGCTTCTTCTGCCACACCCAGCTTTCACTACCATACATTAAAGTAGGTACTAACACAGCATTATGAATTACCATACGTGCCTGTTTTGACACATTCTGGTTCTTCATAATAGAGTGTAGTGCCCCATTATCAGGATGAGATAAAGTTACAGATATATATATATATATATATATATATATATATATATATATATATATATATATATATATATATATATATGTAAAGTGTGTGTGTGTGTATGTAACGTAATTAACGTAATTAACGCACACCCACAGACACCCCAAATAGTATATTATGTTATAATCATAATACATACACTGAATTTTTGGTTAAACATTTTTATGCACTGATTATTTATCAAATTAGTTATACTAATTCCGGAAAAATGTTGTGGTCACAGTACAAATCCACGAACGTAAAGACTTTAATGTGCTTGAAATAAAGTTAATTTTTCTTCATTTTTATTGAATGACAGAATTGGTAATAATACAAATAAAACTGCACTCTTAAAAGTCTTATTGCCTCAAGTTACGGTCCATTTTAGTTTGTTTTGACTGTACAGATTTAGTGTGACTGTAATTTACGTAGTTTTAATTATTTTTGGAATAAAAAATTACCTATATTAAAAATGATAGGAATCGATTCAGTAAACGATTCTGAACAAACTACTTTCTCAAAGTGCGTTAATTATGTTACATGTTGTATATATATATATATATATATATATATATTTTTTTTTATATAAAGGTACACTTAGACAAGTACAATAGCGAGGGCAGTTGACAGTAAACGTTTAAGTGGTCAGTAGAGTTCAAATGTCTTTGTGGCGAGTTTAGTTAAAAAATATACAATTTTATACGTTCCGTCCTGACAATTTATTTCTGAACTAATCTAACGTTACTACGTTAGTTACGGGAGGCGGGAGATGCGCCGGAGAGCAACATTTCGAACTTCATTCCCTGAAAAATAGACCGGCTCAACTTGCTACTTAACTCACTAATTGCCGTTCGAACGAGATTTTTTACTTAACTCGCCAAGTTCGTAAGTTAACTCGCTACTGTACGTACATACGTACGTACAAGTAACTTGTCGATGCGTAAATCGGCCTTAAGGGTTTAGAGTAATTACGGCGCCTATCGTTTAATGCTGCCACTCAAGAACCTTCGGACCTTCATCACCAAAATTTTCGTAAAATCGAAAAAATCCAAAAGTGCAGGCTGCATAACGCTTGTAGTGGGATGGGGAGCTAAGTGGACTGTATTTTAATTTATTATTATGTAATTTATCTACTTGTGTGATGAGAGCGAACTAAGAGATAATCTATCTAACTAACTGACTGACTTTATTATTATCCACGCTAGGGAGGTTAATTGAAATGTTATTGCGGCAGAACTTTAATCTAATTTATCACTATTTAAATGCCTAAGCCAAATGCCTTATCCTAATAGGAAGCTTGATGTCTTCTTTTCTTGATGTTTTCTGGAGCGCTGGTCTGCCGCGAATGCTGAATGCCGGCTGGGGGCCCTAGTTTTAGTTCCGCCGCCGGGGTCGTGTGAACACCGAGTTTGCATAAGTACTCGCGGGGGGAGGGGGGGGGGGGCGCTCTGTTTGTTTGCGAAATTCATACATGATTTTATCAAACAAAACACTTTAAATTAAATGAAAACATGATCAAGTTCGCTCTCTATGTGGCTCGCGGCTCTATGGGGTTAGATGATCGTAGACCAAGCACACATAATAACAGCGTTTTCGTAGTCACTCAACAAAATCAGTGTAAGAATGTCGAAAACAACGTTTGTGATTTACAAAACAAGGAACTAGTCTTCTCACCCGATAGCAGTCGAATAAAAAAGTTACTGTCCGTCTAGTCTAGTAATATACAGGAGGAAGACCAAAGACTTGGTCAACTTTGGTGGATTTAAAAGAATATTACCCGGACGGGGAATCAGTTTGCTACTAATCACCATCTTCATGAACTGTTTGCAGCATTCCACTGCCTAGGCCTCTCCCAAGGCTGACAACTTATTTGTCTTCTACTCTTTTCTTTTTAGATTTGCCAACTTAGCGATAGAGAGGTGTAAGGTGCTGGGCGAACTGGCAGCGGATAAAATTAACTCGCAGCTTTCAAAAGAGGATTTACAAATTGCATTAGAATCCCTGCAAAGGGACGGGGTTCACGTCAGGTAAGTGTTTCTTTTGATTTATGATCTAGAAAAAAAATAAGCTATTACTTGATGTAGTACCTATACAACGTAGAACAGGAAATAATACCACTACTGGAGATAGGATCAACGAAAGCGGGTTTCTTTAATTATTATTGTGTTTGCCATTTTGATTTTGATTTATACGACAGCACGACAATGCTCCTGATGATAAGAGTCAATGGCTTCTGTCAAGTAATAAAATGTGACAAAACGTTCAAACCATTGATGCAAGCAAGACGCAACCTTATGTCTACATTTATAAAGCTTTTTCTTACACTGTTATGTAATCGCGAGTGTTCTAGTACTTTCCGGTTGGAAGAGTGGAATGGCCTGTGTATAATCGGCATTTTTACTCACACCGCACGTAACAACATATTGAATGAAATAAAGAAGAAATGATAAATGATTAACAATGTGCAGGAGATATTTTTCCTTGCGTCGTATGACCTTTATTTAGCATTTTTAAGATCTCCTATACGTATTTGTAATATTTATGTACTTTAAATGTATATAATTATGAATAATTTAATGATTATATTATATTTGTATGTGTATGCTTAGTTGTAATGTACAAATAAGCATACACATACAAATATAATATACTAGTACTTAGTTGTTACATGTAGTTATATACCTATATTTTTTATAATTTCCTTATTTTTTTAAATTCCTATTACCGTTACCGTTACAGCCTATTAAAGTCCACTACTGAACATAGGTCTCCCGCACTGATTGCCTCATAGCGGGGATATATGCCATAGTTGCCACGCTTGGCGATCGGGTTGGCAACCGCAGTTTTTTATTTTTAGTCGTTATTACGAAGATGCTGTTGCCCATCTCCAGAATTATTTCCCTTTGTCGCCTCTTTTACCTCCCCTGGATAATATGGGGTAGTGGATATTCTTACACGGCACCACACGGTTCTATTCCTGTTACTGGGTTTCAATTAGCAGTTTGTACTCTGCATCATCTGCTTTGTCATCTAACCGTATATCAAAATAAAGATAATTTTATTGTTAATTCGGGGGATTATACGATTATATTTATTATCAATTGTAGAACGTCAACTTGAGTGAAACTTTTAAGAACCTGTAAGTTAAAGAGGACGTATTACGCAGCAACGCTGTAGCTACATTATGATTGCAGCACGAATGGGTCGGCTTGACTGGGGAAGGACCTCGATGTTACGTACCAGCGTAAAATAAAAGTATTATGCTGCTGTGTTCCGTTTGTATAGAGATACGGAGACCCTATTTACTGGAAACGAGGCATTACATCTTAGTCCCTAGGGATAACGCATATGCATTTTGATTTTTAACTGAATATAGATGTGGATGCTTATGAGCCAGCATAACCTTCACATCAGGTGACCAGAGCTCGTTTGTCACCATTATTCCATAAAGAAAGTTGATTTACTGAACATTTACTTTATTATGTAAGAAATATAGTTTTTATTTTACTATATTGCCAGGTATTCAGCATTGGTGGTACACTTGAACACACTCGCATCGAGCATTTTTGATCTTTCGCCGATAGATTTAACTTTGCACCGCGTCGTGAACCCTCATAACGTCTTAACTACCAATGTCGACGCTAACTGGCTCATCAATGAGATTAAAATAAGGTACTATCCTACATGGATAAGTTTATTAAATGATCATCTGATGTTTTCGAATGTTAATTGTTTTATTCTTGTTAATAACAAAAATGTTGATGTGTAACATCATTCCTCTCCCTTTCCTGCAATCTGTGGAAGTGATATCGTGAAAAGAGACGGTTAAGAGGATACCTTGAAAATGAAACGAAGTTTTGGGGGCGTGGCTTATTCCTTTGTCGGTGAAGCTCACGGACGACTGCGGGAGTGTCAAAATGAAAGTGATGCAATGACTTCATAGTACGCAAATTATGAGATAGCCATACCGAGCAAGCGCTCGGAAAAAAACTAAGCGCCAAAAAACATTTTTATTTATTTTGACAAAACTTTGTTATGGATAAAAAAATTTATATGCCTTAAAAATAATTCCATGAAATTATTCGTAAGAATATTGTGGTGTCATCGAAAAATGTAAATGATTAAAGCCAACCTCCAGCCTAGCCTAATTCCAGCATAGTTCTCATAGGTGACAACGCATTTGCAGCCTTCTGTGTTTGAAGTTGGTTGTAGTTGCTAGATCGAATCTTGCATAGAAAAGTGTTTGTATGGCCTGGCGTACAAATAATTGTTCCGGATCTTGATGTTTGTCTATGATTTGTGTATGTTACACGCCACCACGTGGCAGCATAAAATCCTATTGTGATGGTAAAGTTTTCAAAAAAAGTTTACTGCAGCATAAAAATTCTTAAAATTCACATTTGCCTATTACGATTCCCACATGAAAATATGTTGTGATAGATTTTCTAACGACGTCAGTTTACATGGTTTTATGATATTTTTTACATAGTATTCGTTTTATTTAGATTTTACTAAATGTATGGACGAATTATGTTACGTATTCTTGGCTCACTGAATGTGGATTCTATAGTACCCGCGTTATCAAATGAGTCGTCGGGCGATAAATCATTGTAAGTGAGACTTATGAAGTGTAATAATGATGTGCGTAATACCAGGTAGTCGATATCGATAAGATTTCATGAATAGGTTTTTTAATAAATTAAAATTATGAAATTATAAAATAACAAAATAAAATAAATAAAACACAATCTACATTTATAAATATTTTATTATATTACAAATTCTCTTTTTTATTCGAGTCATCTGTGTTACCATCGTCTTCCTGTAGATTTATAATCAAAGGTTCAACTTAATCACTCAAAAAATTTTGTTTCATGTCCATTTCCTTGGAGGTCTTCTGCATGCTTCACAGATTTTACGCAGTATTCCGTTTTTATTTGATCAACCATTGGCCATGTTACCCCATAAAACATAAACGAGTGCGCATAGTGGTGGCACATTCCTCTTGTTATTTCGTACGTGGTAGAGCCTCGCTGCAGCTGTATTGTAGCACGAATGGGTCGGCTCGACCGGGGCAGGACCACGCTCTCACAGAATACCAGCGTAAAATAGTAGCTTAATACGGCTGTGTTTCGTACGGTGAGTGTAGAGATCCATAGACCCTTTTTTTACTGGAAACGAGGCATTCCATCTTAGTCCTCAGGGATGACAACGCATCTGCGTTTTGATTCTTAATCGAGGATAAATGTAGATGTCTATGGGCCAGAGCCGTGGTAGCTCAGATAGTTAACGCTCGCTGTAATATAACAGAACGCGAGTAACCCGGGTTCGATCCCCGCCGGCACCAATGAAATTGTTAAGTGCAATTTAAAGTGCTGATTTACCACGTGCTCGGCGGTGAAGGAAAACATCGTGAGTAAACCTGCATGTCTGAGGAATAAGATAAAAAATATTTCTAAGACGTGTGAAGTTCGCGAACACGCATTGGGGCAGCGCGGCGGATACTTCCCGCCTTAAAACCCTCTCATAAATGATGGGAGGCCTGTGCTCAGCAGTGGGACGTATATAGGCTGTAACTTTACTTTACTTTAACTTTGCTATGGGCCACAGCATCGACTTACCATCAGGTGGACTGTGTGCTCGTTTGTCACCCTTATTGTGTATAAAAAAAAATTATGGTGCGACGACTCAATTGATAATGCGGGCCTTATAGTGAGGAAATACTAAAAATTTCACTTTAATCATTTATTCTCAGGGTCGTATTCTGTAATATTCTCGGACATAACTTAAAACCAGCGTTGTTGTTTCACCATAATACATGCTGAGTGATGTCCTTTTTTGTACTTTGTTGTACGACGGGTGCCTTTGATGTACACAGTTTTATGTATTTTATTTACGTATTTTAAAGTTATAAATTTGTATATTGTTATGTGCTACACTAGTCTGTGACAAAGTATAGCGTTCCTTTTTTTTATTTTTTCTATCGAAACATTAAAATATAATATCTATTTTTTTATAGATGCCGACCAAATTCCACGTTCCCTAAGATGTTGAAATACAATGATCTAGCTAAGCTCTTGTCAAACCTGTCACAGGAAGATTTACTAACTGTCATGTCGTGTCCGGAGTTCGACAGGAAAATTCTCGCGTCCTGCTTTAAAGTGGCGTGCGATGCTTTCTCAAGAGAATTCCTAAACATCGTGTCGGTCTCCGAATCTAAAGAGATTGAGAAGGAAACCGCAAGAGAGCAAGAGAATGTAAGACTGAAAGAGGAGATGACGTCATCAATAGACAGCAACAAACTAAACATGGTTAATTCGCTACACGTCTTTAAGAGAAGCGACAGTAGGGAGTCGAAATCACAGTTTTTTATTCCGATAAATGAAATCGAGACCAGAGAGCGTTTTGGTAACTTAAAACTATCTGAAGAAGAGTTAGAGTTGCCATCGCCTGAACTGCCAGATCTATACCAGATATCTTTATCAACTTTAGACAAATCGATCGGTGACATCTTACGTCTGTTCCCAAAACAAAATCGTCCGCTCAGTCAGTCCGAGAATTTCAACTTGAATATAGAACAGACTATCGACAGATATACGAGGCGTTGTCACCAGGTGTTTCAAGATAAATTGTTTTACCAAGAGTTTATAACGGTTCAAACGATTATGACTGGATTTTTGGATTGTCTGCACAGGATTATAGCCCTTATCGACGAGGCGGACTGCGATTTGTTAGAGAAATGCATCGAAAACATTATCCCCGACAACGTAGCTAGAAATATAGCCATTTTCTCAGTGGTCTCATTACAGTACCTGTCTTTTTTAATCAAGAATAAGAAAACGGTGGAAAGTCCGGTACACGCAGACGTGTCCTTCCGAGTGACGAATACAGAAACGGAGGATATAGTTGTCGACTATGTGCTTTCAGTGACTGTGGATAATGTGGCCAAGGCGTTGAGCTTCGATGAGATTTGGTCGGAATTGAACGTGGATAGCAATTTCAATAGGATACAATCAGCCATTAGTTGCTTGTTCGCAGTGTTGAAGTATTTAGTTAAGGTATTTTTTTATATTTTTCATTTGTTCTTTATAGTATTTTATTTTTAACACGTTTTAAAGTCTTAATTTGCATATTTTGAAAGATTATAGACCGTGCGTTGTTTATCGTTCGCATTTGTAGTCAACAGTTGCATTCAGTTTTTACGTTGACAGTCATGTTTGGCATTTCTTATTTAATTTTTTCACTAATCCATAAAAGCCCTGTAAACAGGAAGATCTAACGGCTATCTCCAGTAATAGATTTTAATGGAGATTGGTTGTTATCGCCACGCTTTATGTGCGATTTTTTTTATAGGATAATGGTGACAAACGAGTACACATTTCACCCGATGGTAAGTGGATACCCATAGTCACCTTCAATCTACCATCAATTAAAATTAAACAAAGTACAAAGGGTCTCTGGATTTCGACACTCAACAAATCTACTGCTGTACATGAGCCTCCGCCGTTATAGGGACAATTTACCTTAATTATTACGCTAGGCAGTGGAATCGTACTTGACGTACCTACCTGATGTATCGTATTTTTGACGCTGTTGCTCCCTGTTGTCTGTCTGGATATTTTACATATGGCGTAAACGAGATGGTATACTATTAGAAGTCATAAGATTTTTTTGGTGATTTGAATAAATATTTAAAAATATTTCACAATATTGATTTTGTTACCGGTTTCGAACCGGTCGGTTTTTATAGTTTGTATATTAATAATTTAAAATAAATATTGTGAAACAAGTACAAGTGTTTAGACAAATCACAAAAATGAAGCTGGAGTTTCACCAAGTGACAACAATCGCAAGTATAAATTATAAATTACATATCATAAGATTTTCCTCGCATTCCGAAAGATTTCTATGTATACCTGTATGAACCACAGCTGTAACATAGTTTTTGTACTAAATTGCCGGTCTAGTAGTATAACACATAGAATTCTTTATGCAATTGCCATAGTCGACTTTTACGACACTCTCGGGACTATATGGGGGTGGTAGTTTCGTTATCTCCGCCACCATATTGCATTTCTATATCTACTTTGCTATTTTATATTGTGGTAGAGCCATGCTGCAGTTATATTAGATGTATAGTTGTAGCACGAATGGGTCGGCTCGACCGGGGAAGGACCACGCTCTCACAGAATACCGACGTGAAATAGTAGCTTAATGCTGCTGTATTTCGTATGGTGAGTGTAGAGAACCGGCGACCCATTTTACTGGAAACGAGGCATTCCATCTTAGTCCTCACGGGTGACAACACATCTGCATTTTGATTCGTAATCGAGGATAGATGTAGATGTCTATGGGCCACAGCAACCACTTACCATCAGGTGGACTGTGTGCTCGATTGTCACCCAATTCTATAAAAAAAAAAAAAAAACTTTCTTCTTTCCAATAAATCACAGACTCAACAATGAATTGTTAATTTTATATGTTATACGTTTCAGGATACGAAGCCGCTAATCCTAAAGTCACACGTGCCATTGCACGATTCTGGTCCAAAGCCGGACTTCATATTGACCTCGGACAAATTGATAACGATGGTCCAGTACTGGGAGCAAAATTTTTACGCGAGACCCATCGACGATATACTCGCTAAAGGATATCGGAAGCCGATAGAAAGCTTGCTCGTTAGTTTGTCCAGGTAAGATTTTTTACAGAAGTAAAGGTGACCAACGAGCACTAGATTGCTTTATGATATTTGCTATACTTACCGTGCTTAGCAAGCTGGTGTTCAACCGCAGTTTTTTTTATTATCAGGCGTTTTTAGGAAGTCACTGCTGCTTATCTTCTAATTTGTTTCCCTCTGTCGCCTCTTACGACACCAATAAGATGATATGGCGTAGTGGATGTTCTTACACCGTCACTACACGGTTGGTAAAAGACACCTACCAAATAAGTAAAGGATGTTGAATAAAACTATTATTTACGGATTTTATCGCGTTTAATTACTTTAATTTATTTTTATTATTATCCCGACGTTTCGGGTGCTTTACAGCACCCATTGTCACGGGGGGGGACTGAGATGTTTGACGTCCCAATGTCATAGTTAGTCCGGCTACCTTCAGTTTTTTTTTTAATATTAATTTTTGGTCCGATTTACGCAAAACGAGCTTATGGTATCATGAAGTCTGGTATCAAGAATTTTTAATAATTGTATCCCACTTGTCGGTGGGTTCACCTAAGGAATTTAAAGCACTTAGATTTTTCGATAACGTATCAATTAAATTGCGAATACCAGCCTCTGTCTCTTTATGTAACGGTTCGATTGAAAATAGCCCCTTTATATGCTCATTTATCAATAAACGTTTATTATTATATCGCTCGCAAAGTAGTTGCCAAGCGGTCGCATAATTTTTAGAAGATACAGTAACGGAGTTTTAATCACAGAGAAGCATTACTCTCTAAATATGATTTAAGGTAATGAAATTTAGTAATGTCGTCAATATTTTCGTTATTGTGAATTAGGGATAAGTATGTATCCCTAAAGGAAAGCCACTTATTTGGAGCGCCGTCAAAAGGTTGTATCTTTAAGGGTGGTAACTTTAAATTACTATAACTATTGCATAATTGGTTGGATGAGGATTCAACCTTATTTGAATCTTCAAAAAATTCTAATAACGATTGAGCTTGAGCGATTAAATTAAAAAATAAATTATCTGTTGTCTCGCGTTCTTCCATTTGTTTACTTGTATCTTCATCCAACATCTCAATTTTTGACTGGACTTCCTCGAAGGTACATGAAAGGTCGCGTAATTTATTTAATCGCAGGTTCAATTCATGTATCTTCAATGTCAGTTTCTTTACAATGCATTAACGGTGTTAAATATTTTTCAAATAGTGTAAGCCGAGCTCGAATATGACCTCTCTATTTAATAAGTTCCTTTAATTCACTTATGACGGTGCAAATAACTTTCTACTAGTAAATACAAACAGATAAATTTGTTCGCACTGAATATGCAATATAAACAAAATAAACAGTGAATACGTTACGTTAGTTCAATGCAGCGGCGACTGAATAAACCGGTTTTGCAGCTGATGATTGCACGGCGACAGATATTGTTCTTGTTGGAATTATCAGCAAATCTTCCTTACCGGAATAAGCCTGGAATAGTCGGCAACTATGTTTAATAATACAGTTCCTTAAAATCCTTTTAAATGGGGCCTTGGAAAATGAGCATAGATTGTACCACTGTATTTATCATGCAATATAATGTTTTATTTAATTGCAACCAAGAAATGAAATAAATAAAGGTTATAACTACTGTTTTGAAATTATGAACACTAGGTTTACTAGAAGTGCATTGTTTGCGTAAATGAAATAAAACTACTTATTTATTTTATTAAATTAACTTAAATTGGCGTTATGCCTTAAATATGTGGCAGAATATTTGTTAAATTAACGTAAAATGTAATTTTTAACCAGTAATAATTTGAGCGTTTTTATATTTTAAAGTTGACGGTAGTAAATAATTTTTGCCAAAGGCGTTATCCACTTTACATAAACTACACAAATTGAAACAGGCAGGATTGATAAATATAAAGGAAAAATTAAACGAACTTCCCTCTGAACAATGGCTGCAGCTGCTGGCTGGCGGATTCCTTGAGGTAGGGTTCGCCTTAGTTCGGTATAGTATTTAACCAAAATCTTCGATATACTAGTAATTATCCTTGCGTTAAATTACGTCGGGGTCACCATATGATTACGCTGATCTTCAATTTCTTGAGGATTTGAAGTACAATGAAACTCCGCGATAGGATATAGTAGTACATTTAATGAGTAAATACAATAAATTCATTTGACACTAGTTGTCGGGTACAGAACTCAGAGCGTAATGTCGCGCCCGGCCAGTTCGTGACGATGAGAGACGTCACTGTCGGACGCGTTCAAGTATGGAGATTAAACAAAATTAAAGTAATTAAACGCGATAAAATCCGTAAATAATAGTTTTATTCAATGTGTAGTGTTCGCGTAAATTTAAGAAATCATTAAGTAAAGAATGACTTGAACAATCCAGTACTATGCAGGTCGTTGTAGTTTTATGGACTAGGTACTCGATCTCAAGTAAAATAAAAAATGGAAGTTATTTTTAAGGCAGGCTGGAACATTTGGATAAAATAAGATAGAATAAAGAAGTAGAATTCTGAATGAAGCATTGCGTATACGTAACGGTAAGCTATTTAATTGTAATGTAGGAAAGTGTTAAATGAAAAGGAGACGTGTTACTCGTACTATGACTTTAATTTTACTGCTCTTTTATTCTACCTTAACACTAATATATACTGTTGCGCGCCATAGTTGATACCTGGTACATGGCACTAGCGCCATCTATTATCAAATAGAAGAACTAAGTTTTCTGGAAAACTACACTCGAATTTTCTACATCTAGTCGGTCGGGACCGGTATTTGCTGGAACATTCTAGATGTTTCGGTAGAAAAGACTTATATAAAGCCGTTTAGGGCCGCGACCGGGGCAGTATTGAATTGGCGAGACAAGCGAAGACTTCGAGGCGATATACCTGCAAATTACAGTGTTAAGTGTGATTAATTATTAGTATGTGTTTAAGTTTTAATTGGTGTTCGATAATTAAAGTGTCAGTTTTGGTAATTCAATCGGCACTTTTTATTGTCACGAACCCTAAGCTCGTAACGATACTGTCGTGAAGGGCTATACTACATAATGTTGCAGTCCCAGTCAATCCATACGGATTTGCACATACCACTTTATAGACTACTTAGAACAATTCTTTTCTAAATGTTATTTATAGGAATAATACAACTAAAATTCTAAAAAAAATATTTGAATTATTATCGTTACAAAATTACGAGAATTTAGATTATACGAGAAATAAATTAAGAGAATTTACTTCAAATGATGACTTACCGCTATGATGCTACTTAACTATGAGAACTACATCGGCTTCGCAGTTCGATGTAGTAAGTACTTGACACACCGTGTAGATGACGCTGTTACAAAATTATTTCATTTATTAGGATTGTTTTACTAAATTTTTGCCTTAAAATTGTCAAGTTATTTAAAAACCTCTAAAATTGCAGTATTCACCTTTTGATTTTGTGTCTGTCTATTGATATTAAAATACTGTTTTGGTTTTTCACTAATGAAATAATTTTGTAACTGCGCCATCTACACGGTCTGCGAAGTACTATCGACCTGCGAAGCCGATATTACTCAATGGCGCTGTTATTAATGCCGCATGGGTTCCATATATTAGTTGACAGAGCCTGGTTTTGTGAACCAAAAAAAAAAATATTAACTTTGACTCGACCACAGGTCTGACAGAGTTAGTCCGATATGATGTCGGGATCTGAGAGGTTAAGCTTTATATGACACGAGGAGTAATGGTCATACTTACCTAAACCGAAAATGAACCTTACGTCAGTGCTAAGAAGACACATTTAAGATTTATTTCATTATTAGGAACCACCCATCCAACGATTCTTACCACAATAACAGAATTTTTCTGCTGATCTAAAACCTTCATCAAGATTTTTCTATTAAATATGTGTCTTCTCAACAGCGGCATAAAGTTCGTTTTTGGTTTCCGTAAGTATGACCATATTTCCTAGTATCGTATAAACTTTAAAGGGCTTACCGTTACCGTTACAGCCGTTCAAAGTCCACTGTCGAACATAGGCCACCCCCATAGATTGCCTCATAGAGGGGATATTTGTCATAGTTTCCACGCTTGGCAAGCGGGTTGGCAACTGCATTTATTTTTATTTTGAGTCGTTATTAGGAAGACGCTGCTGCCCATCTCCTGATTTGTTTCCCTCTGTGGCCTTTATGATACCCACCGGATGATATAGGGTAGTGGATAGGCTTAGGCTTATTAGCTAGTCTATTGTCACTCCGTATATGTGTCTTCATTTTGATTCTTATTGAGGATAGACGTAGTTATTTATGGGCCAGTACAGTGCAACCTTGATATAACGAAACTGAAGGGCATAAGAAAATATTCGTTATACCCAGTAAAGTTAAAGTGTAAAGTTACAGCCTATATACGTCCCACTGCTGGGCTCAGGCCTCCCCTCATTTCTGAGAGGGTTTAGGGCAAGGAAGTGTCCGCCGCGCTACCCCAATGCGTGTTGACAAACTTCACATGTCTTCGAAATATTTTTTTCTTATTCCTCAGACATGCAGGTTTCCTCACGATGTTTTCCTTCACCGCCGAGCACGTGGTAAATCAGCACTTAAAATTGCAACTAACAATTTCGTTGGTGCCGGCGGCGATCGAACCCGGGTTACTCGCGTTCTGCTATATTTACAGCGAGCGTTAACCATCTGAGCTATCACGGCTCTTATTATACCCAGTAATGCGTTATAATGAGTTTTGTTATATAGAGTTGAGGTGGGACTACAATTCCTTTGGAACAAGGTCTTACGAGGCTTAACATGTCTGAATGTGTCAAGACATGATTTATTGTGGAATTAAGTGGGAATAATTAATAGGACACTTTATGTCGGGAGCCATGGTAGCTCAGATGGTTAACACTCACTAATAAACATAACAGAACGCGAGTAACCTGGGTTCGATTCCCGTAGGCACCAATGAAATTGTTAATTGCAATTTTAAGTGCTGACTTGCCACGTGCTCGGCGGTGAAGGAAAACATCGTGAGGAAACCGGCATGTCTGAGGAAGAAGGAAAAAAATATCGAAGACATGTGAAGTTCGTCAACACACATTGGGGCAGCGCGGCGGATACTTCCTCGCCCTAAAACCCTCTCAGAAATGAGGGAAGGTCTGTGCCCAGCAGTGGGACGTATATAGGCTGTAACTTTACTTTTAGTTTTTATGTAGGGCTTCTAAGTTGAAAAAATCGTTAAGTAGAGGTAAATAATACCTTCTATCTATATTCTGAAACTATTAAAAATTCGTTATAAAGAGGATTTTGATTTTGTAATGTAGAGATATATTTTGTATTAGCTCTTACGGGCAGTTCTAGGGGATTTCAATAGTTCGTCAAATCGAGGAATTCGTTATATTGAGGCTCGTTATATTATATGTATGCGTAGGTATATGGAGGTGGAGGAGGAGAAAGAGGTGTGTCAGGATCGTGCTAAATGGAGGTCTATAGTCTCTGCCTACCCCTCAGGGTGACAGGCGTGAGTGTTTATGTTTATGTATGTTTATATAAAGGTTACACTATTCTGTTTTAGGTTAGAAGTTGTAAGTAACATTGCTCTCATACCTCCGATCGCGTGGTCTTACGTACAAGCGACTGTAAAAAATGATACGGTGCAGAACATCGACCTGCCGTTACAAGCGTTGCAAGATATGGACGTTTTGGAATCGTTCTTATTCAGGTATGGATTATTTTTATTTAAAGAAAAACTTAATATAATAAGACGTTACTTTGCAGAAATCCATTTTATTAAAGACGTTAAAAATTATTTACTTAGATCCGTGAGAAATAAAATGATGTTTTACCTAGTTTGAAGAGCACCTCCCTCCCTCCCTCAATTGCGTGCACTATCCCCGACACCACTAATCCCAGCAGAACTTCTCCCAACACCATTACACAAGAAAAGAGATACCACCGACGATACGTGTTTTGCTCCACACCAGGTATCGTCAGTTGAAGTTGATTTTTAACATCTTTAGTTAAAAAATTAACTACGCTAATATTCCATTTAACCACTCCTAGTAAGCGTGAAATGCTCACAAGGTGTTGTGATTGACCAACTTGAAGGAAGTACATAAAAAACCTTTTTCTTTGACATAAACACTCACGCCTGTCACCCAGAGGGGTAGGCAAAGACTACAGACTTCCATTTAGCACGATCCTGACATACCTCTCTCACCTCTTCCACATCCATATACCTACGCATACATGCTCGTCGGTTAAGGGTACTCTTAATTTGGCCCATTTTTAGTATATCGCCAATTTGGTCGACAATATTCCGCCTAGGACGTCCCTTTCCGACTCTTCCATTTACTTCTGCAACATATATTTGCTTTATCAGTCTATCCGCATTCATTCTTTCTACATGACCAAACCACCGAAGCATTCTTTTCTTAATCCTGGTCACTGCATCATCTTGCAAACCACACTCTTCTTTTATCATACAGTTTCTCACCCTGTCACTCAGATTCAGCCCTAACATACTCCTTAGCGACCGCATTTCTACTGCATTTATTCTACTCTCGTGCTTCTTCTTCTTCTTTCTTTTTCTTTGACTCAATAATAATTTATATGCTTTCAGAATTTTTGCTTAGTCATGCGTATCTTTTTATTTTTAATCTGTTACAATTTAAGGATGTTAATATTAAAATATAAATGGCATTGCCATTATTCCTTAATTTACATAACATCATGCGTACCTGTGCGAAAATATACTTAGTCCTTATAATTAAAATTTAACTAATAATAATTTTCTGTAGAATTTAGTGGAATGATTTTTACCACTTTCTTGCTCGAAACTTCAAAAACACTGTAGAAATGATGACATTAAGAAGTTAGGGCTCAATCTGAATGACAGAGTGAGAAAATATGTTATAAGAGAAAATTTTGATTTGCAAGATGATGTTGTGACCAGAAATAAGAAGTACTTCGGTGGTAGAAAGAATGAACGAGGAAAGAGTGACAAAACAGATTTATGTTGTAGAAGTTAACGGCAGAATCTGCAAGGGTACTCTAGGCAAAAGTTTATCGACTAAATTAGCGATATATTGAAGGTGGGCTAAATTAAAAGTATCCTTAACCGATGAATATATGCATGAGAAAGAGCCGTTAGAGGTGTGTCAAACGTGCCAAATTGAAGACCATGGTCTCTGCCTACTCCTCTGGGCGTGTATTTATATGTAAGCAAACAGGAAATTGTAGATTGCAAGTGCTCGTCTGTAAAGGAAAATATCATGAGAGTTTGCATGTGGAAAAAAAAATTAAAGACATATCTGCATTATGAATGGATCGGCTCGACCCGTATAGGATATCACAGAATACCAGCATGAATCAATTGAATAATAATGTGTTTCGCTTGGTGAGAGAAGAGAACCGGAGACCCTTTTTACTGGAAATGGCGACATTTTATCTTAGTCCTCAGGGGTGACAAAGTATCTGCATTTTGATTCTTAATCGATGATAGATATTGATATCTATGGGCCACAGCTTACACTTACTATCAGGTGGACTGTATTTTCGTTTGTCAGCTAATTCTATAATAATTTAGAAATAATCGATTACCTACATTTATATATTACCTATACTTGAGGGTTATTGTGATTAATTGCAATTTTTAACTGTAAACACGAGACATGACGTTATGTGCATGGCCTCAACGCTCGTGTCGACATCTATACCAGTCCAGTTGAGAAGAACAAACAAAACTGAAAGCTTTTCTTACTCATTTGTAAAAATGAAGCAATTTTTCAGAGTGAATCTTATAGGTTGGTCTTCGAAGAAGCAGTTCGAAGAGATATGGGTGGGATTGTTGGGAGCTTTACAAGGAAATGGTACCCACTGGGCTGTGAGAGGAATCACCCAGCTGCTGATCAGTACTGCACCTCACGTTAGGAGGAAAGGAATTATGCATGTGCCTCGTACGCATGTGTATGTCACTGATGGGTAAGTATTTATTGATACAAAGCACCTCTTTTTTCTCATTTTTTTAAATTACCTCCTGTAAAGGGGGAGATTACGTATATAATTTTAATAAGAATAAACATCCAGACCCGGAATATTTATTTGTAGGTCAAACAAATTCTTTTTCCATGCGGGATAATCTCTTACGAGGTATCTCTACCTCTTAGAATCCGAATAACTCTATGCTCCATCAAAGTTCAGAGTATAAAAGCCAGGCTCATTATTTTGTGACAACCATAGTGGACTTATCAGATACCTCCTGTGTCTTTACTTAAGTCCTGTATTTAATGATGGCTTCGTGGTCTAGTGGCATAGTTAATGAATTGTTACCCTGAAGGCCGTGGGTTTGAATCCCGCAGGACACAAGTATTTTTTTATAGAATACATGTAACCAAGGAGCACATATTACACCTGATGGTAAGTGGTTACTGCGGCTCATAGAAATTTACATTTACCCTTGATAAAAAATCTAAATGCAGACACGTTGTAACCCCTGAATTCCAAAAAAAATACGCCGGTGCTCTACATTCACCATGTGAAACACTGCAGTATTAAGCTGCTATTTTACGCTGGTATTATATGAGAATGTTGTCCTTCCTCAGTCGAGCCGACCCATTCGTTCTACAACTGTAATATAGCTGCAGCATGGCTCTATTTACTAAGCAATGATATTATAAGAAAAAGAGGTAGATAGGTTATACGCGCACCGCAAGTGGCACGTAAAAACTAGGCTAATTAGCAAACCTGATCTCAGTCGTCGCGCTATCGTCGCGTCATTGACAACGGCGTTGATAGTAATTCGTGTTTTGTTTTTGCACCGAAAATGCCGTCATATGTGATTAGATTCTGCACAATCTACACAAGAAAGGTTTCCAAAAGTCAAAAGGAATCATATTTCATTCGTTTACTATTTCCTTAATTTATTTTCGTGTTGTTAACAAATTCATAAATTACGTATTTTAAAATATATTGTCAGAACAAATAGAGAGGGATAAAAATCTGAGTTTGTCTGATCAAAGAATATAAAAAACAGATGGGTCTCTTCTGAGTATCGTAATTCAAATTGTGTACATATATTTCTTGTTTTATTGAAGGTAAATTAACTATGTCATTATTAATTAATAAGTTCGATTTATTTGTTTTATAGCGTAAAGAAGTGGTATATATGTTCGTATATAAATAATTATTACAGCACTTTATTTGATAATAAATTTTTAATAAAACCATTTTTTTTATTTTCCTACTTTTAATGCATTTTTATTACTTTTACTACTTGCACTCATGAGTGATCGCGTTTTAGGCATAAATCACGGTGTACGGTATAATGTCATATCTGATTAATTATTCTACATCGTTCCTACTACACAAGACCACGCGCTGTCGCAAATTACATTTGTCTCTTTTATGCTTGCAAAATTTTAATCATGCCACCCTTTTTTGACGTCTAATCGTAATGTAGTGTGCTATTGCAATATTTAGTTATTTATGCGTTAGTGTGCCGTTTTTGAAAATCGAATATTATGTAGGTAACCTATTTACACATTTTTACTTATAATATCATTGTTACTAAGTATAAAATTTGTATAGCCTACAAATAATTATCGCGTCTGGATGTTTGTCCTTGTGCAATTTATGTATGTAAATGTTCTCTGAGAAAAGAAAAAAGCTATTCACGTCATGATTTGTTTTTTTTTTTACAGAATGCAACGTCTTCGGAGTCTTCTTGTTGGTACTACCGAGATCAAAATGTTTGAAGACGTCAACTTAGAGCGTGTCCCGTTAATGAATGACAGTTTCGACGGATATCACTATGCACAGTTTAGTACAGAGTATTTGAAACTTGCTTCGGGTAAGTTGATTGTACTAGATAAATTTAAACGGGTAATCATGTGAAGAACTTAATTTTTGATCACACTTAAAGGATGATTTTATAGTATTTATTTCTGTTGCTCATAATTAAAGTTGTAGAGCCATTTTGGCAGCTATGTTATGGTTGTAGCATGAATGGGTTGGCTTGACCAAACACCATGCTCATACAGAATACCAGCATCAAATAGCAGCCTAATGCTGCTGTGATTCGTATGGTGAGTGTAGAGAACCGGAGACCCTTGTTACTGGAAACGAGGCATTCTATCTTATTTAGCTGACACCGCATCGGAATTTTGATACTTAATCGAAGATAGATATCTATGGGCCCACATTATCCACTTACTATCAGGTGATATGTGTACTCTTTTGTTACACTTATTCTATTAAAAAGAACAGCTAATCTTTTGAGCGAGAATATGCAAAACGCTGCACTAGGTTGTAGCACTCCTTCTTTTGCTTAGAAGTCCGTTGCAGTTGGTGCCAATTTCTTAACTGTTTCTGATGCCAAAAAGGAATGCCTTTCACTGCTGAGTTCAGGTTTTAAGGGAATCAAGAGCCAGTGTAATTACAGACTGTGAGGCGTTCTACTTAGTCCTCAGAGGTGACAACGCTGTAATGTGATAAAAATAATGTAAGCAAGAAAATAGTCCCAAGAGTGTGTAAACGTGGACTCGCTCCCACGGACGTGTAGAATTCAGCTTACGCGGCAATCCCCCCTTCGCGTGAGAACTGTATGTTAGAACATTAAATTCAACATGTTTTTCTGACAATATACTTTGGGCAGTCTTACAAGTAACATGTCTTTTATTTAAACAGCCAAGAGCGCACAACTTTACATATATATATATTTTTTTCTTTATATATATTACAACGCATATGTAGCCTACTTTGTTTGATATAGGCTGCACCATCAGGTGGCCTTGTAACTTAAGTTCGTTTGTCACTATAATTTAATTAAAAACTTATAAAAATTAAAATGGACTTTATGTTAATTGCAGTATGGCTTTATTTCCCTTGCAGATATATCAGAGGAAGCTCCTTTCAAAGTACGACAGGCGGTGAAAAGAAAGAGACGGAATAAGGACATAGATGTCAACAGTTGTTTACAATTGTTAATGGACGTTACCACAGATATGCTCGAGCCCAAAGTATGTAATAGAGTTAACTTTTTAAATCATTCACTTCGGTGGCATGGCTTTTCTGTCTAGAATTACTTGAGGTAGATATTATCCTTTTAAATATATTGCCACAATATCAAGAGAAGAGTAAGAGAGGCAGTATAATTATAGGCATTTGATTTTAGTCCTAAAGCGTAACAACGCATTTTTAGGTACTCAAGGACGTATATTCTGAATTCATTGAAATTAAATTTAAAATAATCACAAATAATAGAAATCGTGCTAAATCTAACATTTTATCGAAATATCCTTTACTGGCTAAGGTAGGCTTTGCATGCAGTCTTATTGGACTTCGTAATATTAATTAAGTTTTAGGGTTTCATAGCTTAAAATATTCAAAGGGTAATAAAAACTTGCACAAAACAACACATAGTTTATGAAAAGAATTGGACGCTCAGGGAAATCCGCAGTCTGTGAACATGTACAAAATCACCCCCGTCTCTACATTAGATTTCAAGACAAATCCTCACTAAAGAACACTGATTCCTTCTAAGGATGATTTGCGAGGCTATTGAAATCATGAAACATTCTAATTTCAATAGAGAAGATAGATGGGTGCTGCCATCTGCTTGGGGTTCTGTAATTAACAAAATTAAACCCAAACCCAAGCATACCACTGCAAGACTTCATGATACTATAAGCTCGTTTTGCGTAAATCGGACCAAAAATTAATATTCAAAAACTGAAGGTAGCCGGACGAACTATGACATTGGGACGTCAAAGATCTCAGCCCCCCATCGTGACCATTCGATGGGTGCTGTAAGGCACCCGAAACGTGGGGATAATAAAAAATAAATTAAAGTAATTAAACGCGATAAAATCCGTAAATAATAGTTTTATTCAATTTTTTCATTTTATTACTTGGTAATGTAGGAAAAAGGTGTCAATGACGTGTTGTTGATACTAAAAATTAATATACTCCTCAATTATTCTAGCTTAGACCTAATATATTATATTGCTATGGGGGTTAAACGACGCTACACCCTCCAACGACAAAAAAAATGAATACTTACAGTATTTATTTTATTTTATAAAATTATATAAATATTATCTAAAAAGGTATATTCTATGGATAGGTCGGGTGGCTATATCCCCCTGCCCCTTAGCAGGCCTCTGTCACTCTTGATACCTGCGTGTAATAATTACCTAAAATCGCGAGGCGCCTTGGGCGTTATACCGTTATACGCAGTCGAAGCTAGCGCGATGTACGCGATTCAATGTTAAAGTTTTTTAACGCTGTTTACGTAAATAGTTTTATATAAATACTTGTTGAAATAGTTTTTGTTTAGTGTATTTAAATGTAGGTAAAAATAGTTGTAAAAGTTTTAATGTATTTTAAAAATTATTATTTGATAAATTATAACAGCAAAACGTCGTTCCTACTATAACTGTGGTGTGGATGGATACTAAATGAAATGGCCAACAAAATAATTCATCATTCTTTAAGTTACCGAAGAATTTTAGAAGGAAGTTATGAAAGGTGAATTTATTTAATTTTTTTTAATGGATATGTACTTACAGCAAAAAAAGAATGAAGTAATAATTTGGTAGAAAGAAGAAATACCTAAGTACTTTATCACAAAAATTAGTTAAAATTTACTTCACTATCCAAGTATTTACTTACATACGTATACTTGTCTTTTGTAATTAAAATAATTTAAGTTATAATAACACAAAATACTAAAATTAAAACTTTGTATACTAACAAGATTTTTAACTAAGTAGAATAGATCACATTTCTGTTAGGAATCGTATTTCAGATAGATTTATTTGTTGTTTACACTACCTATTTCTTCCGAACCAAGCATCGCGCTTTCCGACGAATAACCTTGAAAGGAGACGGGCGAATTTGGGCCTAACGTTACACAAGTGCAATATTTATCAATATTTTTTTAAAGTTTTTTTGTAGTTAATAATGAAATATTAAGCAGTTTTATCATGACAAAAGAAATTAAATATTTTATAAGAATAATACTGACTTCCGTTATTTTTATTTTTAAACAATGCTGCCAGATGAAATAGGTTAGTTAATCGATTTTAATACAAAAATAGAAAAAAGACAATAAAAAGTGATTCAGTCTTTTCTTCTTTAGGTAAGTTTAAGAAACTTCTTATTTAAATAATGGTTCCCTCGTGACACCTTAACGTTTCAAAATAGTCGTAAAAATAAATTGACTGAATAAATTAATAAATCGATTTCACAATCGATTATCAATGTTTTATACAGGCCACAAAGCGGAAATGTCAACGTTAGTTTAAAAACTAAAAACGTCACTCAAATCATTTGTTACTTTTGTTCACAGAGTACTTTTTTATATAGGGTACTTTTGTTTGGCTCTGAGCTTGCGGTGCTAGTGAATATTTTCTGTTGTTTTTCTGTGCTGTAATAATATTCCCATCTTTAACGACTCTGACTACGTATAAAGGATTCTGACGGTTTCTTTTCTGATTTTACAAGTATACATGTGCAAAATGATAAATGGTTTTCCCCAGCTCACGCATAGTAATTTAATAAAAATATCTTTAGGTATTTATCAAATTAAGTGGGCTAGGTCCCATTATGGTGAACACATACAAGATGGGAGATATGAAATAGAAGTGTGTCTAGAAACGGACAGCAACCTACTAAGAGAATTGTCTTTATTCGACCTCTTAATAGCTACCTATAATGGTACTATCCAACCATTCTAGCTGGCTATTGAGAGGTCGAATAAAATCGAGACATATACTTAAGCTCAAAAACATATTTTACATATATTTTAGTTGACAGTCCTCTTAATGGTAGAGAGATCATCAAACAGTATTATTTCAATTCTTTGGTAGGAAAAAGAACTGTAGGTTGCTGTTGTCATGTAATGTCCATAATATGGTACCTAAGCTGGGCAAGGCGTCAAGAGAATTTAATACTGCCTGCACCGTTTTTAGATGATATTTTATTTGTTTATGATGAAGTGGACGATTAATAAATCATTAAAAGAGAAAATGTTTTTAATTCATCCTCCTTCTGCTTTTTTATAATTATTTCAAACTTCTAGAATTTAGTAGGACGGCGGCGTCTGAATCTTCTATTTGTGAAGGTCCTACAATACATAAAATTATGGTGATGTTTAGTTTACAATAAAGTCTAATAATTATTTTCTTAAAGTGTAATGTGAGAGCTTGGTGTGAGAATAACATTGTATGCATAGCATAAGCAAAATAACAACCTATATTCTTTTTCTACCATAAAGCACTCGTAAACATTTTAGTTTTTTTTTAAAATGATATTGATATATAAATAAAATAATACAGTAATTTGCTGTAACATCAGGCCCAGCTTTCTATGAACTTTCGCCCGTCTCCTTTGCATGCATTAGGCATCGCAGAACTCACATAGGGGCGAAAGTATGGTCAGTCGATAATAGTCAGAATAGCTACTCGTACTTTACCTAAGTAACATAATTAAAATTTCGCAATGTATTTTTTTTACTTTCTATTGACATCCCTTAATAACCACGGAAAGTCCGCCATGACTTAAGAAGCGGAAAAGATGCAAAGTAATATGGACACTAAGTCGCAACGATAAAGTTTTATTTGGCTTGCGTGCGTGATTTATCTGATTAATAATAATGGTTTAGGCTATTAAACATCGGCAAGCAGTCGAAATCAAATGAGTGCAACTTCTGTACGTAGTACTATTATTTATTTTGTGCCCATAGTAACATCGAGGTCACAATAGAATGAGTATGACGTATCCTGCATACAACGTACATATCTGACATAATTAGAGGTGGAGATGGGGTGGCGGGGTTCTAACGCCTCGACCATATGACAAATATACGTAGAACTTCATCATTTTCTATAAATATATATAGAACTTACTACTTCAGTGTATGATGAACAACTAAATCGCACATTGCTAATCCTTAGGTCATTTTACATCAGGCTCGAAACACCATTACGAATGAATGTTTTAGTTTAGCTGGTGAAATGTACGCAGCATTTCGTGTACTGTTTTGTTGGATTGAGGATGAAGCTAATAAAATTGTAATGATTTCTTATAAACAAGCTAATACTACACTTTTACGAACTTTTCAATTAAATTCATTTTACGGATGTAATCGCGTTTAATTTCAACTTCCTAATTTACAGCACCCATGGTCACGACTAAGGTGTTCGACTTCCCAATGTCATAGTTAGCCCTTCATCTTTTGTATATTAATTTTTGGTTCGATCTGATTTTGGTTAGATCATAAAAGTGTGATGACAATCGTTCAGGCCGGGACTGGCGTGGCGTCACGTACGGCGCTGCTGCAGAGTATATGCGGCGCGAGCGCGGTGTTTTCTACGGGCGCGCAGTGGGGCTGGGCAGCCGCGCAGCTCGCGGCACAGAGCTCGCGCGCGCACTGGCCCCCCGCCATGCGCGCGCTGCTACACGCGCTCGCGCTCTGCCTGCCCGTGCTGCACCACGCCGACGTGACGCACGTGAGCATCACAACACAACACTACACTACACCACATTACACTACACACTGCTGTACAGTACATGCGCGCACTGGCCCTCCGCCAAGCGCGCGCTGCTACACGTGCTCGTGCTCTGCCTGCACGTGCTGCACCACGCCGACGTGACGCACGTGAGCATCACAACACGACACTACACTACACCACATTACACTACACACTGCTGTACAGTACGTGCGCGCACTGGCCCGCCGCCATGCGCGCACTGCTGCACGCGCTCGCGCGCTGCCTGCTCGTCCTGCACTACACGTCGACGTGACGCATGTGAGCATCACAACACAACACTACACTACACCACATTACACTACACACTGCTGTACAGTACGTGCGCGTACTGGCCCGCCGCCATGCGCGCGCTTCTACATTCGCTCGCGCTCCGCCTGCCCGTGCTGCACCATGTCGACGTGACGCACGTGAGCAACACAACACAACACTAAACTACACCACATTACACTACACACTGCTGTAGAGTACGTGCGCGCACTGGCCCGCCGCCATGCGCGCGCTGCTGCATGCGCTCGCGCTCTGCCTGCCCGTCCTGCACTACGCCGACGTGACGCACGTGAGCATCACAACACAACACTAAACTACACCACATTACATTATACACTGCCGTACAGTACGTGCGCGTACTGGCCCTCCGCCATGCGCGCTCTGCTGCATGCGCTCGCGCTCTGCCTGTCCGTGCTGCACCACGCCGACGTGACGCACGTGAGCATCACAACACAACACTAAACTACACCAAATTACACTATACACTGCTGTACAGTACGTACGCATACTGGCCCGCCGCCATGCGCGCGCTGCTGCATGCGCTCGCGCTCTGCCTGCCCGTGCTGCACCACGCCGACGTGACGCACGTGAGCATCACAACACAACACTAAACTACACCACATTACATTATACACTGCCGTACAGTACGTACGCATACTGGCCCGCCGCCATGCGCGCACTGCTGCATGCGCTCGCGCTCTGCCTGTCCGTGCTGCACCACGCCGACGTGACGCACGTGAGCATCACAACACAACACTAAACTACACCACATTACATTATACACTGCCGTACAGTACGTACGCATACTGGCCCGCCGCCATGCGCGCACTGCTGCATGCGCTCGCGCTCTGCCTGCCCGTGCTGCACCACGCCGACGTGACGCACGTGAGCATCACAACACAACACTACACTACACCATATTACACTACACACTGCTGTACAGTACAAGCGCGCTCGCACGCAAAAGACTCGAACGTACGTATGTTCTATGTTCTAAAATGTCATTAAATATCAATCTAAAATTAATGTTTCACAGGAGCTGTCAACTGTCCACCAGAAGCTGCTGAAATCACTTACTTCTAGCTACGCACCGTTACGCCAAGCGGCACTTCAGGGCTGCCTTCTTCAGTTGACAGCGAGAACTAAACACGTGACCACTCAAACGCACAACCCTTACCACGAGTTGGTCACGCAGTTAAATGTCGCCGTGCGTCAGTATTTAGTGCCGAATTCGAAGTGAGTGAATTTTATAATCTGTGTGTTTATTATCAGCAAGATGCAATTTTTAGCTGTCTGCTTACGAGCCTTTTATCATGATCATTAGCTTACGGCAGTCCACTGCTGGACATATGCATGTCCCTTTGCGCTTCACTTAGCCCGCTCTTCTGATATACGCTTCCATCTATCACTGTTATATACAGTCCTTTAAGATTGTATTATTTTATATTTGTTTCAGGATATCGCTCTACGAACAGAGTCTGTATTGGACGGTGCTTTTCACTTTGGTAGAGTTGGGACACCCCGACCTAATGAACTTTGCGGTGGACTTCGTTTTAAAAAATCCGAGACATTATTGCACCGATCTTGTGGTCAGGGTAAGTTGTGGTTATGTACATTTTAAGGTTAACTCATGTCAGCTTAGCATAAATCTTTGAAGCAGAGTGATGTCCAAATGTGAAAATTTTGTAATGAGTAATTTCTACGTAAATGTATAAAAACAATTGATTGTAAAAAATTATAAGTTTTCCTAAAAAACATAAAATTAAATAATAATCAACTGTTGACTTATATCAATCGGGTTTTGTCTATCGATATTATAGACACGATTTAACTAGAAACATATGTCCAAACGAAGATCGAGAAATGCTAAATTGATTCGGGTGTGACGCGACCCGATGGAGATGTGTTTACACAGTAACCGTTTTGTCGTTCGTTTGTAGCAGCTGCCTACACAATTATGTTTAAAATCACGCGTAATAGTTTGCAGAGTTGCACAAAATCAGAGTGCCAAGAACAGATACCTAGTTTATGAGATATACGAGAAGCCATTTATGAAATCACAATAAATAAATTCTGAAGTGCGGGTACATCCTATGTTTGACGAACTTCAACCTGTGCAGACGCTTGCGGTTCGTTAAATTTAGGTGTATACGATTTATTCATATGTAAAAGTAGTTTTCAACTGTTTTAGTAGCTATATAAGAATATCCTTACTTTATCGTCCCTTGCGTGTCGTAAGAGGCGAAAGAGGAAATGAAACAGGAAATTTAACTGTGATTTAATTGTGTTAAGATTTAACTGTGGCAGAGCTACATGGTAGCTTTGCTATTACACGCAAAGGCCGGCTGAAGCCGAGGTTGTATCACGACCTCACAGAATACCGGCGTAAAAGCTCTGCTTTCGTATTTTGTCTAGTGAGTGCAGGTGACCGGAGGCCAAATCCACAACCCCCATCAACATAGTAGCAGAATTACCCTCCCTCGCAGAGCATCCACGGCCAAGCTACTCCACTCCTGAGCGTGGGTGCTCAGGTTGCCCCGCGTATTCTGGGGGATCAAAACTCCGCTCAAGCCAATAACTGCTCGCTGCCTCCGTTTTAGGCATTCTGCAGGCTGCCTCCGTGTTAGGCACCATAAGTCGGACGATTGGGATAGGATGCGGTCTTTCTTTGCATCCTACTCTTGGAGGCGGGTTTGCTTGTTGTACTGTCGCTGATTTGATACTTCAGGGTGCAAGGGCAAATCTCACCTTGGTTTAGTAGCTCCTGTAAAATATCATAATGCTATAAGCAGTAGTGCTACAGGGCCTCGGGCTGACTCATCGACGTCCCGGAATGTGAACATCAGCGCCCTAAAAAGAGGTATAATTCCGCCTCTAGGTCCTTCAAAAGTGTCATTGCCAAGGCAAAATCTGAGCATATCGGCAGAATTGGCTAGAAACTAGTTCGACTTCCTTCTAGGATCCTGCACAGGGAGGACGACTCACTAGCTTATGCCGCAAAGGAGAAAGCTGATCTTCGAAGCTCTTTCTTTACGTCCAACTCGACTGTCGTTGACCCGTCAAGCACACCGCCGACCATCCTGCGATGTGAGTGTTCCATGCCGGATGTACGGTTCACACAGCGCTCGGTTCGCAAAGCACTCCTCTCTCTGAACATCCACAAGTCGAGTGGGCCTGAAGAAATCCCCCCAATTATGCTGAGGACGTGTGCTCTAGAGTCGACACCGGTTCTAACGCGTCTTTTCTGGGTACTCCTACTCTCTTGGCGTTGTCCTGAAATCATGGAAGACGGCCACCCGATCCCTGAAAAAGGCGACCGCTCTGATCCGTCTAACTACAAGCCTATCATCACCTCCTTATTCTCCAAAATAATGGATTCCATTATAAACTGACAGCTCAAGCGGTACCTTGAGGATCACCAGCTGACTAGTGACCGCCAATATGGTTTTCGTCGGGGTCGATCAGCTGGTGATCTTCTGGTCTACTTGACTCATAGATAGGCGGAGGCAGTAGAGTCCAAGGGAGAGGCATTGGCCGTTAGTTTGGACATTGCAAAGGCCTTCGATCGGGTTTGGCACAAAACGCTTCTTTCGAAGCTCCCTTCCTATGGGCTTCCCGAGAAATTGTGCAATTGGATCACCAGCTTTCTTGCAGATCGAAGCATGGTCGTTGTAGACGGTGTATGCTCTGATTATAAGCCTATTGATGCTGGCGTTCCACAAGGCTGCGTGTTATCACCAATGCTGTTTCTTCTGCATATCAATGATAGGTTGCAAACCGGTAACGTTCATTGCTATGCGAATGACAGCACTGGTGGTGCTCTATACACAGGCGTGCTCATCAGAGCGGGACAGTATTTCATGCCGGCACACCGCCTTTAACTTTACAAGGCGCAGGTTCGGCCGCACAAGGAATACTGTTCCCATCTCTGGGCTGGGGCTCCATGGTGCCAGCTCCTTCCACTTAACCGCATCCAGCGCAGAACGGATCGAATCGTCGACGAACGAGTGCTTTCCGATCGACTTGATTCACTGGCGCTGCGCATAGATGTTGCATCCCTTTGCATTTTCTTTCGCATCTACCACGAGGAGTGCTCTGAGGAATTGTTCGGATTAATCCTTCCCGCCAAATTTCATGAACGTACATTGCGGCAAAACTCCCGATACCATCCACAACATTTGGATGCTTGGCGGTTCACCACTCTACGTTTCACTAGGAGTTTTCTTCTACGACGACCTCGCTGTGGAATAGTTTACCACCGGCAATTTTACCGGACCGATACTACTTCAAGAAAGGACCTTACTCCATTCTAAAAGGCCGGCAACTCGTGTTGCAGTTGTTCATGGGAGGCGGTAGTCACTTTACATTAAGTGAGCCGTATGATCGTTTGCCCCCGCTCCTATAAAGTAAAAAAAAAAAGATAAATACTGATAACAACTCAAAATAATAAAAATCTGCAGTTGCCTACCCGCTTGCTACGTGTAAGACAATAAGACAATTTCTGGGCGAGGTCTGTGTTCAGTAGTAGACTTTTGATAGTACATAAGAGTAATGGTAACAAAAGGTTTGGCTGGTCATTTCTAGGAATATCCTTATAATAAATAAGAGATAGTATAATAATTTCCATAACTATCACACAACGCCATCTAGTCCCAAGCTAAGCAGAGCTTGTGTTATGGGTACTAGACAACTGATAAACATACTTATATATTTCTAAATACATAAATATTATAGATAAATTACAACCAGACACAGAACAAATGATCGTTGTCATCACACAAACATTTGTCCTGGGTGGGAATCGAACCCTCTACCTCCGGCATAGCAGTCAGGGTCACTAACCACTAGACCAACAGGCCAGTCTTATCATATCTTATCATATCTTATAATAAATAAGAGCCTATAGAATTCTACTGATGGAAGTGAGCTCTCCCGTTGTTATGTTCCTTTAACAGTCACGCTTATCAGGTAGATTAAATCTCAGTACCAGACGTCTCTACTGTACGTCTAAAGTTAACGAGATAGTATACCGTCAATAAGTTTTTTTTGGGCATTTCCCACTGTCGTATCTTTCGACATAGACAGGTTGAATATCATATAATGAATACAGTTGCTTCTGTGTCAGAATAAGAAATAAAATGCCCTTTTCAAACCACATTTCATTTCTTTTTACTTCAGAGCAACAAAGACAGATAATATTAATAATAATAAAACTTTATTAGCATAATTACATTCCTTTCCTTTGCAATAAGCTTCATTATAATAAGTTTAAAATAAGCTATTTTGAAATTTTAAAAATTTTAACTTGCTTACTTCGGATTATTACTACCGGCTGTACTAGGCCGAGCCTTTATCGCAGACGGCAGTTCCTTCCTCTATGACACAAAGAATATAATATTACTAAATATAGCTTATATTCACCAAATGCAAAACATAATAATAACGACATCAAAAAGTTAGTGTTATGCTAAAGTCAACATTGATATTCAATTATATTTTTATAAGTACCGCAATAAAAGTTAACATTTTTAATAAAGTAAGGTTAGAACGAACGAACCGTTGCGTATATTTCAAAATATGCCAAGACCATGCATTCTTGACACGCACTTACGCACACATCGTCCTTCTTTCTATATCGGCTCGTATTAGTTCATTGTTGTTGGATGCAAATGATTTTAGATGCTTATTATGCACACACTCGGACGTGCGTGTTTTCGTGTGTGTGGGTCTAGCCAATCCTTAGTGACGATTGATAACTCAAATTAAATTATTAAAAAAGTTGTGTATTTTCCAGGCCATAACCTCAGTACTCCGACAACAGATTCTACCTAAAGACTTAAAGAAAACTATAATAGAGAAGTTACTAGACAACATGAGCAAATACTCAGAGCATCATGCTATTCAGATACTAATGGTGCATCTATTTTCAGGTAACTCTAAAATGTTATAGCTAATTTCAAGAGCTTTTATACAATAAATATAAAACATAATCTACCAAAGACCTTCCAAAAAAATCAATATATCTGAAAGCTTGTGACCACCTCTATTACATTGAATTACTTATAATTTGTCAATTAGATTATTGTACTTCTAATTTCTTCCAACTACATTGCACTATCAAGCAATAAAAAGGAAACCTGTTATTGACCATACTTAAGCCAGCTTTGCTTAATTGTGTGCTCCAAATGTTTATCTAATGTACGTGATGTTTATAATGGCTAAATCATTTAAATAATTCAAATAATGTTATGGACTTCTGGTCCTAATATTAAGCTCATGGCTCTAATAAAGTTCCTGCTGATGTTTTTAATCCTTGTGGCAGAACATTATATATATATATATATATATATATATATATATATATATATATATATATATATATATATATATATATATATTGAATTTCCATTGAATTTGAATGCAGTATATTTCTTACTATTCCTATTTATTGGAATTTGAAAATATGTATTATTTAAGTTAATGAAATCCAACATCCAATTTATAGGTGGCTTCTCTGTTTCTGCAATCATTTTCTTATTTATGCTTCTTTATTATACATTAAGGAGCCGTGGTAGCTCAGATGGTTAGCGCTAGCTGTAAATTTCACAGTACGCGATCAAACCGGGTTCGATCCCCGCCGGCACCAATGAAATTGTTAATTGCAATTTTAAGTGCTGATTTACCACGCGCTCGGCGGTGAAGGAAAACATCGTGAGGAAACCTGCATGTCTGAGAAGTAAGAAAAAAATCGAGGACATGTGAAGTTTGCCAACACGCATTGGGGCAGCGTGGCGGACAATTCCTTGCCCTAAAACCCTCTCAGAAATGAGGGGAGGCCTGTGCTCAGCAGTGGGACGTATATAGGCTGTAACTTTAAGGTTTACGAATTTCCCTATACGCTGTTGGTTTTCTAAATCAATAAAAAATGTAAGGCCCATGCCCAGAAAACACAAACACAAACGAGCACTGTGTCCATCTGTAGTGGATGCTTTCATACATAGACATTTATAGGGATAAACTAAGAATTAAAATTAGATGTCGCTCTCGAGGGCTAAGATGAAATGCGTCGTACCAGTAAAAAGGGTTTCGGGTATTTGGAACGAACAGTTCCATCTTGTTCCTCAGGGGTAGCAACTCACTTTCATGTTGATTCAGTAACCACATACCTGTGTGCTCTCAGTCCACAGCGACCACAGCAGAACCGACTAAGCCATTCCACGCTGGCTATTGTTTTTGCTTTAAGAAACTTGTAAAACTATTGTTTTTTTTTTATAGAATAACGGTGACAAACGAGCTCACAGTCCACCTGATGGCTAGTGTTTGGTGTGGCCCGTAGACACCTACATTTACTCTCGATTAAGAATCAAAACACAGATTCGTTTTCACTCCCGAGGACATAGTTGGAATGCCTCGTTTTCAGTAAAAATGGTCTCCGGTCTTCTGCACTCACCATACGAAACACAGCAGCATTAAGCTGTTATTTCACGCTGGTAGTTTGTGAGGACGTGGTCCTTCGTCGGCTGACCCATTCGTGCTACAACTATAAAATAGTTGCATCTTGACGCTTAACGTAGATGCCTTATAGAATTAAATAAACTATTTTATTACACACATTAACTATTTCTAAACTATACATTTTATTGAACTATATTTATTCTACCTTCTTACTGAAACTTTTACATAACTTTTATGGCCGTTTGTTTTCATAATTGCATGTTGATAAAATGAAATAATATTTTATGTCGTACACCAAATGGTAGATCGCAGCGCCACTGAATTTCTTCTTTGTAAAATACCTTATAACCTGTCGATCACTAAAAAATTGATTTGAATTATATCGGAATTTTTAACGTGGCAGAGACATGCTGCAGCTATATTATGGTTGTAGCACGAATGGGTCGGCTCGACCGGGGAAGGACCACGCTCTCACAGAATACCAGGGTAAAATAGCAGTTCAATGTCGCTACTTCGTTTGGTGATTGTAGACTACCGGAAACTCTATTTACTGAAAACAAGGCCTTCCATCTTAGTGAGTAACAAAGCATCTGCATTTTGATTCTTCTTTGAGTATAGATGTAAGTGTCCATGGGCCTTAGCAACCACTTACTATCAGGTGGACTGCGAGCTCATTTGTCACCCTTATTTTTAATTGCGAATTGCGCAGACAGCCAATAATGTTTATAAATGTGTTTATTTGCAGCTGACAGTAGATTATTAAGTCCAAAGTTAACTGCAGATGTGTCCAACATGGACCCAGATGTATTAATGAGCTCTATGGAGAGAATAACTTTACTTTACAAAACCCTCAAAAACTCAAAATCCAAAGAGAGCAAATACATACTAGCGTCCGCTCTGAAATACTTCCTGCGGGAGACTCTACCGCCGGCTGCGACTTTGAGTAGAGTCGTGATAGAGTTTCTGGAGTGCTGTAAGGAGACGGAAAAGAAGAGAGTGGGGATATTTAGTGACAGAGAAAAGTGGATTCAATGCTCCGTGCTAAACGCTGAGGTCGTTAATGAGGTACGTAGTTACTTTGCATTAAAAATAAAATTCTGTTTTTAGATTGATATTAGAAAGATGTTTTAGCTACGCACTTCATATCTGACTTGTCGATACTGTTAAGAATATCCCCTAGCCATTTATTATAAATATATCGTGTAACAAATCAAACTGATGCTCAGCAGCGCTTTCATGATAACAACTAAAAATAACAAATGAACTACGGTTGCCGACCGGCTTGTCAAGCGTGGTATTTATAGCAAATATCCCCTCTGTGAGGCAATACATAGGGGGAGGCCTATGTTCAGCAGTGGACTTTAATAGAGTGTAAGTTCACTTGTTGGGTCATGGCAAAACTAGTTGTTGGGTGGTCATAAATTTCTTAGTTGTAGCCTGGAGTCAGGAAGTCGGCGTTGTTTCATTATCTTGCGTCAGAAAGCACGTAAAGCCGTTGATCCTGCATCGGATACAGTGGCGGTTTACCATCCCATCGGACTATGAGAGCGGGAATTAAGAGAGTGCACCTGTGCTTTCACATGCACTCGGACACTACAATCTCGTCCTGTGAAATTCGGTCTGGAGGACATATTTTTGTCAATGACTGCGACTGATTCATCATGAACTGTAAGGAAGTAAAGTTGTAGCCTATATGAGTCCCACTGCTGGGCACAGGCCTCACATTTCTGAGAGGGTTATGAAGCAATCTGTCCGCTGCACTGCTTTATTGCGTGTTGGCGTACTCCACATATTATGTTTGAAGTATTTTTATTCCTCGAACATGTAAGTTTCCTTACGATGTTTTTCAACACCGCCGAGCACGTGGTAAGTCTGCACTTAAACTTGCAATCAACAATTTCATTTATGATGGTGAGGATCGAACTCGAGTTGTTTGAGTGTGTGGGTGTGAAATTTATAGCGACCGTTTTGACCATGAGCTTACCACGGCCTTATATCAAGATATCATAAACAGGATTCGAGGTAATCGCTGTCCTTTTCAAAACCCAAGCACCAGCACTTTTAGTCTTCCACCGCCGATCTTATTTTACTGCTGGTATGAGGTCACACCGCAAGAGACTCGAGCTTTTCTTTGTGGTTTCTATTAATCCACCACCACGTTATTTTTATAAAATTAAGAGTGACAAGCGATCACGCAGACCACCTGAGGGTAAGTGGATGCTGTGCCCCCTAAACAAATCTATCTTCAATTAAGCAAAGTGCAGATGCGTCGTCATTCTTGAGGACTAAGATGAAATGCTTCGTTAGTGGGAAAAAGGTTCTCTGGTCCCGTCACACAAAAGCTTAATGCTGTTATTTTACATTAATATTCAATGTGGGCGTGACCTTTCTTCGATCAAGCTAACCTATCTTTTGTCATAATCATCATCACAGGTCTTACTAGGTCTACTTTAATTGGTGGGGGCCTCACTACACTCTGTTTAAAGTTACGAAGCTGCCACGACCTTGTCTTTCCTATAGGTTCTTGGTTCTTCGAGCTTTATGGTTGATCTCTTACCACTTCAACTCTGTAGTGATTAAGTACCTAAAAGTAAGACGTGAAATATACAATAACTACAGGCAACACACTCAATGGTGCCAAATATTGATGTTTGCGGCAAAACCTTCTAATAGAAAAAGGGGTACATGGCCAGCAGAGGACTTTTAAAAGTTGATGATGATTAAATGATAAATTATGGTATCTTAAATTTACGCGAACACTACACATTGAATAAAACTATTATTTACGGATTTCATCGCGTTTAGTTACTTTAATTTATTTTTACTATCCCGACGTTTCGGGTGCTTTACAGCACCCATGGTCACGGGGGGGGGGGATTGAGATGTTTTACGTCCGTAGTTAGTCCTGTTACCTTCAGTTTTTGAATATTAATTTTTGGTCCGATTTACGCAAAGCTAGCTTATAGTATCATGACGTCTTGCAGTGGTATCCTTGGGTTTGGGTTCAAATGTTTGACGCGATAAAATCCGTAAATAATAGTTTTATTCAAAATATGGTAGTTTTAATATTATATGTATAGGCGGAGCCGAAAAGAACAACAAATCCTATCGCAAAACGCTATTTCAATTAAATTTTTCCAGGTGTTCGAAACTGCTGTAACGCAAGATCAGCTTCCCGTGTTAAGTGGCTGGATATTTGAAGCCCTCTGCCATTTGTTAACTGGCAAAATTTCCGCAAACTTACTTCCATCTTGCGTGCTGACCTTACTGGTTTCGGCTAGTTCGAACCGGTTCGTTAGACAGATATCGCCGCTCTGCTACCATATCTTCAGGAAAAGTTTTGCTCATCACCAAAAGGATGAAAGTTGGGGCGTTTTCAGCGACTGCTTGGCGACGAATGGCGCGATGTGTTTTTCAGACAAAAGGCTGCTGTGCGTTGTTGCGACGCATTCTAACTTCTCCGTATCTCAATTAGGAAGGTTAAGAGAATTATGTGGGAACAACGATTGCTTGGAATATTTGTTGCAGTGCTTGAACGTTTAGTTGTATATTTGAAGTAGATAGGGAATGTTACTTAAGCTCTTTTGGTGGCTTTACTTTTCTGCTCAGTTCAACGTACCGGCAAAATATAATGAAAAAAAAAACAATCTAAATTTAAAATCGCTTTTTAAGGTCGCCTTTTTGCCACTGATGTTTGTTGCTTGGCTAATATTACTATATAAAAGTTACGTCAGATATACATAATATATCAGATATTCTGAAAAATGTTTCTATGACCGTGGCGAATAATTCTCAAATAACATTCCCTATTGAGTTAAATATTTTAGTTTCTATAATGTCGATTATTCAAAAATAGTTGTAGGCGAAGATATATGTATATTGTGGTTGCACCCCATTACGAAATCTTCAGCTGTATATGTCATAAAACAGGCTTACGATTTTACTAAATTGCTCCTAAAATATAACCGCTGACTGAATATATAACAAATAAATTTCGATTGTAGACTTTTGTTTTAGTTTTTAAAATGTACGATAATTTACGAAAGTCAATAAACAGCATAAATACCAAAATCGTGGGTATAGAATTCACTCCAATTTAATAAATAATACAATCTATTGATAATAATATAGACAATGGATTTAGGTTCAGAATATTTCTGTTACATGGCATTTTTTCAGCTAACACCAAAGATTTCTATGTATACTACAAGACGAGCTCTGCTTCTTTAATACATTGCACACTAAGTTACGGTCAATCCTCTGTAACTACTTCAGCCGGAGACGAGAGAGAGAACACTAGTTCTTTGTTTTGTAAACCGCGATTGTTGTTTTCGACAGTCTAACACTGATTTTGTTAAATGTGACTATAGAAACGCTGTCAAAGTGATTTGAAGTTTATTTCAAATAAGCGTGTAACTTTATTTCGTTTTTGCGTAGAACTAGTAACTCTACGATCCACATCTGCGACACAGTTTACGTTCTGAATTGTTGGGCTATTAGTACACATGGAAGTCTTTGGCTTATTCTATAAGGATATTTTTGCAGCGGAATCAGCCAAGATGACATTATACAACTGTTATTGCTACAGACAACCATATAATGAATGTAATGAAAGTCACGTGCCTTAGTGTTAGGATATTTCATTTTCATCAATTTTTATAGTTTTTTATTGGTTTAACGATAGTAGAAAGTCATCTTGGCTAAGCTCCCAGAAATATTTTCCTATAAAAAGTGATAATATTAAAATTAACAAAGACTTGTATGTACACTACTATATGGGTAGTAGTGTAAAAATCATAGAATACTATAATACATACATAATAGAACGGGGGAGTGGGCGGAGCCCGTGTAGCCACTAACATGTATCTAACACGTCAATTCACACGTATAAATGTAAACACAATCAATCGTTTCCAATTTTCGTGTCAAGCGTCGCTGCATGAAAATTATTTAAAAAAATGGCAAATAATTACCAGTAAGTCGAAACTATTTAAATTTTGGAAATATTAGAAACAAAAATAAAGAAATATTTATGTGTCAAAAATATTATTCAAAAGTTTAAAATGTGTTTGTGGTAGTAATAATTAATAACTGATAATGCGACGTAATTGCTTGTATGTGTGCTCTCGGTGACGCCAATCCTCCTACAAGATAAGGTTGACAACCATTCTATTGTGTATTATAGTGTTCTATGGTACAAATACATTGCGCACTAAGTTACGGTAGTTTTTCTCGTAACTTCTATAGTTTTAGTTCTTTGTTTTGTTAAGTGCAAACGTTGTTTTCGACAATCTAACACTGATATTGTTTAATTTGATTAAGAAAACGCTTTCATTATTGATGTGCGCATTTTGTCGACGTGATTTGAAGTTTTTTTTTTTTCAGAAGAAGTATGTAACTTTATTTCGTATTTGCCTAAAAACTGTAACTGTCGTAGATGAAATACAACTCAGTGGCATACTTACCGTGCCAGCTAGCCTACGCGATTACAGCTGTGACACGTTGTTCTGAATTGCCGGTCTGTTAGTGTACATAGAAATCTCTGAAAATTAATATTTATGTCTTTTATTGTCATAAATGTACGGTGTGATCAATTTTATTAATCCATGATTAATTTAGGCTCATCCCTCAGTGTAAGTTATTTTGTATGTATATAGACTCGTGTATTATTATCATTTTATACCTTTTTATTTATTGATTTAAGTATTTCACAAAATATTAAATAATTATTTAAGAGATAATTAATTAGAAATTGTAATTGTTGAGTACAATAGAGAAAAAGTTTAAAAAAATATTTGACAGATCTCTAAGAATATATTATTAAACAATCTTGTGATGGTTTTGAATGAGTAATTTTGCAGGGGCCTGAAAAGATAATAGTTATAGTTGAGCTATATTTATAGAGGAAAATGTCTACTTAATTATTCTGAATATAATCTGTAGCACCTTTTTGGCACAGATTATATTACAACATGTGCCGTAAAGTACGCATTAGAACGAGAACTAATATTTATTGTAAGACATTTAAAAATACTTGACAAATGTTGTTTTTTTTTTAATGTAAATTATATTTTAATTCCACAGGTTATGTAAATTTCTTCTTAGCTTGTCAAAGTTTCATTGTAAAAAGTTTTATAAAAGAAACTGTATAAAAATTGTGATTCCTTGATTTTTATTATCATAGCATCGATGTCTACTGTTTTAAATAATATATATCTTTTGGTTGTACCAGATTATGTAAAAAAAACTAAGTTATTTTAATCAGCAAAGATTTAATAAAATTATATTTCAACTATTTTTTTCTTTGTTAATGGACTCGTAACATTGTACTTTTGCCAATATCTTATACTATATAAGAAATTATCCATTACGATAATTTGTTTTAAAACTTCTTCACAATATGTTGATGCGTCACATTGTGAAGTTTTAACAGATTTTAACGGCAGCTTCAGCCAGTAGATCGATAACGATAGTATCTCAAGGCGCCTCAGCAGACATTTTAAGGTTCATATTACTATCGGAACACTTGTTTCATCGTTTGCACCAATAGTTAACATACGCTGACATTTAAAACACAAAATCGCTATTCGCTTCTCTATATTTCTTCTTCCTCTACTTTTACGTATCAAAATCTACTTCAAACCTTCATTTATAATATACAGAAAAGGAGCAGCAATTAGCCGATCAAGTTCTTGGCCGAACTCTTTCAATTGCTTGTATTATTTTATACAGATAAGAAGTAGGGATGTAACAATACCGATACGATATCAATATATTGGTTCAGCTGGTCGATATATCGGAAGCGTGACATCTGGTGAGTCATTGTTTGATATCGGTATCGGCTTCCAATATATCACCTCACGGTGAAGTTATTTGTTACACAAGGTTATTATCATTGAAAAACATTAAAAGTTTATCGGTTTCTAATATGCAAATACACAAAACAATGCCTCAGTGCTTTGCTCAATAATTTTTACACATTTTGTTTTATGATAAATTTTATTACTTTGTTTGGTTAATGATAATAATGCTTTCGGTGTGGGGTAAGTAACAAAATAAAATATCAAATACTTTTCATTAACGATACACGTTAATAAATATAAGTCACATAAAAATATTACTGGCAGTGAGGTAAAAATGTGTATGTCGGTACAGATATGGCATCGGCAAAGTGTACATAAAGTCACATCCCTAATATATTTTTTTTTCGAAAAACCGAGGTAACACTAACTTACAGCCTATGTGATGGTAAGTGGCTACTATAGTCCATGGATATCTGGAGCCAACCTCCAGGAAAGAAGTACAGATGCGTTATCACCTCTGAGGATCAAGCTGAAATGCCTCACAGCCTGTAATTATACTGGTTCTCTTTAAACGTCTTTAAATCTGATGTAGTGACGGGGGGCGATCCTGTACGTGTTCACAGACTGCAGACTTCCCGGAGCGTCGATTCTTCACATCAGCTATATGTTCTTTAACGCGGGTTTTTATTGATCTTTTAGTTTGTCCTATGTAGGAGAGACCACATTCACAATCAAGCTTGTACACTCCTGCATCTTGCAGAGGGACATTACACTTGACCGATGGTAAAAACTGACCAATCTTCTTCAGCGGCTTGAAGTATGTTTTGATGGAAGCGCGCTTCAAGATGTAGCCAATCTTGTCAGTGACTCCTCTAACATATAGCTTGTTGTCATGCAAAACTTGCTTGACATGGTGGAGCTCTGCAGCCAGGTGTTTACTGTCACAGATCCCTCGTGCTCTCTGAAACAAAGATTTACCCACGGTAGCTAACTGTGAAGGATGGTGGTGAGAATCACCGTTTAAATATCTATCTGTATGGGTCTTTTTTCTATACACAGTAACAATATAATATATATAATAAAAGTTTTTTCATAACACCTTGATCCATACTGTGCCATAAAATTAAATCCCAACCCAAGCATACAACTGCAAGACTTCAAGATACCATAAGTTCATACTGCATAGATCGGAACAAAAGTTAAATTTTAATCTATGGTAACCGCGGTTAACTATGACATATGGACGTTGAACATCTCAGTCCTGCCCGTGACCATGAGTGCTGTAAAGCGTTCGAAACGTCGGGTATTTAAAAAGTTAAAGATACGCGATAAATTCCGTAAAAACTAGTATTATTTCAACAAAATATGGGATAATATTGTTGAATATAAGAACAATAAGACTTCATCACGGTCAGCCATGTTTACTTACGTCCGATCGTAGCACAGTGAATGGCGCTTCAAGCCGCCCCTGCGACTGCGGTGGTGTTTTGCAGTGGCTGGAGCCGCGGCTCGCGGTTAAGTTGAACGCACATTTGTCCGCACCGTACGCGCCGCATTTTCAGATGGCCTCGCACATTTGCACGTACGCGCCTTACGTGACTTGGCAATTCTTTTGTATTGCCGTTTTTTCCTACCACTGGTGTGAAATGATACAGTGACATCAATCGCTCGGATCGCTATGGAAAAAATGGTTGTAATAGCCTCCTTATTGGCAGAGGAAGAAGAAAATAAAATTCGAAG